AAACCAAACACGTGCAGGTGCAACACAAGGACACTCAAGTATGTTTTAGGGATTGCCAAGATACAGCAGTGGGATCTTACGGAATCCCTACCTGTTTGCTTGTTTTCACCTGTCATTTTCTGAAGTTAAAAGTACCAATTTTTTCCAGAAATAGCATGTTTAGTGCTGTCTAAAAACAGTTTTGATAGATGAATTTTAGAAAATTTTTGGTTTCTACAAGCTATACCCTGGGCTTGCTGAAATCACTGTTAATTTTGTGTGTTTGATGCCTGTTTCCTCACAGGATAATCTGTGTCCAATAAGTCTGAATGAGAGGCACAAGAACAGTCCTGAGAATCTGGCTAAACAACACTGGTGTCTAAAATGCAGATTTTATTATCAGTGTTGGTTCACAGTCACACTCATTAATTACACCAGAAGGAAACAGTTTATGAAAGTGATACTTTGAAGAAACTAATAAAGGTGAACATGTTTTGTTAGTATTCTCATATTCTACTCTGACTGCTGATCAAAGTGAAAATTATATTGCTTAGTTTGGAGGAATATGACAGCACAACCTTTATGTAAGGTAAGTTATATTTTCCTTTGCAATTTTTTTAGGGATTGAATGAAGAATATCTTCAAATGTAGATCTTTCTGCATTTTTCTTATATTCATATAAGGTCTGGGTGCACAGATGCAGACACCAATAAATTACTCACGGAGCAAGGATGCTTTCCTCAGTTAAGGAACCTGTTTGGGAATCAGTTTTTGGCTGCACCACGAAAAGGGGAACTCCTTTGAAAGACAGGCAACATTCAGTGAAACTCCTTTAATAAATATTCTTTGGAAGTTAAAAAGACACTGAGTACTGAAAGGTCAAGTATGGAATAAATTAATTCTGTAATTGATAACAAGCGACTTCCAGCTCTGGCAAATTATGTACTTAAACAAATTATTAATATTTGTTTGTTTTCTGAACTAAGTGTCTGTGATTTTATCCTCAGATGAAAAGAACCAAGGAATTTAAGATTTTGCCCTGAAGTTAAAGGATGTGGGTGTTTTGACCCAGCAGCTTCTGGCTTGTTGAAGTGAGTTTTCGCAGTGTTGTGAATATTTTGCATAACGAATATTTATATTTCTTTATCTCTAAGCTCAGTGTTTGTTTGTTTTCAATGTAATCTAGAATGAACTCTTATAGTAAATACTGATGTTACTTAGAGGAAACATAAATCAACCATTGATATCCTCACAGCTCCAGCAACTTCAAACCCCACACTAAAGCAGAGTTGAATACAGAATGAAGTTTCATAATACACAGAGTAGTAGTAATGTGCTTTTTTCTTTCCTATTTATTTGCAATTGATCTCTCAGAGCTGGGAGCAAGAGGGAAATATTTTGAATTCTGAATTGATTACCGTGCTGCGCTTGGTCCACCAAAGGTGTGAGACGCCCACGTCTGCACTCTGCAGCCTCTGATACCAAATGCAGCATCAGGAAAACAATTCCCTGGTATTCTAAGAGAGCTCCCTGCAAGAGAATTGCCTGACAAGGGCTTTTCAATCTGATAAGGCTGTGGAAGGGCTCTTTACAGCCTCCTGATTAAATGAATTGTCTCTCAAGTAACTGATGCCAGTGAATCAGCTTCCAGCTCCACGATGGTGAATGCCTGATTCTGCTTACTGGGCTGTTCCAGGATTTTTAGAGGGGTCATACCTGTGAGTGTCATTTAATATCAGTTGGGAAGTGACTGCTCCATTCCCCTGGAAAATGCCAGGGCTGCCCTAACAAGGTAAATGGTTTAAGTCCCAAAAAAGACTATGAATATTCAGTCATATTTTTGCTTTTGTTAAATAGTGCTGAGTACCCAGCAGCTTCTGGTTCTTTCTGAATAAATTCTGGCAGCCTTGACATCAGTTTGTCTTTGACCCTTGGATGGCATCACCCAAAGATAAAGCAATGGGCTAAATGACTTGGGAGCTTTTAAAACAATGTTCAGAGAAGCATCTTCCACTGCAAAGCAGAAGAGGCATAAATAATTTAAAGACAGCGCTTTTACTCAACTACTCCTCTTTGCTTACAAAGAAAGTCTTGGAATTTCAGGCGTGAAAATAAACATACTGAGGTAAATGGGGATGCCACCCAATGTAAAACAAGTTATAGCATAGAGGATGTAACTTTCCTTAACTTGAAAGTTACATGATAAGACAACATTTGTAAAATCTTTTCAGCTGCCATGCTGATAAACTAGAGATGCAACATCATATGGTGGGAAGAATTAAGGATGAAATATTCTCTGTTTTTTAGGCTATGAGAAAAATTCGGGCAAGATTGAAAAGTTATACCCTAGAGACAACATTCAAGCCTGGGCCATTTGTGCTGTGTGCATATACATACACCATCAGAAGATGCCAGTTATCCCCCAAAAGGGAAGCCTCTGGTATGTTACAGAGCAGACAGGAGTGGAAAAACCCCACGATTGAGCCCCACCCTGAAAAACGTGAATCTAGATATTACAGTTATTTTGTTACTTTACTTTAAAGGTATTGTATTGTGTTGCAGTGCATTGTATTTCATCTGTTAATCTCAAACTGCCTCGAGAATGGCTCAGTGTGTCAGGAGAGGCTTTCCTGGAGCTTCAGATCTGAGTCATCAACTGGGTTACAGAAGACAAAGGTAATTAATCAATTCATTTCTCTTACGACATGAGCTTTTAGGTTTGTGTGGCTAAGGTATCTTGAAGCTTTGATTATTAGTTTACCCTTTTAAAAGTAATTTCTACAAGTAAATTTCAAATGTCAAATGTATTTTATTGGCTGGAATGAGCGTACAGAAGGATGGGCTGAGAAAAGCAATTTGGCATTATTCCTCATCAGAAAGAAAATGAAGGGAAAACTCCTTAAAGAAGAGAGAATGAAAAGAAAGCGGGGGAAAATATCAGGAACTAATTTGTAGACACTCCCCCAAAAGGTCATGGGAGGTAATGGAAGGAATGAAACTGGTGATGGAAATCAGCATCAGAGGCAAACATCCCAAAAATGCAATCTTCAAAAAAGCAGCAGGCAATCAGGCAGGGGTGCTGAGAGAATCCACAAAGCTCACGTCAGCACTAACCTACAGCAGCCACCAGCTCCAGTCCCTGTCACACCCAGGCAACACCCCTGCTTCCAGGGAGCTGCACTCAGGGGTCAGAAACTTGAACATAACACCAGGAGCCCCCCTAAAAAGAGGAAATCCTGGCACCCATTTTCCATGGCCCCAGGCTGGGATGCAGTGACTCACTGCATTGCCCATGTGCAAGGCATGGTAAGAGCCTGAGAAGAAACTTCAGTTTCCTTGAAGTGAGTAAAATGATGCTGAAAAAATAATTCTCAGGTGTAAAAATAGAGGGATGTGAAAACAGGACAAATCTAAATCTAAAAATGATATAAATTTTTGGTACTAATTGCTAAAATTACTCTTTGTTACCAGTTTTATTAGAAATAGTTCTAATTCTTGCTGCATTAACAAAGAAAGGAACAAAGACCTAGAAAACTGCAGTGCTGCTGGCTGTCCTAAGGCAAAGTGAAGCTGTTAAATTTCAGGTTACAAATACACACAGGGGCTCATTTTCCAGACACACATTTTGGACTTCAGCCAACCTTTGCTTAGAAATACTGCATGGAATAACCTTTGGGCTTGATTTTTATCTGTTGCACAAGCAGACTTAAAGCCTCTCCATTTCCTGCTCACCAATGGAATTGGAATAAGACCCAGAGTTTTGGCTACCCTGGATTTTCTATTTCAAACCTGGTAACTTTAAGTTGTGGTATTACACTAAGAATAGAAATAATTTTTCCCTCTGCCTTATTTTGGTTGTTCTGGGACACATTCTGCCCTGTATTGATAAGAGTTTAAAAATAAGTCTAGTCAAACATAAAAATATTTTTGTGAGAGGAAAGCACACGTTTGTTTTACGGAGAATGTAAATATTAGTGTCCTTTAGAAAACAAATAAGTTCAAAGGTGTAGAGGGGTAAATATTTTTCCTCGTATTAATTCTGTATTTCAGTTTTCCAGCCAGGCCTGTCTCAGCATTAAAGCTTTTACCTCCATCTCTTACAGCAGGCACAGGCCCACCTTCCCCAAGTTCTAGTGATAGCTTTGAGCTAAAATTTCTTTGTGTGACTTATCTGCATGGACCTCATCAAAGCCTTCAGGCACCATGTGGGTAAAAACATTTGGAAGAGCCTCCCAAAACTCCATCCCTTCAGCACAGCAGGTCAGGGAAGAGTGCTGGAGCCCACTGCTCTAACAACAGCAGGGAAGGAGGTGGAAGGGGGGGCTTCAATATGAAAACCAGGAATATTTAAACAATATTTTTCTTACTATGCTTGGTATGATGGGAATGTAATAGAAAACAGTGAGGATAAACCTCGTTAGGTAACGCTGGCTTTGATGGTCGTTCATCTGCTGGGTGGAGGATGCATGGAGCTGCTCTGAGCACGGCTCTGTCCAGCAGGGTGCTGGGGGCAGCTGGGGTCAGGGCTCACCTGTGGCACTGCTCAAGGGATAATCCTGCCAGTGCCTTTCTGTGCCAGGGCAAGAGCTCTTGTCAGGCCCCCAGGGGCATCCACGGCCTTGTGCAGCGGGCAGGATCATGCTCGCTGTTTGCTGATCCAGCTGGAAGTTGGCTCTGCGGGGAAAACCACGCGGAATGCTTGAGCAGACACGAGCCAGGAGGCAGGGACACGTGGGCCACAGAGAGGAGCCGGGAGCCCTCTGCTCAGCTGGGCTGTTCCACTTCGGCCCGAGCAAATCCAGGCAGCCCGTAGGCAGGTCTCACTGTCAGGCCAGCGAGAGCAGCACCATGGCTTAGGGGATGTGTGTTTCTCACCCACAGGATTTATTTTGCAGCTACCAGGGGGTACAACCAGCCTTCTGATCCAGGTGCCCGAGGATGGGTACCCCTCAGGAGACACGGGAAACCTTGGGGGCCTTGAGGGAACGTGGAGCTCAGCACCAGTGTTGACAGTGTGCAAGGACCTCGTGGAAGAAGGTACGTGTACACACACACACACACACACACACACACACACACAGTCACTGTTTTCGTTTCCTCTGGTGCGCTGCTGAAGGCTGGAGGATGCACGCCTGGGTGATTTTAAAGAAATCTAAGTGTTTCATCATCCCTGGGCGATTCTAAAGAAATGTGTGTACTTATCATATTTGGCTACACCGGGCAGTCAAGCCACGGCCACACGTGCTCAAAAACGTCTGAAAATTCACATTTTTAATCTCGTTTCGGGGGGACAGCTTTCTTCACCTGCTTCGGAGGGCACAAACAACGGGCGGGAAAACGAACAGCCCCTTACCGGGCGGCTCGGCCAGCAAACCCCTCCGGTGCCTCGCAGTTAAACGCTGCGAGGACGAGGGCGAGCGGCAGGTGCCGCGGGCGCGCAGGCGCTCGCTCCGCCAGCCGCCGGCGGGCGGGCAGCACCCCTTCTCCCGAGGTAACGGGCACCCAGCCGCGCCGGGGGCGGTATCCATTAGCCAGACTCCAATTTCGGGCCCCTNGGGCGATGGCGTAAGTGAGGGGAGGGAGCCGGGAGCGGGCTGCGCTCCGCTTCCCGCTGGGATGGGCCCGGCGCGAAAGGGGTCGGCCCCGCCGCTCGCCCTGGGCCTGCCGGGAACACGCAGCCGCCCCCGCGCCGGGAGGAGCCGCGGTTCGGCGCGGGGCTCTGCCGGGCCGGGACGGGGAGGAGGCCTGGTGCCTACCCCTTCGCCCCGGAGGGCGGTGTGGTGACCCCCGGGTGCTGGTCCCGCCGTGCTTCCCGTGATGCCGGCCGCTCCACGGGGGAGCGGTGCCAGGAGAAGCCCCTCCGGTGTCGGGGATTCCGTGTTTTCCCTTTGGCGTGGGTTAACGCCGTGCAGAAAGCGTGTGAGGCCAGGGGGCGGGAGCTCAGGCGCCTCCGCTTGTGTTTGGCCTGCGAGGGAAGTTTTTCTGTGCTGGACCCTGGGCGGTGAAAGGCGATCTCTGCCAGTGCCTCTGGTCCTGAGAGGGTTTGAGAGACACACAGTGTCTTGCACCTGCTTTTTGGTGCGTCTGAAGCTGTAGTGGTAATGATACGTAATGATGTTTTGATAACGAGTTTGCACTTTGCATTATCAATAAAAACCCCGACGTAGTTACATTACGGATATAATTAATACGTAACATAACACTGATACCGTGGAGGTGTGTTTTAGAGGTGGCCATGTAGCAAATATCCCAATCACAATCTCTGTCTGGACTGGTTTTCCCATCTTAAGACACATCTCCACAGCAGCCTTCACTCAACTTTGTGAAAACTTCCCAAGCTGGTAGCTTGCTGCAGCGTGTAACTTTATATTCCATTAGCTTAATATTGAAAAGGCCACAGTTGTTGCCACGTGAGTTCTTCTGTTGTGTCACTTAATCCAGTAATTCTGCTTTTCTGGCTTGTTCTTTTTATTGTGGCCATGTAAGGTTTTTTTTTTCCTGCCCTCTGCTTTTTTTTTGTAGTGACCAGCTAAACAATGGGGCCAGAAATTTTGGCAACTGAAAAGAAAAAGTGGCATGGAGGAGGGAGTATTCCTTTTGTTTGTAAAAGTATGTTAATAGGTTATTCAAACAGCCATTGATAAAAGCAGTATTGAGCGTCCATTTAGGCAGTTGGCTCTGAACGGATGTTCAGAGATGTTCAGGGATGTTAATTTAGGAACATGGCCTGAGTTTTGCACATTCTGACAGTGTTCATGAGTAGGTTTTTTTGTAGTGGATCGTCTGGGCTCATTGTGTGAAGGTATGGACACATTTAGGGAGATCTCTTATCCTCGTGCATGGCGTGCTGAAGTCACTCACCCTTTTGGGAATGCTGTTAGAGAACTTTGGCATGTGAAATGTGCATCAGCTGCTGTTTGCTGATTGCTCTTTTGCATCGTTTTATCCCGTGGAAAATAGGCAAGAGGTTTATGCTTTTGGTTAGCAGTGTGCAGAGTTACCTTGTGTTTACTGTGACATGTGATACCTTCTGCTAGTAACTTCTTATCTCCTCACATAACTTGTTCTAGCACTTGTTACTGCATCAAAATCTTTTGTTGTGACTGGTCTGGTGTGAACCTGTAGGTAGTTAGTTCCCTTAAGGATGGAGGTATTTGTAGCTACAAGACTGACTCTTAGTTTGATTGATGGCAAAGACTTCCCCTTTCCTCAAATTGTGGTGATGTGTCAGAGGAGAAATTTAGAGGAAGTAGACTTCTAGAAAAATTCATAGGTATGGAGTAGATGACGCAGTTTCATAGAGTATTTCAAAGGTACAGTGCTGTGCTCAAATTAAAAAAGGGGAGGAAAAGAAAAAGTTATTGCCTTGTTGTTAAGACCAACAACAAAGGCCCCAAAGGCAATAATTTTATTTTTCTCTCTAAGCTGAGAAGTGTGCATGAGGGAAATCCTTACTTATTTCTACTACTGTGAGCCTTTAGGTTCTGGTTTTTGTGGGGTTTGGGGTTTGTTTTTTTGGTTTTGTCCTTTCTTTCCTCTTCAGTATCAAAGCTTGGCAGTGTGAGCAGGAAAAGAATCAGCTCTCCTGAAGAAGTCTGGGAGGCAAGGTTAAGCAGTATTGTTTTACTTTTTAAAAGGTAAATTAAAAATCATCCCAATCAGGCAGGGATTCCTAGGCTAGCAGTGGTGTGTTGGTTGCCATAGCAGGAGTTTGTCTTTTATCTTTTCTGCTGGAAAACTCATGTCATGTACTATTAAAAATAGATAAATAAAAGATACCACTTGTGCTGTGAAACTCTACCTCATTGGGTAGGCTATTGTTAGAATGATTTTTATCTTGTATCTTACCGTTTCTTTGAGCATGCTTTAATTCTGATTTAAATGGTTTTGAAGCAGACCTGTTATTTACTAAGCTACTGTAGTGCAAATTTTGTTTGACTAAGGCTGTCCACACACCGGCTCAACCAGGTGTGGCTCTGCTGGGCTCTGCTTTCAATGCAGCTGCTTCTGCTGGGGGTTGTAGCAGGATTTCATTAGTGTAATTAAAGCTCTAGTTTATTTTGTTTACAGTTTACCGCTAGTGGGACTTCAAGCACTGGCAGACAGGGCAGAAAACAGACCTGAATCTTTGCTGACTTTTTACAAAAAAACCTCAGACCTGCTAATTTTAATTTGGTGCCAGCTATGAAGGCAATGCAATTTGTCCCGTGGCAGAATTGCTCTGTGGCTGCTGTCACTTCCCTTGGTTTTTTTGTGTGGGTTTGTTGGGGTTTTTTTTTGAGAACAACCTTCCTTCTCTTCCTTCCTCTTCCCTTTGCTTGTTGACTGAAGAGTAGCTGAATTTCCTAAGCTGTGCTGGGATGGGTTTGAAGTGTTTGACCTAGCTGGAGAGTTTTGGGACAGGCGCCAAGGTTGGCAGCTTTTTGTTTTGTGAGATGTGTTTAATGTGCCTCTGGGTGCTGACAGTGTAAGAGTATCCTGAGAGGAAAGCTGTGTCTATGTTTGTGAGCCTCCTTTATAATATCATTTACTTATCTAAACCTCTGATTTCACAGCAGGAGTGCTGCAGACCCTTTGAAAGGCAGTGATGGAGTGGGTAATGCAAAAATGCCTTTTCTTTCCCTTAAGGAACTGCCTTAGGTCTAGCTTCTTTTTTGAGATGAGGCATCCAGACATGTTATGTACATCCATTTATTGAGACATGGGGGACTTGCCTCCTGTCATTTAATGTGTCACTTCGGGTGTAATCGTCACTTCACCAATTACTAATTGCTGTAGAAGCTGGGAGTGTCCTCAGAATGGTAGTTAACCTCAAATAACACAAATTTAACATAAACTTGATAAGCACTTGATTTCTGTGAAGATCTGAGGGATATGTCTGGCAAATTTAAACTCCTGATTTATTCCCCCCATGAATTCCAGCAGTAATAAGGGAATTGGCCATGTCAATTATTTCCCTACCCACTTCATAACCATATAAAAGTATTTCTTCTCAATATGAAATGCCTACTTTTCCCCCCACCTTTGGACACCCCTTTTATTCAGCTGCTTCTACAGGGGCATGCCAGGAAAATGACTTTACAAAGGATGTGATAAACAGACATTTCTTTTTCTTTCTCCTCTCCCAGCTCAAGACCCACATCACCTTAATGCTCCCAGGCACTGAGTCAAACATTTGTTGCCTTTGTGCCCATCTGTAGGTGCATGCAGGACAGACCTTTTACAGGTGGGTGCAGCTGTCCCTGCCAAGTGGCTGCACTCTGGTCACCGAGTTTCTGGTTTCTCTCCTTCCAGCTCTTGCATATATGCATGCCTCCTGTAAATTTTTAATGACTTAGCTCAAGCAGAGGTTTGTTCTTGGTGTTGAGTTAATTTGCCAGGCTGAGGTTAAAACGAGTTTATCTATCTGATGTGATTGAAATGAGTTTATAGAGGTTAGGAGTAGCTGCTTTTGAGTATTTGGCTTTTTAGGGATGGAATATTTGCAGTGAAAATTGGATTGGTTTGTAATACTGGAAGCAGGCTGAAAATTAAGTGCCTCCCCCCAGGATTTTAACTTCCCTTGCATCTTTTGGTACTGTGAAGAATGGATTATGTGTGACACAAGAAATTAAAATTCACTTTTTAAAGTCTGTTAAGTATGTGGTTTTTTTGCTATAAAGACAGCCTGGCTGACTACAAGGTGCAACTTCACAGTAAAATTGAACCCTCATACCTTTAAGGCAGTCCAGTGTCTCCCTTGAGCTTGCTAAGTGCTCCAAACACGCAGAACCTGAAAAGCAGGCCCCTAGTATTTCAGTATGGGCATCATAAATAAGGGATTTGGCCTTTATCTCTCCTTGCTTCAGATATTCATTTGGAGAAAGATGACTACACGACACCCTAAAGGGCTGCTGTGAAGATAAAATACGAGTATCAGTGTTCTGTCACCTCAGTGCCACAGAATACTCCTCCTGTCTTCTTCCCAGGAGAAAGCTAATACATTTTTTATTTATTAATGTGGTATGTGGTAAATGAGAGCCACAAGTGACATAATGAATAATAAAAATGTGTTTAAAAAATAAGGCAGTGGGGAAAGCAAATAAATCCAAACACTTAGGGTTTTGGACTATATTTCAGCATGCTGACTGAGCTGTTCATCACAGAACAACAGAGACCTCGAGAAAAGATGATAAATAAATGCAGAGATATGAATGTGAAGTTCTGGGTTTCTGTTCCTCTTTGTTATATTTTCTGTTGTGTTTTTTGCATGGTTGGCAAGAGTCAATTTCACACCTTCCGGGCTTGTCATTCCAAGAGTAGCTCCTGGTAGAGTTTACTTCAGAGAATACAGTAGGCAGTATGAAGGAGCATTCCAAGCTCAGCAGCCTATGGATGACTGTTCCTGGAGAGCTCAGCCATTTGCTCTGATGGCAAAGTTGAGTTTGCACGCAGGAGTAAATGTAGCAGAGTGTGGGCAGTGAGAGGCCTGGGGAATTCACACCTATGGTTACAGTGTATAGGGCATGGCAGAGGAAGGCTTGAGAGGTCCAGGGCTTAAACCAATGGCTACATTGTATAGGGTGTGGAAGGTGCGGAACTGTGGACCCAAAGAAATGCTGGATACTGAAAGTAGCAAATATTTGTTCTGAAAAGATTGCATCTCTTCCTCTAAGCAGTCTTGATCGTCTGGGTCCCCTTCTGCTTCATCCTCTGGGCCTTATAAATGCGCGGGGACGTTATGAGCAGTGTGTACTCCTTAAGTCTCTGCTTGTATCCCCATTCTATTACAGTAATTCATAATCTAAGTGTATTAAGGACCTGATTCCTCTGAGAGGTGTGTTGAGAGTTCACATCCAGGGCAGGTGTTGCTACTGCCTGGTTTTGAGTGGTTATGCTTTTATTGCCAGCATCCTCCCTCAAAGAACTTGATCACGGGCAAAGACTTACCCTAATGAAAAAAAGAACAAGAACAAAAAAATCGTTGGGCCAGAATGTTAAAGGATCATCTTTGAAGGTCGGATATGTTGTATTGACATATGATGAGTGATGGGGGATTCCTGAATTTATTTGCATGCAGGTAGAAAACGTATCCCAGAAAAAAATTGAAAGTATGTCCAGTTTATGTTTATGGATAGGGATGACAAAAAAAATGATGAACACTGTATTTAAGTAGCTATGTGTTGAGACTCAATGATTTCAGTCTCCAAGTTGTCTTGCCACAGTCCTATTCAATGATTTTTAATCATGTCTTAATGTAATTTTGGATGATAATTTCTTAGGAAAAAGCCATGGTTTGCTTCCTTGGCAAGATAAATGTTGGTGGCTGAGGCAATAGAATGACAGTCTTCACCTATTGACAACTTTTCCATGGTAGCCTTGGTCACAACAGAGTGACCCCATTGCCCCTTGGTGAGAAAGGGAGAGAACAAGTTCTTCCATCCTTTTATGCTGGAAGTGTTGGTTTGGCTTTCTCTCTTTACCTTGTGATTCAGGGGTTAAAGGCTCCCAGAGGCTGCCTGCAGAGGCATCATCTGCCTCATCATACAAGCTGACATGTGCCTTTTTTATTAGAGTACTGTGGATGTCTTAAAGCAAATCACAGTGCCATGATGGGATTTAATTTGCTGTTCTAAAGTCCCTTCTGAAACAACAGCTCCTTTCTTAATCTGTGTACATGTGTGTGGTGTTTACTCCTCTTCTTCCTCCCCTCGTAAGGGAGTAAGTTGGTAGCTTTTTTGTCATCCCTGCTGGAAACTGGTGTTGGTTCATTGTGTTTCTTTGTTGTTTCTTTTATTCTGTGCGCTGCTTTCATTTTCTTCCCTCTCCATTCTATTCCTTCTTGCAGAAGGGGTAATGGACAAATTTTTAACACTTATTCTTGGGACTGTACTCCTGTTGTAGTTCCAAATACAGGCTGTTGGTTCAGCAGGGTACAACAGGAGAAACAAGTGCATTAAAGGCAGTTTTTTTCCGACTTCTTCCAGTTAAAATAATGATAGTAGTTTCAGCATTAAAGGAAAAAACAGATGAATTGCTACATTTATTGCTAACATTTGCAAATACCGACTATTCCAAAGCTGTTATGCTGCTGAAAAAGTAAGGACTCATCAATATGAGTTTTATGTTCTAAAACTCTTGATGGAGAAACCAGTAGAGACTTAGTAAAAAAGGGCAATAAAGTCTACTCATTTTTTGAAGGTTGAATACTGTCAGGAAGACAGGCTGCCAAAAGCTGGAAGGTGTTAGAAAATAAAAAAAGAAGCAGAATTAATGCTTCTTTTTTTGTAAGAAGATTTGACAGATAAGGTCCAAGGGAGAAGACTTCAAATAAAATCAATGCAACAAAAATACTGCTGTGTAATTACAGATGTTGCTGAGTTGAGCAACTCCCTGCTAATCACATTTAATTAATATAACCCAGTTGCAAGGTGATGTATGGGTGAATTAAAGAAGTCAGAAGAGGTCAGGACTGGTTTTCTGCTCTCTATAACAGATCAACCAGGTAGTCAGTTTTTACAGAATGATGCAAATCAATCCTTAAGCAGAATTAATGGATACAGGAGGTTTTTGGAATTTTCTGTAACTGCTGGAAGTGTCTCCTTTGGCCTTTTCTTCTGCGAGGGCAGGGGTTTAGTCTTGTTACATTTTTGCATGTTAGTAAGCTTAATACAGCCTTATTTTAACTTGTATGTTCAGTTGCCTTTTGACTTACGGCTGTTGCACAACAGTTTCAGACATTTATTTGCTTTTATATGCTGTAGAGGGCATTCAGGGTACTAAATTTGGAGAGCATATTTTGGTATTTTGTTGATATGTAGTTTGTTTGGGGCAGTCATGTGCCTGGAAACTGTTCCAGCAGAGATGAGTGGAAGCGTTTCTGGAGCTCTGGAGTAAAAGAGGTAACTGAGAATCATGAAGATGTTATTGAAGAAATAAAACAAGTATATTTGTATTTGTGTTAAACAGACTGCTGGAGATGATTTAAGATGGTACATAGTCCATTTTTTCCTGTCTATGTTACTCATTTTGATTTTGAAATGATTTTCTTTTTCCTTCAGTTCTATAGGTGCTGATGCAAAAACAGTGTAGCAATGGATCAAAGAAAAAATGATAGTTTTGTCCCAAGTATCACGCAGCTGGAAGACTTCCTGACAGAACATGACTCTAACGTGGTTTGGCTGTTAGTAGGTAAGGTTAACTCTTCTGTTTTGGTTAAATTTCTTTTATGATACCATAACAAAGGATTAGCATGACAGTCAGCTACAATAACTTCCTTATGCCAATATGTGCCTACCTGCCATTTAATCTGGTGTAGTTTGGAAAGTGATCTAAGGACTATTGTGTTCAGTGACACAGCTTGTAGACTGAATTGTGTGCCACAATGAGCCTTTAAGCCAAGCTTTCATTTAATCAGTTTCAAGCTGGATTTGTAAACATGCCTGATTTAGTTATGCTGATTTATTTTATTTTTTTTTTTATAGCACCAGTGCTATTGCTTATATTGGTGTAGGTATTCTTATTGTCTGAATCTATAAACAAGTGAATCAAGGACAGGAAAATAAATATGAAGTTGTATTCAAGTCCACATAAGAATACTGAAAGTGTGCAATGAATTCAGACTTTTCCAAAGGTAGATAATGCCTGCTTTCCAGCCTTGACTCTTGGACTTGGAGTGAGGGGCAACACAGGATCAACTTTATTTTTTCACTTTCACTTCTGCTGAGTTAAAGCAGTCTGTTGGCTATTGACATACTGGAATTATTTTTCAGTAGGCCAAATTAAATAGAAAGGACATAGGTAAATTATTTGAGGGTGCTTACTTTTTGTTATTTATTTCACTTTTAATGTGTCGAAATGGAAAGTTTGTGCTCAACATAGATTTCTCAGTGTAGTCAAGATGAAAATAGGGGAAGTCAGTGGTAGTAGCTCATGGTAAAACGTGGGACAGATGCAAATAGATCTGAAAATTTTGGTTTCAAAAGCTTTGACTTGTTTTCTGTTACGAAGTTTGGATAGAAACACATTTGAATGATTGAGTTTATTAACTGACTCAGTTTCAACCAGCCTTTCCTCCTTTGCTTTTATCTGCTGACCTATGGCATTCTATTATAATGGAACATAAAAAGATATCAGTAATTTCCTATCCTGAATGCTGAAATAACTAACTAGTGGTCTCAGTAAAAGGTGATGAATTCCAGAAATGAACATGCTCCTCGAAGAGCTGTTGCTCACTTCTGGAATCATTTCTGAAAGTCACATGCAGTAAAACTTCGGAGATGCAATTTCCAAAACTTGGTTTCAGTGAATAGGCTTGAAAACTCAAGAATATAATATTGAAATTAATGAAGTTTGTGGGATTTGGTGAAGGACAAGGCTACAGCTGGCAGCAGAGGTGAATCTAGTGCTGAAGGCAATGGATCAGGACTGGAAACTGCACTGGTTTCCCAGTTTTTCTCAGAACGTTTCACCTTAAGAGGGCATCTTCTTGACTTGAGCCATCTAGCAGTGTCTAGTTGAACTTGAACTTCAAATTAAGCTTTATGGACCCTCAGCATAGGAGTCATCCCACCTTTCTCCCTCCCCACAGAGCAGCAGCTGTGAGGAGCTTACTCACCTGAAAGTGGGGGAGGTGAACACTGTCCTTGGAGTGTGACTGCCCTCAATGCCAGCCGGAGTTTCTTTCCTGGGATGTAGCCTCCACCCTCCCCACTCTTTCCTGTGTGATCACCCACACAGATTTGGTTCATTTAATGTGTCAAGCAACATGTTGCCCAAGTTATGAGCTACTTGAATTTTGGTCACACTGGATCCATTTCCAGTAAGGAAAGGACAAAAGTCATGGGAGCCATTTTCACCTTCTCTTTCTCTTTCAGTGAAGTTTTGTTATGAAGCACAGTGGAGTATCCAACTGAAAAAAATTAAAGGGACAGTGGAAGAACAGTTTGTTTTTGTAATTTTTTTTTTTTTTGAGTAATCACCTGAACTCTCTTCAAAGTGAAGGTGTCATGCTCCTATGTCAGTCTGCACTTCAGCATTTCCATATAAGTTTTCCATTTTTAACATAAGTTAAAAACTTCTGTTACAAGGTTCAGGTTTTTCCCTACTCTGCTTTGGGTGAAACAGAATGGTAATTATCAGTAAGGTGAATTGGAACTAGTCCATTCCTTGGCAGTACCATTCCTTTTGGGTTTGTCCTTCTGGAAGCTTAGAGAACCCTTGTAATTAGAATTAGGTTACTAGCTCTTAATCAACTAAAGTAAAAATTACTTTGGGGATTAGCAGACCTAATTTAAAATAATAAAAAAAAAGGTGTTTCTCATGGGATTGCTATTTCCTTTTTTCCCTATCAAATTCCATGCTTGAACTGTTGAGATATTTTTGCTAACCCAAGGGCTGGTACGTTTCTCTCAGGATGTAGCATCGTAGGAAATGGTTTCATGTAGGATAATGTTTCCTGTGATAATGTGTGAAAGACTGGAAATTTAAGTTACAGTTCACAATTTGGAAAAAAATAGGGAAGGGATGTAGTATGACTTTGGTGGTGTTGGGGTTTCTGAAATAAATGTCCCCGTGGGACAATGCATGTTACAATTCAGTCTATAAAATCTAACTTCTTAGATGATAAATGATGTAATGAAATAATGTGGTCCTCTGGGAGGACAGGGTTTTTTTATATTGGGGAATGGAAGAGCACTGAACAGCCTATATTTTTCTGGCCTTCCTATTTCCCCTTTTTTCCCCCCATCTCTTCACACCCTTCTCACACCATCTCTCTAAAAACACCCACTGAAGTGTCCCATCAGTTTCAATATCTTTTTGAAGAGTAGGAAGAACACTGCTATGCCTCATAGTCCTAATAGGTGAGGTTTTTATCTGGGTCAGTGTACTTTAAAATATGCTTTAATTCACTGTAATCTTTCAACAGCAACAATATTGTCCTGTGGATGGATTATCTACCTAACTTACTATAATTCCCGGAACATTGGACTCATTTTAACGCTGGTTCTTAACAGATTATATAAACATGGCTACATCCATATTGGTAAGTTGTGATTAATGTAATGCCACTCTTTGTCTGCTGCTTTTTATCATACCTCAGTTTGCTAAAACCTTGAAGTAAACTCAGTGTTCCTTTGTTAGTGTGATTTGAAAACATTCAGTGGATTCAAAGCAGAGACTCAAGCCTTGAGTCCCTGTTCCAATACTGTCCTTGCTTTCTAAATAAGTTGTCAGAACAACTAACCACCGGTTGATCCATACTGGGACTATGATATGTAAATTGATACTGGCTGGAACATTTTGCATCAAAATCCATTAACTTTTTATTAAAATATTTTAAACTTTTTTTCAATAAAACAGGTCAGTGCAAATCACTTGGGCACTCACCCACTTACAAAAATATCTGGTGCTGAGTCACAGAGGGCTGTAGCCCACAACCTCACTGATCACATTTTTAATTTTCTTTCACTTGCTCCTCTGCCTTCCTCTGTGTGCTTCACAGAATAACTATGACTTTATTTCTGGACTTTTTCCTGCAACTATACATCATAAACGTAGTGAAACTTAAAACCAAAAAAAATCCCACTCACACTTGGCCTGCCAGAGACACCCTTGCAATTTATTTGCTTATGTCTTCAAGAATCTGAGAACTGTGTTCCAAACCATGTTCAAATCCAGCTTTTTTGAAGAGCAAAATAGACGAAATATTCACTGGCTGCTACACTTGATCTATAGGCTTTTATTAAAATTTATCTGTGAAATTGCCATTGAGTAAGGCCAGCTGACATGGCTGAGCAAATATGTGGTATTCTTTATAAGCCTCATCAGTAAGTAGAACATAATGTTAATTAAATCCCATGATTTACAGCTTGATTTCAGTTGTTTACTGTTGATTTTTTTTTTTTTTTTTTTTTTTTAAATTATGATGTACTTAACTTTCTGTGAGTGAGGTGAAAAGCCTTAGGAAAAATTTGGGCTGTTGCATTACTTGCTGCTCTTTTCATACTTATTAATCCTTCTTGCTGTAAGCATAATTTGTCGTAATAATTGGACCAAAATCCTTACAGCCATTTAAAATTTTTGAAAACAATTCATCAGGAATCTTTGTTTCTCTGATTATGGTCTTGCACACAATGGCTTGAGACTGTAAATGTTCTAAGCAGCTTTTCTAACTCTCTTGAGCTTTGCAAGGCACCTGGATGTTTCTGAGTGACTCATGTGCCTCAGGGGCTTGGTTGTTTTGTTGTGCCAAACTCAGCATCCTTTAGTTGTGTACTTTGTCTTCTGTGTTGTGAATCTCTTATTTCCCTTCTAAGGGAAAACTCAAGATACTCAGTTAACCCATTTCAGATAATTTAATGCTGTATTCTCTCTTTTCATAAAATCAAAAGCTTTAGGCTAATAAATATTTATTTTTTTATATAATTAGGTTCCTTTTCATTCTCTGTGCTGTCTGGAAAAGTCATGGTGCGTGAAATCTATTTCATCACGGAGGACATGTCCATCAGGTACAAACATCCAAGGGAGTACCCCTTCTAAATAAGTATTTTAAATACAGGTCTAAACAGCACAAATCAAAATGTAGTTTTTCCAATGGGCAGTATATTTATAAGTGTTAGACTGTCTCTTTTGGTGCTAGTATTTACTACTCCAGCATAATTGTGAGCTTGTTTGCTGCTTTAGCCATATCATTTGGAAGTGAGTGCTGGATAAGATTGTAGCTGTCCTTAACATTTGTCAAATAAACAGCTTTGGAATATGCAGGAGAACTGCTTTTTAATTTATGTCTTTGGCTCCCTTATGCTTCTGCTCTTAAGTCTGGAAGCTTCATGTTGGCCGAGTAGTTGGCATGTATTTGCTGGGATTCAGAGGAATTTGTTTCGTGAACTGCACGCCAGCAAACAGTTTGTAGTTTTGATTTTTGCTGTCGGATTTGGAAAGCCTTGAGGAGATAGTGGATATGGGGCTTTATACAAGTTTCAGCTAAAGCAGGAATTGTGTAATACACTGTGTACTGTAATGCTTTGTGCTTTCATGTTGCTTGTACACTGCCTCAGCTGCAGATCTGTGCACAAACTGCATGTGGGACGTTGGATTGTCACTCTCTCAGCTTCTCTTTTATTCCAATTTATTTGATTCAGAATTCAAGATGGATTTATCATTTTTCGCTGGTGGAAGATGTACAACCCTAAGCAGAAGCAGCACGGTAGGTTTCAAAGTTTAAATTTTCAGGTAGCCTACAGAAACACACTTCCTTTGCACAATCACAGTTTGCTTTCAATTGCTTTGTAAATATGTACCTGAAGTACTCTGGATCCTCAGAAGGTATGGATTTGTTCACTGGTTGCAGAGTAGATGAAATAAATACAGGATTCATTATTGGGGACATGAACCCTTCTTGACCCAAACCGTTCATTAATCTTAATAGTAGCTTTCATTAGCAGGAGTCCAAGCATAATTGTCTCTGTATTGAAGTTGATAACTGTGATGAATAGAGTTGTCTTATGTTCTGCAAGTGGCTTTAGTTTCTGGCTTTCAGTGAGTGTTGTGCTTTCAGTGTTTTAGATAGTGTTACGGGAAGAGGTGTTCTTAGTATTTGACAAGCCCATGTCTCAATGACATCTGTGGTTACAGAAGTGGGGAAGTGTGAAAAATTCATTTATTTTTCTTCCTTATCTCTGGCTGAAGATGGGTGATTAACACAGATGCAAGAGATGAATTGTATCTGCAGAAAACACAGTGGGAAAGCATAAGTAGCCTAGGGCTGTGTGCTTAATCATTTATAGGAGTAAAATCTTGTTGAATGGGACTTGGGTCCTGCCTCTTGTGACTTTTGGAAGCTATCACAGCTGCGTTGCTCATTCAAGGAGGTCCAGAAATGTTAGCTGTCTACAGCTGAGTACGCTAATTAAGAGGGTCATTGAACTTTAGAGGGCTTTTCTTTCCTGTCCTTGCTTTTGGGAGTGGTTTCTGCTGGTGTGAAGCCTCTTAGACTTGTCAGCAAGTTCGTGGAGCTGTTGCTGTGTCAGTACAAGCTCAGCAGCGGCAGAAGTACGGCATGCAAAATCAGTCAGGTGAATGTGAGACACAACTCTGGGCAGTGATAGGAGTTTGGAAGAGCTGCTCATTTCTGTTTACTGAGGCACTACTCACCCTCTGAGGTGGTAGGGCACAATTCAAACTTGTTATACCATAAAAAAGTAATTCAAGAAGTAGAACATAATCCTACAGTTAATTAGATTTTGCCAACCAAAGGTTACTTTCCAACAGGTTTTCATAGGATTGTCCTCATCTGCTAGTTAAAACATATTTCTCTGGTGGATCAGAGAATGAAAAAAGGAATTGCATTTAATGCAGTGAAGATGGTTGCCTGTCCTTTATGGTGGCATTTTTGCTTTGCAATATTGCAAGGCTTTAAGGTTTCCTGCTGGCATTTAAAGCTACAGGATTAGTGGAGGATCATGTTGTGGACAGGGCACACCCTGATGACATGGCTTAGGTGCCACAGCCCATTATCAATTTTCACATTGTGAAACAATCTGGTAGTTACTTACACATAACCTACATAAATGCTTCTTTGAATCATTTAGTGTCATAACATTCAGATTTGCTTGTCTCTTTTTCCTTGCCCTTTTTTCTTCTTTTTCAAAAGTGTTTTAGCCAACCAAATTGATGTGTGGAGGTCAAACCTTGGTTTTGTTGTTGGGAAGAAGAGATACTTGTCTCTTTAAATCCCCTTTAAAGAAATGAATAAGTACATATGATTTCATTTAGTAAATGAAGTCTAATGCTTGCATCCAGGAATTGAAAAATTACATTTATTTGTGTTCTTGATGCTACTGAGATCTCCCGGGTGAGCAATTGTGTGTCCCGATCTTTGTCCGTGTTATTCTTTGTCTGACTCTTATTGATGCAAGTTAAGATTGGCAACAAATGGATTTGATGGTGCTTTTATGAAAACAGGAAGGAACTGAAGCTGGCTTATTAACTTTCCTGTCTCCTGTTCAAGAAAACTGTGATATCAATGTGTTCTGGAAACTTGCTTTCCATATGTATATATTTTTATAATTATATGGAAATACCTGGTACTGTAGGTGTGATGGGGAAAAATTGGGTTGTTGTTGGGACAGTGTTGCAGAGATGTGTGATTTTGAGGGACAGATGAGTTTTTTTATTAAATTGGGTGCATTTAATCAAGCAGATATCTCTAAACCTTGCATCTTGGACATCTGCATTTCTTCTTTTTTTGACCCTGACAAATGTTTGCTCCGAGTTTTTATTTCTCGTGTCTTTGGGAAATTCTGCCTTCAGTTAGTACCCCCTGAGTAACAGTTTGGGGACTGCTGTAATAACCATTGATTCTTCAGCTGCCTGAAGTCTGTTTGACTTAGGAAGACCAGATGAGGTTTTTAGAGCAGCTCAGGTCTCTTGAGTCAATGTGTAATGGGCACTCTTTCAACTGGGTAATTAGGGGGAAGTGGTGTGAGCTTTTCCCTCACATTAACTGCATAATTAGGTCACACTTTCTGAGGCAAAAGTATGTCAAAGTATGTCACAGTCAGCTCTCTGTTTCATCAGCAGATGTTAAAATAGGTTTTAAGGATCAGAGAGCCAAGCTGATAGAACAGTTGAAATTTTAATTCAAAATTAATTTGACTGATTACACAAAATTAGTATGATCCTGTTAGTTCTGCATATTAATGTTTTCTGTTTCTCTGTGAGAGAGAGCTTTTTTCCACTTCAGGCATGCTGTACCAGGGAGCTTGGCTAGAAAACCATTTGGGTTTTGAGATTGAATTGATCTCAACGATATCTGTGCTAAAAAGCAGAAATTTTCACTGATGCTTCTGGTCTATGCATAAAGAGGGATATTTGTTTGTTTGTTTTCATACATGAGACTGAAAACTTCATTTACCATTTTGTGCAGTTTCTGGCTGGATTTATTTTTGGACTGTGACCTAGGGGTGAAATGCCTTTCAGATTTAATATTTTGTATGCAGCTGTCTTATTTGCCAAGTTTTACTGATTTGCTTAGAATGCTTCAATTACTTTGTGGAATTTTTTACTGCTTTTTAATATATACTTCAGCAGCTGTTCACTACTGTGTGGATTGGTTTTGCAAAATGTGCAAATTTGAGAAACTGTAAATATTCCAAGGGAATATTGAAATAGAATTAGAAACTCTTTTCCTACTATTTGATTAGATCCAAAGGCAGAAACTCGACTGTATATTATGGTGAATGACTTTGAATTTCACGTGTACAACCGCTCTGAACTTTATGGACAACTTCAAGAACTGTTTGGCTTGGATCCCACAATAATTCCAGCAAAAAAAGATGATGAGAGAGCACAAGTGAATGGGAGGCAGAGAACACACGCCAATCTTGAAAGGTAAATAATTATTAATTTTGCTATTTTGTCAATGCTTTGTTCTGCAAAGCACTGAACTAATTGGGGAATGTTTTGTTAATGTGTGCTCTGGAGGCCAAACAAGGGAAGCACAGCTGAGAGAAATTGCACTGACAAGCCTGACAGTCTGAATATTTTCCCTTTCTTCAGATTTCTTATCAAAAATAATTAAAAAACACAGCCCAACAGTCTTGCTTAATGATCAGAGACAGGCTGAAAAATCTATTTCAAATACAGTGTGGAGAGGAAGCATGTGTTGAAGAGGATTATGCTGGCAGAATAATAGCAGTTTTGCTCAGTAGAAGTAACAGCTGCTCAAGACATTGAGAAGGCAAAATGTGAGGATCTGTATGGTCTTGTGTGCAGCACGCAAACTGTCTTCTGTTAATTCCTCTCTTTGGGGTATCTCAGAAAACATGGTGTGGAAATATAAGGAGTTTTACATGGCTTGTGTGCAGTGCCATCAGAGGTTCAACAATCAGCCTCTCTTTGGGCAGGACCACACCAGACTGATTTACTGTCATGAGCAGAGAAAATCTAATGAGACTTGAGTCCTGCCACTGCTGCTGGCCAGTGGGCAGCTGCAGGATGCTGTGGCAGTCCTGAGTTTGAGTAAGGGCTCTGCCTCCCAGCCAGTCTCATTGTGTTTTTATCTCAAGCCCTTATTGACAGGCACAGGAAGGATTTCTGCCTTTGAGGAGGATGTGTCTTGGGAACTGAAAAATCCCATGCCTCAACAGGAGTATTTAGAACAGGCCAAGATCCCATGAGGAAGATTTATTTAACTATTGCTCTGAGTTAAACAAGGCATGCCCGTTTCCTACCTGTGTCAGCACCAAGGTGTAGCTCCATGTGCTTCCTGCTGTTCTCCCAGGCTTGGGAAGCCTGGAAAGTTGTCTGCTAGCAAGTCCTTTGCAGGAGGCACCTCCGGGGAAGGAGTGTTCCCTGAGATCTGTGCCCTAAAGACCTCTACTTGAAAAATTTGGTTGGTTCTTTTGCAGAAAAGACAAAATAACAACCTTTCCAACCACCCCCCCCCCCCCTTTTTTTTTTTTTTTCTTTTTAATTTAGTGTTAAAGTAAAAACAGAATCTCAAGACCCCTCTTCTTCATGGAGATCACTTATTCCGGTCATTAAAGTCAATGTGAGCACGGTGAGTGAAAATACCCTTATAAGGAAAATATTTATCAGTATTTGCTTAAAAATTACTCTTGCCATTTATTTTTCTTACACATTCTATTTAAAGTTTTTGTTTGCCTTCATGATTTAAAGAAGATAAAATTACGCCGTGAGCATTCCTCTGACACAGTCACAAATCCTGCTGGTGCCTGTGGAAACACAGTTATGTTCTAACTTCTGGCAAATACTCTTGCCTTAGACTTAGTAATGATTTTCAGAGTATCCCCAAGTAATTAAATTGTGGGTGTTGTACAGTATGGGGTGTGCTGGGGTTTTGGCAGGTGTTTGGGGTTGTTTTCCTTTTTTTTTTTTTTTCCTTTGCCTGTTTTAATAGCAATATTTGGACATATTTTTTAAAATTTGAAGTTACATCCCAAAACCACACCCACCCATCAAAAAAACCCAAATTAACAGCATGAAAGAACTAGGAAAGCTGTTATTGAGGTAATAGAAGAAAAAATTTGGAGTTTAACATATAAATATTTTTAACTATGCACAGGTTATGGCTAGAACTTTTATCCATGTTTTTTATTTTCTCTTGGCTGGTTCAACTGCATTATTATAGGTAAATAAATACTTCTATGTAGGAGATCAGTGTAAATAGATATTTAGATATAAGACATCAGTGATTACCTGTGAGTTACTGGGTTTGCTTTTTGGTTTAGGGTCGCTTGGCATTTGGGAATCACTATCAGCCACAAACACTTTGCATTAACTTTGATGATGCCTTTTTGACATACACCACAAAACCACCTTCAAGCCACCTTGATCAGTTCATGCACATCGTGAAGGGAAAATTGGAAAATGTTCGAGTCATGCTGGTTCCAAGTCCAAGATATGTTGGTCTTCAAAATGATGAGTAAGTTTGGGGTATTTTTGTATCCATATTATTTTATTTTTTATTTTAAGAGCACAAAAAAGAGCATGTTTGTTGTGCTTCAGTGTCTTTATTTCACTCAGTTGCCATTTATTACCTGAAGCTCTGAAGGTTTTTAATTTTGGATCTTGAACAAATTTAGTTCATGGAGAAAAGCGCTGTTTTTTTGTGTTACTTTTTGTAACACAAAAAGTTTGGGTTTGTATTTGTGTGTGTCTGTGTTCTGCTCTAGTATTAAACATAGAATCATAGAATAGTTTGGGTTGGAAAGATTTCTTTGAAAGCCATCTAGTTCAACCCCTCTGCAATGAGTAGGGACATCTTCAACCAGATCAGATTGCTCAGAGCCCCTTCCAGTTTGGCCTTGAATGTTTCCAGGAATGTGGCATCCTGTGTCCAAGGTCTGTTTTCCTTCTCTCAGGTACTAGAGCTGTATCCAGGCTTTGCCAGCACTAAATTTCTATCTGAAATGCAAGGTTTAAAGTGTTGACTTCTGTAAAGCTGATTGATGGTTTAGGAAATACTAAAAAAAAACCCAAACTGGGAAAAAGTTGTGTGATATTTCTAGAGGGGAAACCATGTTATCTTTTGAAGACAGATTGCTGATCCTTTTACCTCTGTGTATTCTGCATAAGTGAGGTTAGGCAGCTTGAAAAAACTGAAGTCAAACACAAGCCTGAGTGCTTGCATGAAGTAATAAAATAAACTGTACATCATTTGTACCTTAATTGGCTTTTTATCAGCCAAATGCTGCTGTTTGTAACATGTCTTTATGTTTTTCAAAGAACATTCTGTGGCTGTGTACAGAATCTTACTCTTCCAACATGACGACAAAGGAAATTTCTGCAACTAATATTGAAAACAAACAAGATTAAAACAAAATAGGATTAAGATACTCAAACTATTAGCTTTTCCTCCTGCTTCCTCTAAGTATTTGCTTTTTATGCTCTTACTATCCCTGCAGTTCATGATGGCTGAAGGATGGCATCTGTGCACAAAATGTGCTCTAATTTACTGGTCAAATTAAAAAAATTGCCCAATTCACTGGCAGTGGAGAACGTTTGACTCTTTAGAGCCTGCCTTCTTATACTGCTTTGGCTTAAATTTTAAGTTGGGTGGTTTAACTTCACCTTGAAAACTGACATTTTGTACTGCAGACATCCATCTCAACACTTTTATCACTCTTTGCAAATAAGTCCTCTGAAATTCAAGGAAAGAACAAAAAATGGTGCTAGGTAAAACAGGTCAAAGTAGAAGAAGTTTGGAGGCAGCAGGCTCAAGGTGGTAGTTCAGGATAGATACTAGGGAATACTTCAAAATGATAATAATAATCTCATTTTAATTTACTGCCATTATCTTGTTTGTGTTAAAGTATTTAATCTTTCACTGCTGTCATTACTCTCAAAGTAAACTTAGTTTCAAGGTTCCTGCTCTTTTGCTTTTGAAGAGTTTCTGGCAGTACATGATCTCTACATCTGCTGTCTTCCACGTTTTCTAAGGCTTCCTGCCTTTGAAAATGAGCTGTGATAAAATGGGCAATGTGCTCTAACAGGTCACACTCTTAAACTGTCTTAGGAATTGTCTTTTTTTGTCAGGAAATGACAGTTTATGAAAGTGGCTGAGAAGCTGCAATAGTGTCTTCTGCAGTAAAACCAGAATTATTAATATGTAAATTAACATGGGAAAGGGATTATAATATACCAATTTTAAAGTGTTAGGAGAAATGTTTCATCTCTTAGTTTTATTACTTAGATCCTTTTATATTGAGCGAAGTGTTATTGAGGCGGAACAGCTTTTACTTTTCTATTTTTTTATTAACTAATGGTCTAATTACTGAAAGTCTTGTCCCTTTGGTGTAGAGGGCTATTTTAGTAAGAAAACAATTAGCAGGTGAAAGAACAATATAGGACAAGGAGAAAGGAACTCTTGACTGAAAGAAACACTGAAAGTAAAACTCCAGTCGTTACTTGTGGTTTAGAATATCTGAGAAATACCTTTGTGGAGAAGAACCTGGTATCTTTGTGCTTGAGTTTACTAAACTTATAAGTTATTTAAAGTAATAGTTATAATAATAGCAACATCATGATCAAAGGTTTGGTTTTTTTTTTCTCTCAAATCATTATGCAAATCTATTATGCACAATATGTTGCATTTAAAGTAACTTGAATTCTTATAGATCTTAAATAATCTCAGCATGTGGATTTTTACTCTTTATCATTGCACTCTTTCCTTGCAGACCACCGAGGCTGATGGGTGAAGGTTTTGTTGTAATGCAGTCCAATGATGTTGATATCTATTACTATATGGATGAACCAGGTACAATCTGTTAAATACAAAGATAGTTTGGTTTTTTTGGTTTTTTTTGATGGTGAGAAAATCTTTATGCTAAGAGAATTCATGCAATGTTTTGGAGCCAATAAAAGTATCATAAATAGGCTTTTGGTCTGACTGCCCTTAAAATGTTGCCTGAATCTTGAACAAGGACAACACATTTGGGTAATGGTGTGTACTGGTGTAGGGTAGGTGGCAATTTTGGATTATTTTTGATCATATTTCTTGGCCTTCCACTGGAAGTCTGACTTGAATTGTGTCTTCGTATTTATATACTGTAGTGCTCTCCAATAAAACTGTCATCAGGACGCTTAATTGTCTTGTGCTTAAGCAAACATTTCTCATGCTAATTTGAAGCAGCTTCCTTTAAGGATGTGTTCATTGTTTGATGTAATACAGGTCTTGTACCAGAGGAGACAGAGGAAAGTAATGATGGAGAAGCCAGCAACGAAGACAGCAAGTTACAGGACCTGCCACCATGCTGGGGTTTGGACATTGTGTGTGGAAAAGGGACAGACTTCAACTATGGGCCGTGGGCTGATAGGCAGAGGTACGACAGTGATTTACAGCTTTCATCTTAATATCCAGTACTGCTGAGAAAGCTTTCTCAAGTTTCCATTGTGTGATTGCTCAGACTTTTCTCATTTGTGTGTGTCCTGGAGTCACCCCAGGACAGTGTGTTTTGGGATAGACCAAGTCTGAAAGAAGAGTCTTGCCACAGTGGTTTAAGATTAGTAAATTCACTGGAGTTTGTCATGTTTGCCTTCCAAAGTTGGGATTACTCTCGTTATTAAATTAATAGATTATGTTCCCTTTATGTAAGCAAAGTATTTTTACGGTGTATCAAGTATCACATACCTAAAGGTTTTAACTTGTTAATTGGCAATCTTTAGATTTATCAAGCCCCTGTTAGACTAATATGGGAATAAACTGCATATTGATGAGGAAATTTTAGGGAAGCAGAAATCTGGCTGTGAAAATAATGAGGGAGGAATAATTTATCCCTGCTTAACATAATCAGCTGCTTGATGTTATCCCCAAAGTATTTATTATCTAGTTACTTCAATACAAGATATTAGGCTAGAGTTATACTGTTCTTCACTTGTCCCTGGGTGTTTTGCACGTGAGCATTTTTTTGTGAAGACAACAGGATTGTTTAGAGAGTAAAGGACTATTAAGTAAAAGTGACATAATCAGTGCTTTCCCTCCTTTCCCCTGTTAATTACAGGCTTGTACTTGGCCTTCACTAGTTCTCCTGTGAAACTGTTACGTTTTACTGTCTCTCAGGAGTGTGAGGATGGCAGCCCAAAGAGTAGTCTTTAGATATGATAGTGCATTTAAGAGAAAATGTTGCTTTCTAAAACCCTTTGCTAGAAATATGAGGTCAGTGAATCATTAATGATCCTTTTAATACTCCAAAGAAAGCTTGCTCAGTAATGGAGTGGTTTTTTTCAATCTTAACTGGCTCAGTAGAAAGCAGTTGAGTGCAGAGTGCATAGAGTTCCTAGATACATACTAGGAACACTTTTGCATCATGCATGAATAGATCATGGATGTTTAGAAACTTTTAAGCTGCTACAACAGCCAGGTGTTGGGTGCAGGAAGGAATTCCCCTCCTTTGAGATCTATGCAAGCGGTGCTGTCTGTGCTTCATCAGTCTTCTGTCTTGTGCTTCATATTCATCTGCTGTGTTTCATGGCATGTTCACCTATAAATCTGTAGAAGTGTGGTTTCCATTCTGAGGTCCTAAAGTTTTGTATTGTCTTTATTTCTGGGCTTACATCAGTTATTTAGGCAGAAAATGAAGAATAAATATATCACTTCCTACTGTGCTTTTGTAGCAGATTTTGTAAACCAAGGATTAGAAATAAGAAGAAAAACATGGCTTGCTTGCCTTCTGAATTGAAATGTATGGCTTTTGTCTGAAAGTTATCTTATTGCCATTGACGCTTTTGGAGGTTTCAATAATGAGTTGGAAGGCTCCCATGATGAAGATTTTCAACAAACATTCTTCCTTATCACATCCACTGGTTCTCTAAAGACTCAGCTAAGAGGAATATAGTTAAATGAACCAAGTAAATGCATAAATACATATATATATGTTTCTTCTGTGAACCAAAAACAGCTCCTTTTTTTCTTCTTCTTCTCTACTAGGGATTGCTTGTGGAAGTTTTTCTTCCCACCAGACTATCAAGTTATGAAAGTCTCAGAAATTGCTCAGCCTGGGAAACCAAGGCAGATCCTTGCTTTTGAACTGCGGATGAATATCATTGCAGATGCCACTATTGATTTGCTTTTTACCAAGAACAGGGTAAATAATGAAACCTTATCAAGAAATTAACTTTGTCTAGTGTGGTTGTACTGTGCTTTTTGGTTGTGCACAGTTTGATTTGTCTTAGGTGTTTATTACAGAGCTATGTTTTAAAAGCTGGCTGATTTTTGTCTTAGTTGTATATAATTATGAGCAAACTCTTTAAAGAGAAATGTATTCTGAGAGGCATTATTTTAAGTTGCTTGTAAGCTTTCAAGGTACATCTTAAGGCATGCCAACTCCTACAGTCTTGGGGCTTCATGATCTGGGTATGTCCTGTGCAATCTTACATTCTGATGAAGAATTTCACCATGATGAAAAAACAATTGCTTCTGATATTGAATGAAGGAATGACACTGGGGGGAACAAAACTTGTATGTGTAGGAATTTGGATTTTTCTTCTCCTTGTTGCTACTCTTCTAAATGGGATACAGCATCACTTCATTGTACACCTGTTTTGTTGTTTTGTGGTGGGTCTGAAAGGGTCAGAATTGTAGTGTTAGAAAAGTGTAGTAGTCTGCCTCTCCCAGGCCTTGGATCAGAGTTATTTTATGCTGTTTCTCTAACCTGGACTTCAGTCAGTATTTGTTCAGCCTAAAAACTGTGTTATTTTGTATCAATGCATATTGATAGTTCATTAGTGATTTTTCTGAAGGCAAGAAAGACTTTAATCATCAGGTGCTTTAATCCAGGTGTGAATAATGACAGCCAGAGGCATAAATAAACCTAGAAATCACATTTGCACTGTTCTGCTTTCTTGTAATGCAGGAAACAAACGCTGTACATGTAAACGTTGGTGCAGGATCCTATTTGGAAATAAATATTCCCATGACAGTGAGTGAAAATGGTGAGTTGAGGCTAAGACTGATTTGTTTCCCTACTGTTTTTCCTGGATAGTTGTCATAATTCCTGTGTGTGTGAATGTCTTTAAGTGTATTTCCTTTACAATCTTGGGATGTATATTCCTAAGGAAAGGAACAAAAATACTTCCTTGTAGAGTTCACTGCAAGATATTAAGGCAAATACCCATCAGAATTTTCTTCTTGTGGAATGCTGAAATCACTGGTAAAAATTGTTTAAATACTGGTGTAACTCTTGTGTCTAAATGATCATTTGATAACTTTCGTTTGCCAGGCTATTCACCTACAATTAAAGGGCAGCTCCTCCACGTGGATGCCACCAGCAGCATGCAGTACAGGACTCTCTTGGAAGCAGAAATGCTGGCTGTAAGTGTGCATTAATAAGCACAAAGCTTCAATCTCTAGAGGATTTTTAATAAAGAACATATTTATTTTTCTTTGGAGCAGTCTTTAGTTTCTTAATGGAGGAAAATGCCTTTTTAACGTGTCTTGCAAGACCTAAATATATAAGGCATTTATATATACCAACATAATAATAGTGCATGTGTGTAACCTTTAGTGACTTTAGAAGCACTGACTTGGTGTATAAATTATGGATTTACAAATGTTGCTTCATTTGCTATGTAGCCACATGTTCATACAGGCTTTGCCTTAATCAATTATTACACACACTAGCTCTGCTAAAGGATGTGTGTGCACAAGTACTTAAAAGCACTCCAGTGTGCTTGAACTACTTGAGACAGGTTTGATACTGCATTATTCTTTTGTTTGCCTAATATTTCACTTCTGCAGTACTGTAATTGTGTAGATTACCCTTCTTATGGGTTTTTAAATTATCTTGAGTTTTTTTAACTGTGTGAATTAGAACAATATATCAATGGTTGAAAAATATTCCGGGGGATTTTCCTTTGGTGTGTTGTCAAAAGTGATGCCTTTGATGAAAGTGTTGCTTTTTAAATTGCTTTGTACATCTACAGCAGCATATGTATCTGAAATTCATAGTATACCTTTCCAAATAAATGAATATACTAACATTTGACCTTCAAACACAGAAGGAAAGACAGAGATTAAATTATTAAGGAACTGGAAGGGCCTTCTGTTCATCTCAGCAGGAAAACAGTTTTAATTATTCAGTAGGGTACATACGTGAAAACTGCTGAGAGACAGGGTCGGGCATTGTCGTCTTTTCAGGTAATCCTAATGCTTTAATTTCTTGTCCACAGTTCCACATTAATGCCAGCTATCCCCGGATATGGAACATGCCACAGACATGGCAGTGCGAGCTGGAGGTTTATAAAGCAACCTATCATTTCATCTTTGCTCAGAAGAGCTTCTTTACAGGTAACCTCTTTGCTAAATAAATTGTATGTCAAATATTCTTTCTTTGGGATTTCTTTTCAAATTTTGCTGAGCTGTGCAAGGTCAGGTTCTCTGATTTCACCTATTTAAGGCAACAAATTGTTTTTGAGGACAAAGTTTCTGATACCTATTCAAGAGTGTTCAACTACATGATACTCTTTCATTTAAGTAGAAACACAAATAATTAAATTTTCTAATATCTAAATAAATATGATTTGCAGTTAAGTGATAGTAAATTTATTTCTTACTAGAACTCTTACCACGGCTACGGATTTGCTTAATATTTATCATCCATGATGTTGATTTCTCTTGATATCTCTCTTTGCTTGGCTCATTTTCAACTACTTGGGCTTTGGATTCTGTCCCTGTGGCTGACAGATGATGAGGAAAAGTAATTTGCTCCTCAGGATTCTGGCTGTGAGGAAGAAGGCAATGCAAGGTGGTATAGCACCACCCAACTGTTGCTGGAAGCTCCAGCTGCAGTAATGGAAAGAATGCAGCCCCATCACTGTGGTGCTGCCTGGGCTAATTAGCCCTGCTGGGAGGAAGGTTTAATTAGTGCAGGCTTGGTGCCATGCTAATGAAGTTATCCCCTGAGTGAGGCCAGAGCCATTGTCTGGGTAGTGCCACAGTGCCCAGTGTAATCTGCTGCTGTGGTCAGAGCCAACATCAACTTCTCCAACATGAACATCCTAAGAAATCACTCACCTGATAGCTGCTAACTCACCTTTTCTTGCTTGGTGTGGCTCTAGATTTGATCCAAGACTGGTCAAGTGACAGTGCACCCGATATTTTTTCATTTGTTCCATATATGTGGAACTTCAAAGTCATGTTCCATCAGTTTGAAATGATCTGGGCAGCAAATCAGCACAATTGGATTGACTGTTCCACCAAACAACAGGAGAATGGTGAGATCACTTTTTTTATAATTTGGAAGAAGTAGCATATACAACAAAAATCATCAACAAAAGACAGTGTATATAAATATATGTAGAGAGAAAGTACTAGAATTATACCCAAAACCTGCTGAGTAAAGAAAAGCATCAAGATATTATAGTTAATTTTATTGTTTGCCTGAGATTTCCTTGTGCTAAGTACAGTGTCTTTCTAGAAAGAACGAGCTGTAGGCAGTAAATACTTCCAGAATAATTGATTACTGTAATTTATTGCTCTAAGTACAGTGTAGTTAAATGGCAATATTCAGTGATATGAGTTCTTTAATATCTTTTCATAATTTCTACATGTATGTTTGATATTTCATCTAAGAACAAAATAGGGAGTAATTTTGACTAATTAGTTTTAACTTTTCCCTCCCAGTTTATCTAGCAGCTTGTGGAGAAACCCTGAACATTGTTTTTTCTCTGCCTTTCACTGACTTTGTTCCAACCACATGCAATACTAGATTCTCCTTAAGGGTAAGATCTTTTGTCTTATAAATGTGAGACAGCTCCCTTTACTTTCTTGAATCAGGAAATTTTGAATTAACTCTTTCCTGAAATAAAAATAGTCTTTTGCACTTCCAGTTCATAGAATTTTTCTTCAAGTAACCCAGAGGTAAATGGTTTCAGTTTTCTTGTGTGAAGCATTTAATCATAGGCTGTTTTAATTTATATACACACATATATAGACAAAAATGAAAATATTTCTGAAAAATACAAACATGCATATGCTTCACACATACATGTAGATAGATATTTAGTATGTATATTTATTATATATACTTAAATTGTGTGTCAGTCTATGTGTTTTATCACTTGGAATTTTGTTCCTCTTTATTTATGAAATGTGAAAATCAAAGGTGGAATTGAATACTGCACTAGCTACTCCCAAACCATTTTGGAAAGCCATCTTCCAGATTTTTAAGAGGTTCTGTAGCATTAATAATGATCACAAATTGTTTTTAACATATGCAGATAATTCTTTGAATTACTGTACTTTTTGTCTTCCTTACAATAGAGGCTGTCTACTGCTGCTAAAAATAAAAAACTAGTTGATGGTGATGTTGCTAATTTGGTATCATTTGATAGGAAAGAAATCCATGTTTTATAGGTTTCTTTCTTTTTCAAGTGTGATTTTGTTGAGATGTGGAGTAAGCTTGGGTTAGTTATTTAATTTCTGCAGTATGGTTTGAGCAACAGAAGAACAGGGATCTCCTGTTGCTCTCCAGTGTTTTATAGATTGCTCTGGTTATGTGCAAGGTACTAGACTTGTAAAGATCCAGAACTATAGAGCTCTTGGGATTGTACTAAAACTTGATGGGCAACAGAATTCTTGTCTAATTTGACCTGTAAAATGAGGATGATGGCACATACAAACATGAAAATAGCGTGAGCATTATCCATGAAGTGAATGCAAATTAACTCTCCTGTTGCTGATGTTTGATTTTTAGGGAGAAGATGTTGATCTTCATTTGTATCTGCCTGATTGCCATCCTAGTAAATATTCCCTTTTTATGCTAGTGAAGGATTGTCAGCCCAATAAAATAAATCCCGAGTCTTGTATTTCTGCGGAATGTCAAAGCGGTCAGAAAACAGGCAAGCCCAAATGGAGGAACATTACTCAAGAAGAGTGAGTGTAATTGAGATATTTATATATGTATTTATATCTTTATGTTGACTCTTTTTACTTATTTCATTTGTGATTCATGAACTTTTGAGGTTGCTTTAAAGATACCTAAAGGAAGTATTGTGCTTGAAATAAAAGGGTGCCGTTTCCTTTTGAAAGGGCTGGATGGGTTGAATGCTGGACGGTCCCAAGTGTTGTGTTTACAATTGACTACTCCTGGCACCCAATTTATCCTCAGAAGGCAGATGAGCAGTTAAAGCAATCCTGTAAGTGTCACTACCTTTTCCTTGTTAGCGTGGGTCATTTGGGACTTGGGATCACGCTGCTTCCATCTGCAGAAATGAACTTGGAACTAAATTGCTGTTTTATGTCTCAAGGGAATGTGTTGATCATTAGAATGCACTGGGATTGATTTAAAACCTGACAACATTCCATACTGCTGCATTTCAGGATGTGTCCCAGTTCCCTGTATAAAAAAGAGGATGCTGTCTGCAGTTCACTTCTCCTTGTCCTTAACAAAGTGTATCTCTTATAAATGGGTTGTTGCAAAAGTTAAAATATCACTTGGTATATTAAACATCAGTATATTAAATAGGAAGTCAAATATTTTTGGCCATATCATGTTCTTTAGCTTTTCTAAGCTTTTTTTTCTTTTGGATGTTGTGATCTCATCTTACGATTTAAATGTTTAAATACATTATATATGTGGTGCAATAATATTGTCTTCCTTTTATGGGTATCAAACTGAGATTTCATTGTTCACTGTTAAAGTGAACCATCAGAAATGATTGTTGGACTGGTCAGTCAAATTCTAATATCTAGGAATTTATTTGAACTGTCTAAATACTTCTAGACAAATATCCTATAAGTGTGTGCTTGCAAAAAAAAAAAAAAAGTTATAAACACAGAGATTAAAGTAAGTTAATTTAAATGCAGAGGGAGGTATGCAGGAAGTTATGGGGTTACATAAAACTCTTTCAGGTTGAGATTCTGGAAGCAGAACTGATGGAGATATTAGAAGAATAATGAGGGCTAATTTGATAGGTCCACAATCAGCAGGTGTTAGGAGACATGCTGGATGGCATTTTTAGGGTTTGAGTTCCAACAATTGACATCTAAAAGAGCTCTAATTTGCGAGGATGAGGCAGAAAAGGTGAGTTTGATTTTGCAGATGCTCATTAAGTGCTCTTGTGAGACTGTCAGCTAGTGTCAAATGTGTGTTCCTCTCATTCTGAGAACGTTTCCTCTTAATCGCAGCAATTGAAACCTGCATCTGCAAGTTTGTACATACACAGGTAACTCATCTACAACTTCCTCCAGTGATTAATTCAGCAGTCCACCTCACTCCCACTCCATGGTGCCGATGGAACCTGTTTGTTGCAGTAGCAACATCCACATTTTGAGTCGGTCCATAAAACTCTGAGAAACATGTTGCACTACAAAAGATGCAGTTTCCATAGAAAGTGGTCACCTCACTGCAGCATTTGGCTAATGTGTAACTTGTAAGACAGTGTGCAAGCACTGAGCAAGAACTGTAATGGGGAGTTCAAGCTTTGGAGGTTTTTGCCTGCAGGTGTCTGTAGTTGTGTACATGCCAGTTCTTCCCGATAAACTGGCACCTGAAATCTTCCTCCAGCTGGAGCATCAATTTTTGATGGTTTCCCCATAATGTTCTCTACTCCCCAGCAATCAGTTCACATCCCCAAAACCTTTCCAGTTACTCACTACATTCTCATTGCCTTTCCTCACTTAGGACAGACAGGTTTTGGGCTCTCTTGTTCCTATCTCCAACTAGAAAGAAGGGGTAGGAAATAAGATTTGAATTTCCAAACTGTTTTGTGACCAGAGTAACTGAGTTGTTGGAGACAAAATTTTGGCCTACAGAGCTACTAGTTCAGAGTAGATTTTTAGTACAGCTTTGCACTTTGCATGTTTATTCTTTCTTGTTTATCCTGCAGTAGCTGTGTGGTTGTGGGAAATCTGCTCTGCTGAAATGAAAGCATGTCCTTGTTTAACTTCAAAAGCAAGATAAATACACTAAATACTTTTTTCAGAACTTGAGGGATTGTTTTTCTCTTGCATAATTAACATTGACTAAAATATTCAATATTTTCTTCCCATAGTTACCAGAGATGAAAAACCAGTTCTGTAGCACAGATACGCTAATGTAACTATACAAATTAGGTGCCAAAAGTTGTATATTTAATACACATTCCTGTTTGCTGAACTTTGTCCAACAGAGGCCTAATCAAAATCTGTTTTCTACTCTCATTTTGCTCCCAAGTGTCAGAAATGGAAGAAACAATGTTATCTGTGCTAAGGCCGTCGCAGAAAACCACCGACAGTGTGATTTCATCTCCCACAGCTTCCACCCGCCTTCCCCTCGACCCCTCGGAGCTGCCCCCGGATAAGCTCCACGTGGAGCTGGAACTCTCCCCAGATTCCCAGATAACCCTGTATGGACCCTTGCTCAAAGCCTTTCTCTCCATAAAGGTAGGCAGAGGAGCACCACTCGTAAAATTTACGGGTTGGCCATTTGTAGGAAAAGGGAAGAATTAGTTCTGAAATGGAAAATTTGAATTCTGAAGAATATGTGAATTTGGATGGAAACTTTTGGTAGGCACTAGTTCTAGTCTAGAATTACTTGGGTGATCTGGTATTGCTGGAATGAATGTTATTGTCACAAGCTTGGGAGAAGACTTCTTACAAATATATATATATATATATATATATGTATATTTATACACCCATATCAGCATAATTCTTCTTTCAAGAAATACTGCATGTTCTGGACATGTGCAGAAAATTTCTTCTTTCGATTTTCCACTAATAAAATAAAAAAATATTCCATGATTACGATTAGAGCTTATCTAAACTCCAGTATTCATGCAGAGTTATACCAGAAGCCATGCTTTTGGTGCATTTTAAGTTCTGCAGTGTGTTGTTTTTCTTAATTAGATTCCATGACATTTCTGGAGTTAGGATCATGGAGGGGACTGGGGAAGGACATGAGAATAAGCTTAATTTAAAAAGCTTCTTCAGTGAATATTGGAGAAGGATTATGTGTCCTTTCCTTGACATTAATCTATTATGCTTTAGAATGTGTGTTTGGGTTTGTTTGTTTTTTTCTGTCTTCTCTTCCATAAGTAATTTTCTTTTTTAGGGTGTCTAAGTTTAATTCCTTCCTGTCTCTCTCACCCTCCCTTGTGGTGATAAAAGCCAGGGCAGATGAATGTGTCCGTTCTGTCTGACTAACAGCAAAATGCTTGGAGTTTGGTTGATTTTTGTGGTTGTTTTTTAATTTGTGTGTGTGGTTTTGGGGTTTTGGATTTTTTTTTGGTGGGTTTTTGCTTGTTTATTTTTCTCTGAACATCTGTATCAACCTATGCAGATCTAGGCTAAGGTAATGCTTCTGGAGCTGACATTTTGGAGCAGAGGTTGAGGAATTTTCTGAGACAGGTGATCAATATCAGGACTCACTGAAACAGTAATTTTCATTAATTTGTATAAGGTACAGCATATAAGCAAGTAATAGCAGAAAATACTGGTTTGTAGAGTATAGGACTTGAATATATACTCATTATTTTTTAATCTTGTCGATAAAATAAATAGGATTAAAATTAGGCCAGTACTGCATCTTGAAGACTTGATTTCTCCTGGTACAGAGCAAATGAATCCATGTTTGAATTGTTTATTGAACCCTCTTTTTGAAGCCCCTAAATTCATGAGGGAGCTCTGGCTTTTCAAGCAAAGCAGCACATTTTCAGTTCTTTTTGCCTCTGGAGCTAAATGCAAACAGTACTACATTAGATCACTGATTCTATAATTATTTCATTTTTAGGTGCAGATTTCTCACAAAAAATTTAGCTCTTCTATTTCAATTCTCTAGAGAAATTTTAGATTAATAGCTTGTTTATGAAAATGTGCATTTATTGCTCTTTTTAGCATTTTTGTGACTCTCTTTGGAACTTTTGGTCCAGCTGCGCTGGGACCATCTTTTGAAAGATTTCTAGCAGGGCTTTTTATGTTTCTCTTCCTGACTTGTGGTTGTTTTCAGTTTGTTTTCATTGATGTTTTTTTAATACATGGTAGAGATCCCTGGACACACATTGTCCATGCAGCTTTCTTAAGCCTTCTAATCTCGGGTGGTGGTTTTTTGGTGTAGCACACCCTGCTAAGGGTTTACTGTCTGGAAATGAATGATTTATAGGTCCTGGCAATTGCAGCAGGAGTTGTCGGGAGTGACTTAGTGGAGCTCCTACTGCTCCAGACCCTCTGCTGGGTCTGCCTTATTAAAAATCACTGTAAGAAAATTCTTCTTGAGAGTTTAGCTTTACTTTTAAGGGAGAAGATGTGATAAATTGCCAGAAACCTGATGGATTTTTTGTTTCCCAGTAGAATTTGCAGCTTTACTTTGGTCTTAGATAGTTGAAGAGGATTTGCTTAGACACAAGGTGGCTTTTAGACCCAAGCAAGAAATGTTTATGACCTAATATTTTAGAACCATGCTTAAGACTTTTAAGTTTGCTGAAAAAAAAAAGGTTTAGAGAATTGAATGAGGGTGACTTCCTGCAGGATGTGTTTTGTGTTCTTACTCTGTTCTGTTTCTTTAAAAGCACAAAATCAGTTTAAAAGTGTCAGTAAAATTTCAGAACAGTTACTTGTGTTGCATGCATCTCAAATACCAGTATTGGGAGAACTACTGAGCTGCCTTCATTTTCTCTAAAGCACAGTGCCTATAAATTTGCAAGTTTAAGCTATCCAGCTTTCATAAAATGAAAGCATATATATATATATATATTTTAGGGAGGATTATAACCAGATCTGATTTGTATTTCAGTTGATTGCCTGCATGTTTTTCATTTGTTTTCTGTATGATCATAACAATTCTTTTTCCTAGGAAAATTATTTTGGGGAAGATGACATGTACACTGATTTTGAAGAGGTCATTTCAAGCCCTGTTTTGTCCCTATCAACATCCTCAAGCTCTGGCTGGACAGCTGTAGGAGTGGAAAATGACAAAAAAGAAAATGAAATTTCAGTCAAGCCCGTTCACCCTCTTACTTTACGCCCATGGGATATCACTGTGCTTGTTAATTTGTACAAAGTGCATGGGAGATTGCCAGTGGTAAGTACTTTATAATCATAAAAGAATTTATTTTTTTTTTAAAGTTTCTTAATCTGGATCCATATTTAACTGCTTGCAACATTTAGTTGCTGTGGTGCTTACCAAAATGTGTAGATACTCTGCTGAAACTGTGGCTCTCCAAACAATTTTGGGACAGGATTTATTTTGCTTATCTGGGAGGCAGAACTGGATAGTTTTTTTAATATGCTTGTTATTCTCAGAACTTGATTTGTGTGGTATTTTTGATCAACCATTAGGATTTGTCCGCTGATTAGCGAATTTATCTTCTAATGGTGCTGTGTGGTCTGTCCACCTCAGTTCTGAGGGAACCCCAGGAATAAAAAATCCAGATAAAACATGGGGTTCACCCAAATATTTTTGAATTGCTGTTTATGCCGTTGTCAAAAGGTGTTTGAAGTTGCACAGGCTTCTTTTTGAGTATCCTCTTAGAGGAAAATGAGCATACTTCCTGCTCACAGGTTTGCAACTAAGAGTAAAGTTTCAACTGTGTTATGTACTTTCAGGCTCTGAAATAGATGTGTTTATTTTCTATTTCAGCATTGCAGTCCAGATGGTCCAGAATGCCCTACAGCTTTCTTGGAGAGGCTGTGTTTTGAGATGAAGAAAGGATTTAGAGAAACAATGCTTCAGCTTGTACTGTCTCCAGTGAATCTGTTTCTGAATGACAATTACCAGGTAGTCAGCCAGTGTTTGTGCAGCTTTATTGTGGAAGTTTTGTTGATTTAAAAATTTTTTTTTTGATAGGAATTTTCCTGTTGTGCAAAGATTTTATTGAGACTTATGAATCATAAGAAAATTCTGATGCATATTTTATAAAAAAATCTTTGTTTTTGTCCAGATTTTTTGGGGCATTTTATCAGTAAAATAGCTAGGATTAAATTAGGCCAGTGTTGCATCTTTTCCAAGAATTTCTTCCCACTTCCTTGTCCTTGGCAGCGCCCTGCAGTGGACGAGGTGCTCCGGGAGGGTCACATCAGCCTGTCGGGCCTGCAGCTCCGTGCCCACGCCATGTTTTCTGCGGAAGGGCTGCCCCTGGGAAGCGACACTTTGGAATACGCCTGGCTGATAGATGTGCAGGCTGGAAGCCTCACAGCCAAAGTGACAGCACCACAGGTACCATCTAGAAACCAGTCTGAAGTGCTGGAGTGTTCTTTTTCCTTCTAAAACTGGCATAGCGTGGATTTGCATGATCTGTGCCTGAAGTAACCTTTACTTTATAGCTTTATAATCTATTTTGTTTCTGTAATTTCTATAAAGTGACAGGAGATGCCAGATGAGCCATTCTCACAGTCATGTTTTAAAGCAGGAGGCAAAGGAGATCATTGGTGGGAGAATAGTATGGACAGGCCTCAGGAGTAGCTGCTCACTGCATAAATTCTGCTCCTTGGTCTCACTGGAACATAGTTTGCTTTCCCAGTATTGCACTTTGTTAGGTCAGTCTTAGCACTAAACCCTTTTAATTTTGCCATTTATGTTACATTTGTCTTTCCATCTAGGTGAATGGCTGCAAGTATACACCAGGGAGATGATTTTGATTTATTTCTCATGTGGTCTGCCAAACCTTTAGAAAAGGGTTGCTTTGCCCAGTGCATTCTGAGGCACAAAAGAAGTACATACATTCTATTTACTAGTTACTATTTGCTTTAATTATTTTTTTAAGGCACTTCTACATCTTCTTATTCCTCTAAAAATTGGTGTTATTTTGTAGGATTAAGCACATATTTCACTGGGAGACTTCTGCAGCAAATAAAATAAGGCATACAAGCAAGTTTAGTAAATCTAAAGAATAGATGTTTTCTACATATACAGATATTTGTGGTGGTACTTCCCAAAATGCTGCCACTGATTTAGATGATCTGTAGGATTTGCTCCACTGCTCTATGGTTCAAAATTAAACTTAGTTGATTCAAACTACTCCAAGGTTCAGGAACATTTCTTAAGGCTTAATGCAACTGAAGGTTTTTCTTCCCTTATAAAGCCATTCTCAATTGTATGCATCATATGGGATTTTTTTTTTTTTTAAATTGTCAGCACTTGAATTTGCTGTTTCAGGTTCATTGGCTTTTTTCCTTCCCTAGTGTGATGTATTGCAAGAATTTGTGAAGAGACTACGCTGAACGGAGGAGGAGAGATTCTGTGCAGGACAGTCATAGCTAGATTAAATTCCATTCAAATTACTGCTGATTTTAAGTGCCCTTTCCTTTGGCAAGCCAAAGAAAACCCATTTCCCTCTCATAACAGAGACAGACAGTCATGAATCATTTCCTTTATGAGCTAGCTAACTATATAAAAGACTTAAATCAACAGTAGGCTAATTACTAGGTCTAGCAAGAATCAGCAGTGTTTCGTTGAGCCAGTTTCCTCCTGTGCTTTCTAAATGTTACTTTGTTGCTTTTATAGAAGCAAATCTGACATTTAAATTACGAATGGTAATGAAGTACCTTGAGCTATTCTTTGTGATAAAGTTGGGGGAGCTCTGTCTTTACAATGAAGTTCCCAGCTGACTGTAAGAGCACAAACTGCTGCCTTTTATTAAGAAATAATGTAGGAAATTGTTTAATGTCACTGTGCTTTTCCGTGAAAAAGTACAGACTTGCGTGTTGTGGTGCATTCAAAAATAAAATCCAGGCCTGAGTAGCAGGAAGGTGCTGAGGCCTCCTGCTCACATCCCAGCCCCTGGGGTTGTTTTCTGTGCTCCATGGAACATCACAAGTCCATTTTTTGGTGATGGACCGTGTGCTGTTGTTTGCTTACAGCTCGCCTGTCTTCTGGAATGGGGGCAGACCTTTGTGTTCCACGTGGTGTGCCGGGAGTTTGAGCTGGAGAGGCCCAAATCCGTAATCCTGTGCCAGCACGGCATCGATCGCCGCTTTTGTGACCCAAAGGTACCTTTTCATCCATCCCTACTGCTCACTGGATGTGCACAGGTTCTCTGGAACACTTCAGAAATCCACCCTTAATGTTACCACAACATTAAAAAAAAAAAAAGGATTGGCACAAATTAATAGTTGTTTCTGTATTTATTTTCCTTTGTTCTTTCCCTTTTCCTTCAGACAAACTCTGTGCCTGGGCCATGCCCAACGTCAGATGACTTAAAGTACACAATGACACGCTTAGCCATGGATGGAGCAGATCTGTATGTGGTAGAACATGGCTGTGCCACCAACATCAAGGTAAAATATTTCTCTTAACAGCATTAAAAATACTTCGTCAATTTGTATTTTTTTGACAGAATATCCACCTGAATTGATGGCTGCTTGCATGCAATGGATTAAGCAGAATTTCTAAAACTTTTAAGCGATAAAAGGTCATCATGGACTGGTCCAGGAGTAGGTGGATTTGGCTTCTACTTAATAATTCCATTAAATATGTTGGCAAATGGTTAGGAGGAGTTTATGTCTCCTAAAATGAAAGCGGAAGCTGCAGGGTTGGTGTAAAATAATTGAGAACACCTCAGGCAATATAAATCTCAGTGTTTGTACCCGAGAGTTGATGAGAACTTGTGCTGTGAATTATTAATTCAGCAAATGGAGATGATTGATGTGGATCATGTACAAGTCAATGCTGGAAAACTCATGATCCTCTGTGGAGAATTTAGATGTATCCTTGGTAGAGAAAGGAAAAGTGTTTTTGCCACTGCCTGACTGAATCCCCTGTTCAAAAAGGGCTGTACAGAGAAGAGCTGTTATCCTACTGCACAACAACAAAAAAAAGGAATAATTTACTCAGTGTAGCAAAATATAAGTTTGGATACAGGTGAGTTATGATAACAACAGAAAAGATGAAAACTGCCATGCTGACATAGCTGAGTAATAATTGTGCTGTTAGTTAATAAATGCAGTTTTAAATGGTAGACTTAAAATTAAAACTTTTGGGCACAGATTCACATTATGAGCAAGAATCTAACTAAAGGGCACTGGTAATTATTTTAAATATTTTTTTAATGACGTGATATCTCATCATTTGAATGGCTTGCTGCCCTGTGGCAGTAAAAAATATGTTTGAGCCTCCAAATTCTTTTGAATCCAATATTAAAAAGCACCATCATAAATATTAACGGTGTCTGCAGGCATAAATATGAATGGCAGTACTTTCAAAGGCAGCTTAATAACCTGAACCACTCTAGAAAATTATATCCTGAATGTGTTTCATTCAAATTAAAAAAGAAAAGAAAAAGAAAAGGTTTTCAGTAGTCCTTTATAATCTGTGACAGAGATGAGAAACAATAATATTAACCCTTTAGGTAGCTCTTCTATGGCTGGGTTAACTTTCAGCTTTTCTTGATTTAGAGTTAGAAAACTTCCTCTGAAATTTCAGGTGCTTCATGGTGATGTTTTGGAGAGGACTCAAGCTGTGCAGGAAACTTGATCCAATGTGTTCAGATTATGTGAAGTTTGAAGACTAAACCAATTTGAAAGTTTCAGTTTTTTTGGGTTTTAGATGTCAGCGAAGAAGTTAATGATTTAAGTTTTTTAAGTTTCTTGACAGTGTCTATTGACAGTTGTTTTCTGTTTTGATCTGTTTACAAAGGGATGTTTCTTAGTAACTTTTTTATTTTCCTGTTATGTAAAAAGTGGCTGAGATTAATTTCTAAGCTTGCCTTCTCTTGTGTGTGTGCAGACCTGCATATAAAACTGCTTCCCCAGAGAGAATTTTGCTGAGATCTTTTTGGGCTGCAGTATGTGATGTGTTAACTGGTTTAAGGCCACTCTTGCTTTGTTTCACTGACAAATAGCCAGAGTTCCTGTTTAAATCCTGTTTTCAGATGGGTGCCATACGCATTGCAAACTGCAACCTCCACAACCAGTCTGTCGGGGAAGGCGTCAGCGCTGCCATCCAGGACCTGCAGCTCAGGCAGTACGTCGAGCAGGTGAACAACTGCAGAACTGGCCTGCAGCCAATACTGAGGAGGGCATACTGGCTGGAAGCTGGCTCTGTCAACCTGGGCCTCGTCACTGCTGACATTGCTTTAGCTGCAGATCATCCCTCTAAACACGAGGTGCAGAGGCATTTCTTGGAAACACACGATAACAGAACCAAGAGGTGAGCGATGCGGTGGAGGTGCGTTTGAGAGGGATATTTGTTCATCTTGCTTTCAATGAGCTTCAGCATGGTCATGTTCTGCTCTTCTGCCTTTTGTAGGTTGTGGTTTTTGTGGCCTGATGATAATTTGAGAAACAAGAGAAGCAAGAACAAGTGTGGCTGTCTCGGAGGTTGTCGGTTCTTCGGTGGCACCTTAACGGGACTGGATTTTTTCAAACTTGAGGAACTGACACCTTCAAGCAGCTCTGCTTTCTCAAGCACCAGTGCAGAATCTGATATGTTTTATGGGCAGTCTTTACTGCAGCCAGGAGAATGGATAATTACTAAGGAGATTCCTAAAATTTTGGATGGTGAGAATGCACTGTATTTTTACTCTGTTTTGCCCAGAAGTATGATTTCTTAACATTTTGCTATTTTTAGTGTTTATGAATCTGATTAATAACTACAACTGCTCAGGCTCTTGTGGCCTGACCCCTTCTAAGAGCAGACAGAGCTCGAGCAAGCTTTCATATGCTGGATTTTTATATTAGCATGCACCTCCTTTCTTAGCAGAAAGGACATTTTTGACTTGTTCTACTTATATTGGAAGGAGCCAACTGAGACAATCTGATGTTTTGCTGACATGATTTTATTAATTTCTGTCAGGACAACATGCTGGGATGTGCACACATTTCAAAACCAGGGCTTTTATTTAATAATGATTTTTATTCCAGTAGTCAGGGAAGAGTCCACTGCCATTGTGTCATCAGATACTCAGTTTTGCTTTTCCTTCCCTGATCCTAGGTAAAGCAAATGGTGTCAAAAGAAAAGATTGGGACTGCAGATCTGTGGGGATAGAAATGGAAAGGAAAGCACAACACCTGAGCCTCCAAGTGCCACTGCGCTCCCACAGCTCCTCCTCCTCTTCGGAGGAAACAAGCAGCTCCAGTGCTGCCCTGCCCTTGCTTGCAGGGGAGAAGGACAGCCCCTCATCCACTGCTGAGGATCACCTGGGACAGAAGGAGTTCCTACCCAGTGCAAAAAGGGAAGATGCTCACGGAAGGTTAGTACTCTTGTCCAGGTAGGCATGTAACTCAACTCTTGAATGCTATGAGATGTAAGAAAATCCTTTGATTTAGCAATTTTTCAAGTGTTAATGGTGCCGCTAGTATGTGTCTCCTAGTTTGACTGCTGATTTGGATCCCTAATAGGGAATGGTTACCTGGGGAAGGTAGAAAATCCAGCATGTGAAGACACCCACCAGCACTTGTTGCTACATGTTTGTTTTTACATCCTCTGTATGTAGACAAGTGGCAGAGTTCAGTATGTAACCATTGTTACCAAAATAATGGCTATGTTAATAGAGAGTCACAGAATCACTGATGCATTTGACAGCTGCTACAGTGTAGGAAGAGAAGCATTTGTAAAGAAACAAGCAAGTGAAGTGTTTGTTTCCATTCCCAGTGCCACGGCAGAGGGTGCAGAGGGCCGGCCTGCTTCCCCTGGCCCCCAGGAGAGGCCTGTGGGCCAGTCTCCCATGAGGTCCCCGCTGAAGAGACAGGCGTCCGTGTGCTCCGCGCGGCTGGGCAGCACCAAGAGCCTGACGGCGGCGTTCTACGGGGACAAGCAGCCCGTCCCCGTGGGAGTGCAGTTCAGCAGCGACGTGTCCCGCAGCGACGAGAACGTCCTGGACTCCCCAAAGCAGAGGAGGAGCTTCGGCTCTTTCCCTTACACGCCGTCAGCGGATTCAAACTCCTTCCACCAGTACCGCTCCATGGATTCCAGTATGTCCATGGCGGATAGCGAGGCTTATTTTTCAGCTGCGGAAGAGTTTGAGCCAATAAGCAGCGATGAAGGCCCGGGAACCTATCCGGGGAGGAAGAAGAGAAAAAAGCAAGCTCAGAAAACTGAATACAGTAGGGGATCTATTTATCACAGCGTGGAAGGACCCTTAACAAGCACAATCCATAGAGAAATCAGTCAAGATATGAAAACGTTGCCAATTAAGACTCATCCTTCCCAGGCTTCGTTTGTTTCAGCTCTGGGAGGAGACGATGAGCACGTTGACAACATGTATGTCTTGGACTCTGAGAAGACTGTGGAACGTGAGCAAATCACTTCCCAGCAGCCTGTAATGGCATGTTACCAAAATTACCTGACGCAGTTCCAGGTGATCAACTGGTCAGTAAAGCATCCAACTAACAAAAGAACTTCCAAATCCTCATTGCATCGCCCTTTAGACCTCGACACACCAACGAGTGAAGAAAGTTCCTCATCTTTTGAGCAACTCTCTGTTCCAACTTTTAAGGTATGGAAGACGGAGGAGTAGAGAAAGGAGTAAGAATTGAAAATAACTTAAAATGGCTTAGTACCATTTGTGTGAATAAGCTACAAGAAACTTGAAGTTTCTTAGCTTTTAGTTAAAATGAAGAATACCTTGAATTTCTGACTTCAGGTTATGGGCCTGAGTGGCTGGAAGGTTGTGGGACAAAAAAAGGTGGAGTTAGAATTCTGTGGATGCGTGTTCTGCATTATCATTGTTGCAGTTAAGAATGCTGCCTGTTGAATGATATGCAGCTGGAGGGCATTTGTGTGAGTTTCGTTTCCAACCCAAATGAAGTGCAATAGCAGCACATTTAATACTGATAAAGTATAATTCAGGTCCTCAGTGCTTTATTTCAAAATAAAATTCCGACTCAGATTTAGGAAAGTTGGTTTTTTTTAAGGGACTTGAGCATACATGCTTAAGGAAGGAGTTGAAATTAAATAAATGAAAAATAATGGAAATGACTTGATAGAAAAACAGGTGTTTGGAATTGGATTTGTTATCATTTTGCAGAAAAGGTTTGTGTTGATGCAAACTTTATGTAGATTACTATTTGAAGGGGTTTTTAAAAGCAGTAAATCAATGTTTATGTAAAAGCAATGTAATCTGATTTTTCAAGGAATTTAAAAAGCTAACCTGGCAGTTCCTGGATCCTGTATTGGAGAATATGCTTCTAAGGGTTCTTTTAGGAAAAACAGCTTTAAGGGGAGTTTTTTTTGAAGATCCCTTTGGGGTTTTTATCATATATGGAAGAAATGTAATCAACTTCTTTGCACTTTTATCTTAGATTGTTAAACAGGGTCTCACAGCTAATTCATTACTGGACAGAGGCATGCAGCTTACAGGATCAACATCTAAGTAAGTTGAACACAGTTTGACATTATTAGCATATTTTTCAAGAGTAGAATTTTCCTGGTACTCTCCTGAAATACTTTTCGCCCCCGCTAACCCTTTCAAAATTTGATTTACAGCAGTAGTTTTTGGTGCCAGATCTATTTCAGAACAAATCATTCTATATTATGAAATATTTGGGTTTGGTCAAACAGAAAGTACACAGTGCAGGCATTAAATTATTTCACTTGTACGTTTTTCAAGATTACAAATGGTGATTTCCTTTAGATGAATTTGGAGGTGCTAATGGCAAATATCCATTTCATTGCAGAAGCAGAACTTGAATCGAGGGAGGGCCTTATCCTGGAATTGTATTTTTGTACTTTCTAAGATATGTGGTAGAAGAAACTTCTATTATGTGGATTTTGTTTAAAAATTATATGGATTTTATTAAGAATTGAAATGATACCAGAAGACTTTGGTATTTGTTTTCACAAAGCCTGATCATTGATGTGTGTTTGACCTCTTTAGCACACCTTACACTCCTTTGGATAAGAAATCTGCAGAGAATACAGATGATGAAACAATAACAGAGGAGTGGACGTTGGATCACCCGGTCTTCCAGACACGGACAACGGCAATCGTGGAAGTAAAAGGAACTGTGGATGTAGTTCTGACTCCTCTTGTAGCAGAGGCACTGGATAGGTAATTTTATTTTGATACAATAAAAATTTAGACTAAAAATTGTCTAAAATCACAGCTGTTCTGTTCAGCAAAGGCTTTGGTGAAAGGATTGAATAATGTGGCTGATGGAACAGCAGGGCCTGGTGCCCAGCGGATGTAATTCTGCATTTCCGATGAGGTGGCTGGAAGAATGGGAAGTGCCCTTTGTGTCTATCAGTGCTTGCTTTTTCCTCTGTGTGTTCATTACACGTGGCTGATGGTGTGCCATGTGAAACTGGGAGTCTCAGTGGTCTCTTGTGGCTGTTTCCCCCTGGCAGGTACATCGAGGCCATGGTGCACTGTGCCAGCTCCCGGCACCCGGCAGCAATCGTGGATGACCTGCACTGCAAAGTCCTGAGGGATGCTGTGCAGAACAGCAAGACCAGCTTCTCAGAAAATGTGAGGAAGGAACAAGGGCAATCCTCATGGATTTTAGAGAGCAATCTTTTCTGTGTCTTATGTATAAAATATTTTAACTGAATTTCTTATTTTGAGATATAGTAACTAAATGCTATATTGATTTGGAATGCATACTTACATACATTTCCATAACTCAGAAATACATATTGTCTTTCACTGTCCAGAAATCTTTTACAGGATTGAAGGTCTGTAGTTTTTATTTACCCAAATTTACCGGATTTGGATGATGGTCTAGAGTAATTTACCTGAGATCAAATGACCCATTATGTTCTTTGAAATTACTATAGCTGGTATTCTTAAGTTACCATTACATTCATCTCAGTGAGATGTTATTTATTATTTTATAGTAGTTGGGGAGAGTGGTGAAAGTGCCTGTGGGTTTTTTTGCAGTTCATCTGAGACCTTAAAAAATTAATTTAACTTAAAAAGAATTGTATGGTAGTTCTACAGAATTAGGTGTTCTTTCTGTCCAAGGGTAATGACCATATTTATATTTTATGATTTCTTAGTCTTCACAGTGTGGTGGACACTAATAATTTGCTTCATAGTAAGTTGTTTTATTTAACCTACGTGTGTAGAATTCAAACTTCCAGCTGAAGTCTGGTTGTTCAAGTTTATTGCAGAATGGCACTGCTGCCCTTACGGTTTTCAACCTACTGTACCTCTAAGTGCTGCAGCCCCTGTTCTGGAAATCGTGGTAAATTGACTAAAATAAAGTCAGAATCTCTTTCTGCCTCAATGCTAATAAAATTTCCTGTTACTACTGAGCTCGGCAACTCTTGAGTTTGTGCTAATAAATTACTTTTCTCTTCTCTTCAAGTTGTCTTCAAAGCAAGACATCAGAGGAACAAAAATAGACACCACCACCACAACAGGAATAACAAACCAGGGACCAGCACAGACCAATCTCTCACTTAAGCAAGATAATGTGACAATTAAAGGTCTTCAGGCCAATGTTACAGTTCCAAAGGTAGCAATTTTTTTTTTTTAACTTATCAGTAGGAAAGTGCCTCACAAAATTACCCTTATTTTGCATCCCTCTTTGTTCCTCTAAAGCTGAAGTGAAGCTGTGCATTTGTGCTAGAGAACTAGAGTTTTGAATACTTGAGCTGCTTAATTTTATGATGGTAGACATGCAGTACTTAAATATTAACTACCATAGGGGTAACTGGCTGCCATGTCTTTAAATTATGTTCTAGGTGTGATGGTTTTAGTTTTCTTTTCACTGAAAGTATAAGATAAGGTTGTATCAGAAATCAGTGATTAATGTAACATGCTTTTCTAACTGTCTTTTCTCTTTGGTGGATTTTTATGTACAGGTGAACCTGTGTTTACTTCAAGCATCTGTGGATGAATCCCCAGGAGTTTCTTCCAGCAAAACCGTGACCCACGTTTCCTTAGTAGCTTTGTGTTTTGATAGAATTGCTACTCAAGTTCGTATGAACAGGTGAGAATAGTACATGTCACTATTTGGCATAAACTTCAGACATATTTCATTTGGTTGTTTTTGTTCGTCTTGAGATTTGCTTAATTGTTTTTTCCTCCCTGATATTGAAAAGGGGTATAGTTGAAGAGCCTTCAAACAATGCAGAAACTGGGAGGAATTCTGTCACGTTTGATCGTTACATCCAAACCAGCAAAATGCAGCCTCAGTCTTCTGGCTCGCTGAGATCCAATTCTGGAGCAGAAAAAGGAAAAGAAATTGCTGCTAAATTGAACATCCATCGTGTTCATGGACAGCTTAGAGGTCTTGATACAACAGGTATTAAACTTGAAAATATTAAAATGTGGAAATTTAAGTTTTAATAGAAGCGGTTACAGCTGGTCTTGATCTTGTAGTTTGGTTGGAAGTTTCTTATCAACGTGAATAAAAAGCAACTTACACCCAGAGCTTTTGCAGACACTTGAAAAAGAAGTTTGGGATGAATTACTATTCCACAAAGTGCTAGATTTAAACTTGGGCAAACTAAAAGCTGTCAAGACAAACTTGAAAGAAGGTTGTGTGGCACGTGTGTGTCTCCCTGTAAATAACGACCCACACTGCTGGAATTGGAGGCCTGAGCTCCCTTCCTCCCAGCTGGTCTCTTTTCAGCTACCATTTTTTGTCACCTTTTGCAGGGAATGAATTACACTTGTTTGCTTTCTTACTCCTTTCTAACACTTTCAGTATTGTGCTTGTCATACCAGCAATTTCAGCATGACAACCTGAAGATTTGTAGCTATAATGACTCTAAAGCTGAAAATGAGTTCTACCCAATTGACTTTTTTGTTGTTTGTGTTAAGGAAATGCCTTCAAGAAGCTATGAGTTCTGCTATAACTCCTGATCCTGGAAAAACTAACCAGGAAAAGATGACCAAAAGTAGAGGCAGTTTTTGTTGAACTGCTTAGTTTTGACGGAATGTATACCAATTTTTACTCTGTTCCTTAAGGAACAGGAGTCTTTAGACATGAGAAAGCACTCTGTAAAGCCAGGATGATTAAAAAATACACAATCAATAAATAAATAAACAACAGAAAATCCCAATGTTGTGCAAAGATGAGTGAGCAAATGAAATTGGAGTAAAACGAAACAGAGAAATTGTTACCTTCCTCTTTACTCAGCTGTGGGTAGAATGTTAGCAGTAGTGCCCTGTGTCAAGTAGTCTACAGACATTCAAGAGCACCACTTTTGGAGTTCTAGCCAAGAAAAGCCATCATCTTCTGTTTAAAAGGTTTGAGAAGAGCCTTTCTAAGGATCTTAGCATTTCATGTTTACTTTGAAAGTGAATGCAGTTATAAATTGGAGGCAGAGAGTAATGATTAGAAGGGCTATAAAGTGACTCAGCGTAGTTCTTTTCCTGAGGTATTTGACATTTAGGTATAAAATGATTTAAAATATTGCTCAGTGCTTGGATTTTTTTCCAAGTTCAAAATTATCCTGCCCATATTAACACACCAGGAGTAAGGCTATTTTCCTCGTTTTTTGTACATATTTTTCTTGCTTGTGCTTCAAGTTTAAACTTTTTCTTTCTTTTTTTTTCCTCCCCCTCCTGTTTGAGGAATACTCAAGGCCTAACTACCCCCCCAAAACACTCTAAACTTCAGAGAGCTTTTGCAAGATGTAAAGTTTTCTCCATTTTGGAACAAAGTAGTAAATACGTTTATTTTCACAGATATTGGAACTTGTGCAATAACAGCCATTCCTTTTGGGAAATCAAAAGTTCTTTTTACTTTGGAAGAGTTGGATGAGTTTACTTTCGTGGATGAAACAGATCAACAAGCTGTTCCAGATGTAGCTCGAATTGGTCCTAGTCAAGAGAAGTGGGGTTGGATCATGTTTGAGTGTGGAATTGAAAATTTAACTATAAAAGGTAAAGCCTTTAAAGGTTGTATATTATTTTATTTTATGAGATTACTGACAATTCTACTCTTAGGTCTTCTGGCTTAGCAATTATTTGGTTAGAACTTGTTGAATCTAGGTGATACTGAATAGTACATGTCTGTGGTAAATAAATCTCATAGGTTATACAATAAAGACATTTTTAGTTGTAAGTACCGCTAATAATAAAGTGTGAAATAATTTCATATCAACTGGTTTCATCAGTTTCTGAACTTAAGGTTGAAATTGATGATTTCAGTGATCACTCAGTGATCGTTATCTACAGGAGGTACATTATAGAGCCAGAATTTTGCTCTGGGAGGGGAAAGCTAGCTACAAAAAGTAAAAAAAAACCCACAGTAAATGTGTTTTTTCTGTCATCCAAGTTATTTTTCTTTTAGAGAATAATATTTTAAAAGCCTTTATGTGAGTACTCTTCATCTGCTTGTGGTAAACCATCAGAAGCTCAAAATGGTAGTGATAAGCTGTTGAATAAAATGGTAATGCATCTTGTTTAACCAAAATCATGTGTATTTCTCTGCTTAAGTACAGATCTTTTCTATGGGGCATAACTTAGAGCTCTTTATGTGCTGCCAACCTTTACAGTCTGGGTATTTTTACAGGGGGAAGACAATCTGGGGCAGTGTTGTATAACACATTTGGAGTCATGGGTAAATCAAGAGACACAGAAAGAGGCGGATTGCTTGCATCAAACAACTCCTCAGATTCCCCCACTGGTAGTGGCTACAACACTGATGTGTCTGAAGATAACCTCCCTTGTGACAGAATCAGTCCCTCTTCAGATATTAATGGAAATTCAGTTTCAGATGAGCAGGTGTGTTCAAGCTGGGTAGAAATAACTGGTCACTTATCCTGTTTGCTTAGACACCAAACTTCCAGCTTTCTGCAGGGTCCTTTGGGAGGATTAGTGGACAGCATTAGGTTATTTTTCCTTTACCTAAATGACGTGAAAAAAAAAATTTATGAGCATGTATGGTATGTTAGTGCCTTTGAGTGTAATAATTTTGGAAGACAATTTCCCTTCTAACTTCATGATTCCTTGTTTTTGAAGGATGAAGGAGTTGAATCAGATGATCTGAAAAAAGATATCCCCTTGATGCCTCCTCCCCCTGACTCCTGCAGCATGAAGTTGACAATCAAAGAAATTTGGTTTAGTTTTGCGGCTCCCACCAATGTGCGCTCCCCAGCCCATATATATTCAAGGTATATTTTTTTCCCTGTTTAAAAGAAAGAAAATGGCAGTTCTGCTTTGTTAAGTCACATTTGTATTGGGTAGGTTCTGAATGGAATTTCAATAATTTTTGAAGCCTCTTTGGAAATGATAATTTTGAGTTTGTATATATCACAGTAAGACTTGCTTCACTTTTTTACTGTTGTAATTTCTGTGGAAGTGCTGCTCAAAAATTCTTAGATGTGGTTAAAAGAAAAAAAAAAGGAAGAGTAAAAAACCCAAATGAAACTAAAAGCCCTCACTAGCAACTTCTGGTGAGATAGAAATGTTTGAGGGAGAAAGGCAGGGGACAATGTTTGCTTTGAGTAGGTGAGATGCTAGTGAAGAAAACAGCTCAGTGCTTTTGGTATTCAACCTGATATCATCCATGATCTGACTGCCATTGCACTGTAAAGTTCAAGTTCTGTCTTTCAAAGATTTGGTTTTTCAGATTGTTTATGTAGAATAAGCCAAATATTTCAGTCTGTCAGTAAAGAGCCATAAATTAGAAAATACTCTATTACTCTTGCTTGAGCCCTTTAGCAAAAGTCCTTCATGACATGTAACACTTCATGTGGGATTCAGTCAGTGATGAGAATTTCAAACTGTATGATTTCAGTAGGGAATACAAATGGGGAAAGGAAGGAATGACAATAGCAAAAGTGAGAAGAATCATGAGTGTGTGAGTGAGTAAAACAAAAATTGCCTCAGGTACTTCTTGCCAGTTCTTGTTTTCTGGGCAGTAAGTCTGTATTTATTACTTTGCATCAGTGTCCCACCGATTTGACTGTCATTTATAACAGCATCAGAAAATCCTGCTGATTGCTGCTGCTGCCTGTGAACACCCCTTTCTCTTTATTTGTCTCCACAGGCAGCTGAACCTCCTGAGCACAGCAACACCTGCAGTTGGTGCTTGGCTTGTTCCCATTGATCAAGTGAAGTCATCATTAAATAAACTGGAAACTGAAGGAACCCTGCGAATCTGTGCTGTTATGGGGTGCATTATGACAGAAGCTCTAGAGGTAAATGACCTTTATAAAATCAATGAGCATATCAGAACAGGACAGTGTGATAGGTAGCACGTAGTTTGTGGAATTCTGGATGTTGTTGCTGGCAAACTTAAGAGCATCTCTTGTGAGCCTTTGGAATTGGTCACAAGAATTCACAAAAAGATGTGCTTTTTGTACATAGTACTTCAGAGCTGTTACAGCAGGTGAGGAAGTCTCATTCCTCTTAGAGGAGTGCATCTCCAGGTAAAATAAGAGTAAGAAATATAGCTATAGTGCCTAGTATATATTTTATCAAGTGTTTTTGTTTGCTGTTGGTTTGATTGGCACTATCTAGTGGGAAGATTTTGATGTGATACCCACACTAAAATCCTGTCTTGCACAGTGAGATGGATGACCTAATAAACTAGGAATAAAGTGTTTCTTTGGAAATTGCAGCTGGCTTTGGTCTCTTAGTCCAGATGTAACTTTATAAGGCCTGCAATTTCAATCTAGGCTTTTCTGTTATTGCTTCATGTAAATAATTATGCATCCAGAATGATTTTTCACATGCGGTATTTAAAATTAGGTGGGTACCCATGAGGCAAATCTTTGTTGCAGAAAATCTTTATTGCAGAGGTTCAAAATGGGGTTAGAAATTTGCTGTCTCATAGGTGAAATCTTGTCATTGATGCTCTGTTTGCAGGTATGTTCATATGTTGAAAATGTTTTTATTTTAATCTAGAATAAAAGTGTACACTTCCCTCTGAGAAGCAAGTACAACAGGCTTACCAAAGTGGCTCGTTTCTTGCAAGAAAATCCTTCTTGTTTACTCTGTAATATATTGCACCATTACCTTCATCAAGCAAATTACTCCATTATTGAGGATGCCACTATGGTGAGTTACCCAGGAAAACTGGAAATATCTCAGTCCTTTAGTTTCAAATATGCCAATTCTAATGTCTTAAATTTGGCAACAGTTTGAGGAAGGTTAACAAACAAGAAAATATAACCCAAACTCATATGCATCTTTAAAGTGATAATTAGATATGGTTTCTCTCATTTCATTTTCTTTGACATCTGCTGTTTTTGTTATGACCTGTCTATATGAGTAATGTTTATCAAAGTATTTTATTAGTAAATACATGAGATCATAAACCAAAAAGGCACAGCTTTAAAACTGTACATGGCTTTTTTTATCAGGTGTCATTCCCTCTCTATCATATTTCAATGGCCTTTTTATAAGATTTCATTTTTCATGGTTTTAAAATTGAATAAGTCTCAATTATTGAGGCAAGTGCATGAACTGGTTAGTTTATTCCAAATTCTCTCCTTTAAACTAGTTTTCATGTCTTCTAGAAACTGGGGTAATGCAGACAGTTTAAGGAAGGAACTAGAACTGTACAAACTTCAGGGTTTAGGAATCAAATGTTTTCCTTGATGCCTTTAGAATGTAAATGTCTAGATTGTAGTGGGAAATAGCTATTTGAACAAACATCAGGCATAAGGGAGGAGTGTTTATTCCTGATTTTGTGTCATTTTCATAATCCAATTCTACAGCTGTCAGATTTAAACACTTTGGTTTTCAGCATATTCAGCTGAGAGCCAGCGATCAGGAATAGAGTTTGCGGCACAAATAGCACAGTTTGCTTTGTGGTCAAAATACCAAGCTTTTGTTTTCTTTAGGACAATTCAGTGATGTAATCAAAACAATCCCTATATTTAACCTCATATTTATGTTCCTAAAATACTGCTTATGAACAATGGAAAAAACAATCTTTTTAATGGAGTTTGTATGGAGTTGCTATGAATCTTAGCCCATAGTTCAGAGCCTGATAAATACTCAAGTACTTTTAGCTTCATATTTAACAAACTGGCTTCCTGTTGTTTATTTTTGGCCCCTTGGGCTAGATCCTCAGGTCACGTAGATAAATGTATTTGCTGTGTTCAATGAAGCTGTAATTTTTGTTTCTCAGCTCCTTGGCTTCTTGCTTGATGTCTTGTGGTTGCCAGCAAGTTTGTCATAAGCCTCTAGCAAGGCAGTGGATGAAGTTCATTGTAGTCACCCCAGCCTTTAAAGGAGTCAGCTTGCACAGACCAACCCAGCCAATGAAACTGCAGCCAAATGCCTGCCACGAGCATGAGGATGGCCTTGGACTGGACAATGGAGGGGGCCTTCAGAGTGACACGAGTGCTGATGGAGCAGAATTTGAATTTGATGCAGGTATTTTTGTGTTATCATCTCCATCAAGATTCATAGGGACAAGCAGCTTCTCTCAGACATTTGTATCTTCCTTAGTTTTAATGCTTGACACATGACAGTCTCCTTTTTTAGAATTATCAGCTTCTTTTTTTGTATAACCTCCATTCTCAAGCTGCTGCTAACAATGGTAATTATAGTATTCCAATAATTGGTGCTTGTTCAGGGAAAAACAAAACAGGAGATCTCTCTTTCTTCACATTTTCTATCTTGTTTTTTCCTGCACAAAATAAATCAACTTAATTATTTGCTACCTTTCAATTGAAAGCCAGGCAGCAGTTAGCACCTTTAAGAGAGCAAACACAAAGATGTTTGTGTGAGAAACTGGTATGTAATCATAGAGTATAATGGAAATTTTTACCCCCTTCTCTCAAATATCTGTTTTGATGAAGCAGAAACACTTGGATTATTAAACAGAACCCAGCAGACCCCTGTCTGAGGTGTTCTTATTTGTCTGTAAATCAGACAGCACTGTGTAGGTGTGTGTCAGCACTTGGAAATTCGTGACTGCTTGTAGATAAATGTGCCTGATAATAGATCATCTTGGTTCTCCAAATATATCTGAATGAGGAAAACTGTTTGCTTGGGTGCAGCTACTGTGAGTGAGCACACGATGCTCCTGGAAGGAACAGCCAATCGCCCTCCCCCTGCCAGCGCCTCCTCCGGGCCTGTCACTGGTGCTGAGATCATGAGGAAGTTGTCCAAGACTCACACTCACAGCGATTCTGTGCTGAAAATAAAGGTGAGTGCGCAGGGCTGGGCACCAGGGCAAAGGAGGTCGTAGCTGGCCTGTTCAGGAGCAGTTCTGTGGCTGCAGATGAATAAAGGCATGCAAAAAGTAACTAGAGTACATGGAAGGTCTGCTCCTGACCTCCCAAAAAGGATGCTCCAGCAGTTGGTCTGTATTCTACATCTATTCTTTTTTGTTTTTCTTGCCAGTTGACTGCATGTGCATCATTAAAGGATGCACCCTATCTTTTATAGCCTTTGATCTTTTATTTATGGCAGCAGAAACAAGGATTTAACTATCATGATACAAAGTCAAAGACTGGCAAAGCTTTCCGGTAACTTGTAGTAAAATAATTGTGTTCCAGCCTTATTTTCAGACCAAATGCTGCTTTGTTTTTGCAGTTTCTACAGTACTTCATTAATTTCTTTGTTTTCTGCTTGCAGGGCATCCATCCATATCATTCCTTGAGTTACACCAGTGGAGATACAGCTACGGATTCGCCAGTGCACGTCGGCCGCTCTGGAATGGGAGTCAGGGAAAGTCCAAGGAAGGAAAGTCTGCTCAGCTATCTCACTGGGAGCTTTCCTAGCTTGCACAATCTTTTGGAAGGGACCCCTCAAAGAAGTTCAACTGCAGTTAAAAGCAGTTCTTTAACAAGAACAGGTATGATGTAGCAAAAAAAAAAAGTATGATGTCACATAAACAGATGGAATGTAGCATAATTTTGAAGTCTTTTTGAATGAATAAGGAAACAACCATTTTGTGTTTGTTTTTTCTTGACCTTGTAAGTAGATTAAGAAGAGAGCTGGAACTAATATTTCAGTAATGTAGTTTGAATATGATAAATTGCGGATTTTTAGAATTCACTATTCGACAAATATTTTAAAAGCTTGAAACATTGAAGTGTTTATGATCTTCTGATCATAAGATCTTATGATCTTATGATTTTCAGAGTGTATTGTTATCAGTTTTTCTTTATATGTAAATTACATACTGTATATGATACTGTATCTTCTCTAAAACCTCTCTCCTTCGCTGTCAGGGACTGAAATACTGTTCAGAAAAAAAGGTATTTTGGTTTCTTAATGACTCTTTTCCTCTAATAAATGGTAGAGATGAGCAAGTGCAAAGCCATGTGTAGTGCAACATCCATTAGTGCCATGTATAACTTCTGTGGTAGCACCTGTAGTGCTGTTTGACACATAATTTAGTTCAGTGAGCCTTGAGAATTAGGCTTACTTTTGTAGTAAATAGGTGTTGTCAGTGAAATCGTGCCATGTTCCTTGTTTCTGCTGACTTGGGTGCAAGAAATGCTGAAGTTTCTGCTTTATCTCCACAGGAAATACCGTGGCCACAGACATGTTGTCTGAGCACCCTTTGTTGTCTGAGCCTTCCTCTGTGAGTTTCTATAACTGGATGTCCAATGCTGTGGGCAACAGGGGAAGCGTCGTACAGGAAAGTCCGGCCACCAAGTCTGGGCACAACAGCCTTCCAACAGGTATTGCTAATTTGCAGCTGAGTTCCAGGTGGTTCTGGGCTGGCTGTGCCTGTGTTTGCCACATTCTGACTGAAAGCAGTTGAGAGAGTGATTTATGTTCAGCAGGACTTAATTGGTTCAAAGTATTACTTGTGGGACTTGCCAGCAACCTGGAAAATTAAAAGATGGGATTTAAGCAAAACCGTTATTTTCTTTTGCCTTACCCCGGCTCTGAAAATTTAGCTTTTTCTTACATTTGGAACTGTCAGTGTAGCTGCTGAAAGTTAAGCCATGAGATCATCTTCTGTGGTCAAGTTCCATGGTTGTGTTGGCTATTTTTGATCTAATTTTCATCTGCTTATTTTGTGATTTGTGCACTGGAATCCTTGCTCTTTCTCAGTTCAGTTTTTGGACTAAACATTAACATGTATTTTGGGAGTAACTTAGGAATGGGTGTAAGGGAATGAAGAAAAAATACATTTCTGAAAGTGTTAGATGTATTAAAAACCAGATGTTTAACAATTTATTGCAGCTCATTTATTTTTCTTATTGGCCTGTCATCATTCCAACTTTTCAATGTGTTTCTTAATTTTCTTTTTCGCTAATGCTGTACTTGAATCTTTTTTCTGTTAACGCTCCTTCACCTGTGCTGTATTAATCTTAGGCAATAAGAAATTGTTTTAGTTTGTTCTTAATATTGAACCAATAGACTGATCCTACAAATGTCATCGTGCTGTACGTGTTGCTTAACTATTGTGGCTCCTGTGTGATCTGGAAGGTGTTTCTCTGCAGAAAGACTCTTTCCAAATTTGAATTGGACAATCTCTACGTGTTCCAGCAATATCAGGCTGTTTCTTTGTCCTGAATGCCACCTTTGTGAGGTTGCAGACCTCACTGTGGCTTGTTTATCTATATAAATAATCTCGCTGAATTAATCGAGTCAGTGGTGGTGAGATTTGCTGTGGTGTTAGTGTTCCATGGGTATTTATTTTCCAGGTGTGGCACCCAATCTTCCTACTATCCCCTCTGCTTCAGACTTCAACACAGTTCTGTCCAGCGACCAGAACACCCTGGATGGCACCCACTCGCAGCACAGCACCAGCCAGGATGACATTGCAGGAGTAGAAGAGGGCAACCAGGGCTTTCCTGCAGTTCAGCTGGCAGATGCGCAGGTAACTGGGCTTGCACATCACCAAATGGATGAGCAAGAGGGTGGAAATAATCCAGGCCTTTGTAACCAAATGGCTGGGTTTTGTTTTGTAGGTTGTTTTCAAGCCTCTGCTAAGTTACACGGGAATTCAGTCGCAGGATGCGATGCCCCTGTGCTACAGGATGTACTTTGGAGAGTACCTCTCTTTCTCAGGAACTCTGGATTGCCTCAGAGCAGATATTGTAGATTCAGACACAGCAAAGGAAAGGAAAAGCAAGAGAGCCCGAAGGTATGATGAGAGATGTAAAAATATGTGTATTGGCTAAAGAACAGAAATTAGGCTTTTCATGTCCTGACAGATTTTCAAAGCACTTTCATCGGATAAGGAGCAACCCTTTTTTCTTCTAATCTTTCATTCTGTCTTCCTGCTAAAGTATTTTTTTTAATCTTCCTATGGAATGGTTTGGGAATTGTAACTGTTTGAATCTCTGCTGCTTTTGAAAATTGGAGATTGGGAAAGGGGGAGAGCTGGTGGGAATAATAGTGGGGGAATTTGAGTGTCTCTGAAATGGTGTTTAATAATTAATCCCATAAATAATAATGATGTGACTTTTTGTGAAAATGCTGAATCCTCCCCCAGACCAATTTTGTGTAAACCTTTAGGATATAATGGAATGATTGCATGCCAATCTAGGTTTCATGGAACTGGATGATTGCTATGTTAGTAGCATACAGTATGAAACTGTGAAAGTTCATTTTATTATATTTACAACTGTGGTAAAAAGGTGCTATCCTAAGGGAAATAAAAGGCTGGGTTCAGTAAATGAGATGTAAGCTGTGTAAAAAACGTATTTGACTCTCATAAAATGCAACACAGTAGTGACTTGTACCTTTCCTTTCCTTAGGCAAGGAGCTGTCAATCTTCCTCCTCTGGAATTCAAACCAGCTTTGATGTTAGAGACTTTCAGCATTAGCGCTGTGGTGATGGAGAAATCCATGTGCACCCCTCACAACTCCACCAACGCCCTTTCCTTCCACGACTTGAACAAGCGCTATTACAACACCTTCCACTGCAATTTCACCATTTCCTGCCAGTCCATCAGCCAGCACGTGGACATGGCCCTGGTGCGGCTCATCCACCAGTTCAGCACCATGATTGATGACATCAAGGCCACGCAGACAGACATCAAACTGAGCAGGTACACGGCTGGCTCGGCCTCCCCGACCCCCACCTTCAAAACCCGCAAGCACAGGGACTTCCGCTCCTCGGATTTCAGCCGCAGCTCCCGGGGCAGCCTCAACGGAGGCACCAGGGTGAACAACACCAAGAGCAAGAGGACAAACAACGACAACAACAAGAAGGAGTCTCGCAACAAGAATTCCCTGGGGAGGTCAGAGCGAAGGACTTCCAAAGTGTCCAGGAAAGGCTCCAAAGATGTGGTTGACCACGTGACGATCCATATGGATGACTCCGACTCGATTACCGTGTCGGAACAGAGCGAGCCCTCTGCGGAGTGCTGGCAAAATATGTATAAGCTGCTGAACTTCTATTCACTCATTTCTGATCCAACTGGCATCTTGGAAAAGTCTTCTGAAACTTTTGGGCCAACAGGTAAGGTGGTTCATGAGCCCAAATAACAGGGTGTGTGCGCTTTTGTTTAAACGGGGCGTTCTGAAGCTTGGTCGTGAGGTGGCTTTTGAGAGTCACACACCCCATCTAACTTGGATCAGAGGGGGAAGGGGGTGAGGATGGAGGTGAGCTTTGGATTAGTTCACCAAGATGATGCACAAAAGAAAAGTTTAACATTTCTCACTCATTTTGTAGTATGGATTGAGTTTGTTCCGCCTGAGGTGCTGTTTTGTGTTCAAGGGGCTGCTGGAAATGCTGCTTATTGTCATTCGGTGAAAATATGCAAGCAATGAGCCAAAATAAAGCAAATAAATAAAAAAATAGGCAATACATAAGCCATTTAGAGGGAGAGAATTCCTGCCTTGAGAATGACTGACAGTAGAAAAAAAAAAATCTGTGAACTTTGTTGTGAGAGCAGGAAGGGTGAAATACTGATTTTTGCGAAGTTCCACAAAAGTTACAGGTGTTTGGGTCGTAATTTCACCTAAAATCTTGAGATCTGGTGTAATTATTGCTATTTCCAATGTATTTCAGCACAGCAGAGTAAATATAAGAGTTGTCTTAGTATCATTCTTTTTGTTGCTGAATTTAAGTTGCTGTAAATATGCGGGGGATGGTATAGTTGCTCTGTAGCTATATAGCTTTGGATTTCTTTTAAGTAAAGAATGAAATCTAAGCAAGTCTCAAATGAGAACTTTTGTTAAATATATGCCAGTATCTTTCATGCACAGAATATCATATCCACAGTTCCAATATCTGCAGAAAATGTAAATTTTCTTACATTATTTTTAGCTTCCTGAGCATTGAAAAGGAAACCTTGCTCATCCAAAACAGAAATATAAGAACCTTTGCCTGTGGGATGATCAAAAAATAAACGGGACAATTGGAAACTGTCAGGGCATTTTTCTGCCCTGACAACAATAAAATCACATCATTGCAAATATTTATAGGAGCATATCTAGGAGTAATTATGAAACCACATCCCTCATTATTGTCTTCATTGTGTCTTGGATTTGGTTCAGTTGCAAAGGTCTTGGGGTGGAGTGCACAAGGCACAGGTAATTTTCCTGAAGAGTTTTCTTGACACGAAAGATACCTGATCCACGGTTTGAAATACAAATATAAATGGGATATGCCAAGGATTCATTATAAACAAAGCCTTGAATAGCTGCTGGTGTTTGTGTAGGTGTTCGAAGCCCCACGGAGCCTGCCTGCAGGGTGGTGTTTGAGAACGAGCAGGACAACGGGCGGAAGCGCAGCCTGGTGACCTCGGAGCCGCAGCACGTGACCCTCATCGTCTTTGGGATAGGGATGGTGAACAGAACCCACCTGGAGGCTGACATTGGCGGCCTCACCATGGAATCAGAGCTGAAGAGGATCCATGGCAGCTTCACCCTGAAAGAGAAAATGAAAGGTGGGATGAGTTAAAAGCGTTCTCTGTAATTGAATTCCCTGGCAGCTTTACATGTGCATGTGCAGTGTGTGTGTACATAATATAATAATATTCAACAAGTTCTTTAAAAAACTATTACTAGGATGCTGAAGGATTATAAAAGGTTTTCATAAAGTGCCATGGAGGGAATCCTCTTGGAAGACAGTCGCTCATTTTTAAGAGATTTCTTCCTGTCACAGTTTATAGCTGGCATCACTTAATGTGACTGCTAAAGCTGTAATTTTTCAGGTTTTTTTCCTGTTGCAATATTTTTAAAAGCAGTAGGCATATCTGAAATATTTTACTGACTGAAATGCTGTTAAATATCTTTTCTTCCTAAAGATGTGCTACATCAAAAGATGACTGAGACATGTGCCACTGCTCACATTGGAGGTGTCAATATCGTCCTGCTGGAGGGAATTACCCCAAATATCCAGTAAGTAGGAAGTTTCACAATGTAAAATTGTTTAAGTGCATAGAAGTGGCATGAGTTGTGTGTCTATTCTCTTGTGCTTCTAACTGATTTTTGAAACTTGTAGGTTCAAGCCATATGAGATTTGTAGGGAGTAGTTAATCTACTGATGCTGATTATTCCTGTTTAAGATCTATAGTGTTTCCTTAATAGATGCATTTTTCAACTCATGATGAATCATTCTTTGTTCTCTCATCTTATTTTTACAGTTCTAATATCCCTTCCTCTAGCCCTTATATAACTGACACAACCTGGCAGGGGAGGGGGAGAGAACCACTTCTTGTGCATGAACATTGCCAGTCACTTGCTCAGCATCCACATCCTTCTGGCTTTTTTTATTTCTGCCAGGTTCACAGACTCAGAAAGCCCATGTATTATTTCAAGTTGTTCCCAGCTGCATCTCTTTCTGTTTGAGTTTCAGAATGAGCTGAACCACAGTTCTTGGTAGCACAGATCACCCTCACACAGTTTGGGTGTTAGCTGGGTAACCCTCAGTATGTGGACTGGTCTTAGAACAGCACGACCCTTGTGGAAAGGGGCTAAACAATGTCACTTGAGTTTCTCTCCCCTCTTAATTCTTGGGTAGTTTGGAGGATGCTACATAGAAATTAAAATACACAGAATTTTATCATTTTCTCAGCTAAATTGCTTCCAATAAGTTTGTTTCAGAGGGATAAATAAAAGTTCCAACCTGACAGTCATGAAGGGTTTCTGAATGTGACCAAATCTCTTCATGTCTGCTCTACATGTAGGGAGAATAGAAAAGGAAAGGGAGAAAATAATGATAAATCTTAAAAACAACAAGAGCAAAGAACAAACATGAGCAAAACCAAAACCTTCAGCTTGGTAATTTTGAAAGTAAATGTCATATTGTGGGTTACAAGTAATTAACTGACTAATTTTGCATGACTGTTTATTCTTTATTTGCTTTGTTTTTGTTTTTCTTGCTTTCTCTTCAATCTTCATCTGTAGACTGGAGGATTTTCCTACATCTCCTACAAGCACAGCCAAACAAGAGTTTCTGTATGTCATATTATTATGTTTAATAGTCTTGCAATTAACTCTGTGTTGTGTAGCTAATGGCTGCATTTCTACCGTGTGTGATTGTGGAGGCAGATGTTGCTTGAACACATCTGGTATCATCTAGATAAACTTTTTTTAATGAAGCCTGCTAAATATCTGCCTTTAAAAAGCCCTTGTCAATGTTGGCAGTATAGTTTCAGCAGCTACTATTGCACTGCACTCCCTACTGTAATGTTAGAATGGTTTCACTGGCCCTTAAGTTCTTTAGATCTGCTCCTGTACTTATTTTTATGAGCTGAAATACTGTTGATAAATGTAAGGGAAAACTGAGGTGAGGTTTGCTTTGGAACTGCTGTGCTTGGAGTGATAGTTGTGGTGTCATCATGATCAGGGCCATTCCTTTTTGTCTTTGTTTCCCTCTGTGCTGGTTTAACTCCCAGACATGCTGAAGATCTGTGTGTGTGGGTGCAGGTCTCCTCTCTCACAGTGTCTGTTTATTCAGTGTTGTGGTAATACAGGATAAACTTAAAAATGTCCTTAGAGCTCTGGAAGGAGAGGTGATGGAGTGTAAAACTGCAAGTGATATAGGGAAAATAATGAGGTTTGTGTTCCTTTTTGTTTGGTAGCAGCATTAAACCAGCGCATCACAGAGTTGTTGTATTTGCTGCCTTATGGTGTGGTCAACAAAAGTATAAATGATTAAAAGGATTGGATAAATCTGTGTAGGATAGGTCTTGTGGCGAGTCATGAACATGATACAGCTCTTGGCTTAGAAAGTAAATTCCTTATGACTGGAATTAAGGGAAGGATCCCTTCACTTACACCTCAGGTATCTGCTGCTGCCTGAGTTTTCAGCTGACTCGGTGCAGTAGTTCCTGTGTGTTACAGGCCTCCTGCTGGCTTTTTTCCCCCACACACTTTAAACAACATTGGCAAAAATCTGTTGAGTACTGGCCTTGTAGTCAGTTCTTTAGTGGGACAAAGACTTTTTGTCACAAATTTGTCTGGAGAGCGATGATTTATGGTATTGATGTGAGAATATAGAATTCTTACTGGAAGCATTACTGGTATGTAACTTAAATAATGATTAATGATTTTAATGAGATACAACCAGATGTGTTACAGGCACATCACTGTAGGTAAGCAAACTGCAGCTTTTTAATAATAAATGGATAGCCAGACAGTCCTTCCACATTTCATTCTGTCATGGAAGTAGGTTTTTTGTAGGCAAACAGCAGTGAAATTAATTTGTTGCATGAAATATGGAGAAAAGCACACCTAATTTTGCTGAGGTTTTTATTCTCCTGAAACAACTATATGGCGTAATACATTTTTAATTAAGGAAATGTTTAAAACAGATTGAATGCAGTAGTATTTTATTTTATAGATGGAGATGCAAATGTGTTGTTGACTGGCTTCATAACAGTTGAGTCAGAATGGTAGCAGGGAGAGAGTAGGAAATGAGCAGACATCAAGAGAAATAATTATGTTTTTCTTTTAAAGAGGTGAATTAAAACAATTCTGGCCCTTTCTTAAGTAATGCTTATTTGTATAATGTTTTTCTGAAAATTGTTGTGAACCGTTTCCTCCTTCATCGTGTATTTTGAAATAATTTCTACTCGACAGTCTGCTCTAAAATATTAATTCTTAACTGCTTTAGGTGACTTGCATTTCTTGCATAGTTATGAAAATCTGAGAATGTTCCTTGAGCTTCAGTCAATTAATTTGCTGTTGATAGGCCAGTGGTTGCCTTAGAGTGCTGTGTATTTCTTGATTATAAGCAGAAGGGTGATGTCTTTTTTTGTTTGTTTGTATTTCCACATCTGGGTTGCTTTGGGCTTGCTGATATTTTAACATAAGAATAAGAAGAGACATTACTTAGAGAGTGGAGTTGATAGAATATTGTATCTTCCACCATGAGACCAAACTGTCTAGAAACGATTTAAATAGGATACACAAAGTGTTATAGCTATACCCCTTGAAATATTGTATTTGAGAAACTTGCATTGAATGTTGCAATTTTATAGTCTATTTTTCAGCTATTTTAGTTGATGTATTGCATCTTGACAACTACATTTCCTTCTCTTTGAGGCTGTAATTCTGTGTTGGCTGCACAATATACTTCCATTGGGTAACCCTCCAGGAATTGACCATAGAAACATTAATGTGTTACCACAATACATTTTTTAGTACGAGTTTAATGAATTCTGCTATGCCAAAATTTTGTTAGGACATCAAAAATTGCCAGCTTTGTGCAGTTACAGTTTTATCTTGGGTAACCATTATGAACCATATCCTCCTCAACATTAAAATAAGGTTTAGATGATGCATTTTGGAATAATATGTTTGAATTAAACATCAGTATTAATTCACAAATTCATCTATCACGTGCTGTGTATCTACTGTTAAGTATTTCCTCCAATGACCTATTTGGATGCAAAACTCACATTTGACTTTTGACCAAAAGGGTGATTGAAGATTATTCCTGAACAGGAGTTGAAATGGAAGGCTCTTTTTTTGTTTCTGTGTGTGCAAATTTGTCCGTCTATGTGCAGCCTGGTGTGTGTGCCCTGAAATGACCCTTACTTTAGGAAAGAGTAGCAGTTTTTAGCAGGTATTTTTGCCATGCATGATGTGTAGTTCCCTTAAGTGTAGCGTAGTTGTTTGTGGCATGTAGTGAGTGCATCTGTGTGTAAAGTGAAAGAAAAAGGAACGTGGGTGTAGTTGACAAACGATATTGCTTCAAAATTCAGCTAACACTTAAAAACTCAGTTTAACCTACAACCTGCAAGTGACTGCTGTTCCCTTTTGCTGTCAGAACCGTGGTGAAGTGCAGCATTGCCAAATCCCAGGCCCTGTACAGCGCCCAGAGGGGGCTGAAAACTAACAACGCAGCCGTGGTGAAGGTGGGAGCCATCAGCATCAACATCCCGCAGCACCCAGCCACGCTGCACAGCATGATGGTGCGCAGCTCCCACCAGCTCTCCAAGCAGATCTCCGACCTCATCCGGCAGCCCTCCACCGCGTGAGTGCTCCCAAATCCCTCCCCCTTCCGGGATTTTGCCACCCTGGGTTTCTGTGGGACAGCCAGGTGGATTAACAGGAAGGGTTTCCCGCTCTTTGTCTTGGCCCACAGGCCCCAGCCAGCCAAAGAGGATGTGGCGACTCCTCTGCCCTCGGAGAAGACGCCAACGAGCATCAATCAAACGCCGGTTGAAACCAATGAATTCCCACAGCTGCCAGAGGGCTTGGAAAAGAAGCCCATTGTGCTGAAGTTCAGTGCCATGATAGATGGGATTGCTATTGGAGCAGCGCTCCTGCCATCCCTGAAGGCAGAATACAAGATGGGAAGGATGAGGAGTCATGGGATGACAGGTAACAGTTCTCTGTAACTTCACAAACATTACTGCTTTTAGTTTGGCCTTCCTATAAGCATCCAAAAGCACTCATTGTTTCTGTTGAGTTATAGCTAGAGCTTTGAATCTGTTGCCATCAGCTTTTTTTTTTTTTTTTTTTAATGTGGCCCCATATAGAGAATTTTCACTGTGGTTGTTACACAATGCCCAGAATGCAAGATACGTATACATTCATATGTAGCATCCTCCCAGGAAGCTTCCCTCTGGCTGCTAAAATCTGTTTATGATCCTTGATTAATTAAACTTTAATTTGTGATGCTACTTGAGAATAGTCTTACAAGGCCTCAGTACACTCGAGGTGGTTTGTATGATTCCCGTCTCAATCTTACTACTGTGGGGTCTTCGTTCTCTTTAGAAATTAAGGCAACCCAGAATCATGTGGGTGGATACTTATAGTTCTTTAGGTCTGTGCACTTCAATAACATTTTAAACATTTCAGGTTTTTTTATTGTTCAAAAGCTGTTCTTAAATTTAAGGATAAATAAGAGATTCTTTTCCCAGTTCATACCTTCCTTCCTTTTACAGGTGCCCAAACCAGATTTAATTTTGAGCTTCCAAACCACAGACTCCGCTTCACTTCAAAAGTTTCTGCCACTGACATGTCAACCATTCCCCCTTCGGCCAGTCTCAACCTGCCTCCTGTCACCATGTCAGGGAAATATGTCATGGAAGAGCATGACACTTACTCTGACCAGATCTGGAGCATCGATGAGCTCCCTGCCAAGCAAGGCTACTACCTGCAGGGAAACTACCTGCGCTGTGTGGCTGAGGTAGGTCTTGAAGGCTGCAGTCATCTTTGATAACTTATTTCCCTTCTGTTACAATTCCTTACACATCTTCACATTTTTTAGACTATCTGCCTCCTCCAGAACTCTCAGGTTGACAGGTTGAATCCAAATACTGAAAAACTGGAAGATCATTTTATTGTTTTATAGCTGGTTGTTGGGGTTTGGTTTTTTTTGTGATTAGGCAGCTCCTTAAGTGCAATAATGATATCACATAGAACCTTAATGATATGAAATTTTCTGCTCGACACAGAGTGTTCTGTTCACAAGTTCTACTTGTGTGCCAATTTCCATAGTTAATTTTCCCAGAGAGAAAAGTGATGCTCCTTAAAAGAAACCTACCTGCTGGGGAAAAGTGGAGCAATTCTACTAACTAATTCTTTAGTCAGAAAAATAGGCATGTTTGTAATTGAGAATTCTGATGTTTGCAGCTAAAAAAAAAAACAACAAACACTAAAAATCCACCAGTTTTAAAACTAAGATTTGTTCTCAAATGTTCTATTTTTTCAGGTTGGCTCCTTCGAACATAATCTCACGACTGACCTTTTAAACCATTTAGTGTTTGTGCAGAAAGTGTTCATGAAGGAAGTAAATGAGGTGATACAGAAGGTTTCAGGTAAGCAGAACACTTAAAAGCAGTTTTAAGTAAGATCCTCAATCCTTGTTTGATAGCTCTCAGGACCAGCTCTTTAATTTCACAGATACCCTCATTTCACCTCTAGCAGTGCAAGCAGCAGCAGGAAGCAGAGCTGGACTTGGAATAATAAGAGGCTCTGGAAATTATTCTAGGTCTATCATAAGCAGGATTTTTATTGGGAAGTAGGATTGTTTGGCATTCTGGACATCAGCCTCTGTGTCTCTCCATGGTGTGACCTTGGCTGGGTTACTTTATTCACTTTGCTTGATTGGAACATTTTTTGAGTTATCATAAAAGGCAGTTACAGAAATGCAGCTGATTTTGAGTGGAAATATTCATCAATAGCTGGAAACATCATGAGGAAAGAAAGAATAAAAAGTGGTAACTAAGTGAAAAGAATGTCTGTGTGTACATCTACCTCCTTTCGTGGCCCTCTGTGTGTGTGTGTGTGTGAGTGATCAGATGTACACATATTCAGATATACAAATGCTATAGAAGAACGGTTCAGGTCCGTGTGATGTGGACTGCCCTCGAGGCACTTAGAAAATGCAGTGGAGAAAATGGAAAATGCCAAATTCCCTGAAGGCTAACAAAAAACACCATGATATTTGTTCCAGCCAAAATATATTAGTATTGGGTAGTAAGAAAATGCTTAGGTAAAGAATAAATCTTCTGACAGCTGTCATTATTCTATTAAGAGTATTTTTTTGTTTGTAGAGGAGCATACAGTGCTGAACTAGACTCTGCATTTCAATCTCCCTGGCATTTTTATGTGAGGAATTTATTACCAGTGCTGGTTCTCTGCTTTTCCAGACTGTAAATTTGTATTGCAAGTAGCAGCCTGATGGTTTTTGAAATGTGACTGTTGCCTTCCGTATTGGGCTAATTTAGCAGGGATATGGTCAGGTCAGCAATCCGTGGGTCTGGATTCTCAGAGCAGAACAATGGGGACAGAAATTGGCTTGGTCCCTCTGGCTTGGAGCAAAGTAATTTCCTAAATGGCTTGGAAATACCAATTAGTGTGATGTGCTACAGTGTATTTTCTAATTATGGTTTGTATTGCACCAAAATATTGTTTGCATATTATCCTTACATAAAAACTGTGTGAGTACCAATTACTGAAGGTGAAGTTGCACAGATTGAGAGCTAATTAATGAATAGAGCAGTCCATAATAATTGCATCTAGAAGTTAAAGGCAGTGTTGATGAAAAGAAAATTATCCAGATACAAAATGGAGTGATAAAAATTTATTGTGGATTGGGGTTTTTTGAATCTGTGGTTTAACTGCCTGTCCTTACCACCAAATAACTGTAATTAGATCATTTGGCATATTTAGAGAGAATTAATGGCTTAGCCTTTTTCAGCAGCAAGCTCTTTCTATAAACTAAGTTGGGATGTAGATAAATATCAAGGAGAATTAAAACCAGGGTTGCTTCTTCAAGGGTGAAATGTGCCAGGATGAGGAAGTAAACCCAAAAATAAAATAATTGCAGAGTACTCTTTCCTCCTCTCATGGAAGAATACTGATATAATTTCAATTCTTCATTTTCATGGAATTTGCATAGTATTTGGTCAAGTGTTAAATTTGGATTGTCAGATAAGTAGGAGATACATTGGAATCAAAACACCTTTTTTTTTTTTGAAAAGTAGGTGTCACTCCTTACAGGTTTTGAGAGTTCCTGAGGAAAGTTTCCCAGGAAGGAGGAATGTGCCTCTTTTACTTAATTTTTAGTGGAGAGATATTAATTATATGTCAGTAGATGAATTTGCACTGATATCTTCAATACTCATTTGTTTTTGTAAACCTTCAAGTAGTCACTGTTTAAAATGATGCTTAATTCATGGTCACCTTTTTATATGTATTGGTTTTAAAATGTTTTCTTTGGTGAAACTGTGACTGTGCATATTTAATGTTTGCAGGAGGGGAGCAGCCAATACCTCTCTGGAATGAACATGATGGTACAACAGATGGAGATAAACCAAAAATTCTTCTTTACTCATTGAGCCTGCAGTTTAAGGTAATCTGATGATGACAAAACAGTGGTAGTTGGTTGGTTTTATTTTATTTTCTCATTGTGTCTCTGAACCAGATGCTCATAACTTTGTACCTTCCTTATCCATTAGGGAATTCAGGTGACAGCTACAACTCCCTCAATGCGTGCTGTGAGGTTTGAAACGGGGCTAATAGAGCTTGAGCTCTCCAACAGACTGCAAACCAAAGCAATGCCTGGAAGTAGCAGCTACCTCAAACTGTTTGGAAAATGCCAGGTGGATTTGAATCTGGCACTGGGACAGATTGTTAAACATCAGGTTAGTGCTCAAAATCTTTGCATGTAATGTTCTTAATAATGTATGATTAAAAACCTACATAATCAAGCCAAGAGGCTGTTGTACAGTGCTGGGTTTTTGTTTGTTTGGGTTTTTTCTTCCACATGCTTTTAATATCTTGAAACTTCTTAGCCCCTTAGAAGGGTAATAGCCTTTCTACTGAGTCAGACTCAAAACGTTTGTTGATACTGATACAATTTTTAGAATATTTGAATGAAAGAAAAAGATCAGAGGAGATCCAAACTTTGCTAGACCTACATTTTGACCTAGTTTGTCTGCTGGTACCTGAACCACTCATTCTAGGACATGAAAGTATTTTGTGATGCCTAGAAAAAGACAAGTACAAATCTTAGGACCTATAAATCATCTGTCACAATAGAGGATCTGGATATATAAATAGCTGCATTAGTTAACAATTTATGATAAATAAAATAATGCTGTGATCAGAACTTAATGGAAGAATATTGAAGATTCTCATCGGGACTGTGGCTAGAGGAGAAAAAGAGGAAAGGACACAACTTGTTTTAATTTCATATTTTGTCAAATGCAGCAATTTGGGTTGTTTTTTTTTTCTTCCCATTCCCATCTCTGAACTCTTCCCTGGTGCAAACTCATCTCTCTTCCCATTTTTTTGAACATTTTAAGGTTTATGAAGAAGCTGGCTCAGACTTCCATCAAGTTGCCTATTTCAAGACAAGAATTGGATTAAGAAATGCTCTCCGAGAAGAAATCAGTGGCTCATCAGACAGGGAAGCTGTGCTCATTACTCTGAACAGACCCATTGTTTTTGCCCAGCCTGTGGCCTTTGACAGAGGTATTGTAGATACAATTGCTACAAATTCGTGTTCATACTGAGGAAGAGATATTTTTTTTTTCTCAAAAGACTTGTTTATTCAAGACTCAATACATTTCATGTTAAGTAGCTGAGAAATTTGGGAGATCTCCACCTTGCCAACAGATTGATAATTCTGTCATCAGACATGGAAATTCTATATGTTGAGGTGATTAGTTTTCAGATGGGTTTGGAGGAAGTTGCTGTTGTAAATACTCACAGATGAATAATGCTGAAAGCACCAGGACTTCCTCTATTTTAATGTATTAACTCTGATGGTAAATGATCAGGTTTGTCCACCTTGTCCTTTGAAGCACGAGCCTGATCACTGCATCCTGAATGTGTGTGTCCATTGTTATACATCCTCTGACTTAAAATAATGTAGGAGCTGTAAAAAGGAAAAATAAAAATAATTAGTGAACATGGATTGGGTTTCTTAAAATGTTGATTTTAATTAAGGATTTTTGGTTTCCTCATGAAGCTGTGCTATTCTGGCTGAACTACAAGGCAGCGTATGACAACTGGAATGAACAGAGAATGGCTTTACATAAAGATATTCATATGGCCACGAAAGAAGTGGTGGATATGCTGCCTGGAATCCAGCAAACTTCTGCACAGGCCTTTGGGACCCTGTTCCTTCAGCTGACTGTCAATGACTTAGGAATTTGCCTGCCCATCACAAACACACCCCAGGTAAGCAAAAGTGTGACTACTGGAAATCTGTTAAAACACCAATTTGTGTGTAGTACATATACAAGAACCAGGTGATACATGTTTCAAAAGAGGTCTAGTTTTATAAAAGGAAATATTTGGGCTTTTTTAAAGGGAAATATAATTATAGATGTTCATATGGGGAGGCAGAAATTAATCAGTCAATCTGAACACTTCAGATAGTATATAGTTGTACACATCAAAATAAACACCAAAAAAATCACATAAAATTGAAAGCTACTTTTTGTCATTGTTTAATCAAGTCATCTGTCATCTTCCTTGGAAAAAAACAATTGATCCTGGGCTTATGTTGTGTGGTCATGGGTCCATATGGATTATAGCCCTTGATCAAACATGGTTTTTTGTTCCTTTTCCAGATGAACTTGACTCCCACTGCTCTCATAAATTTCTAATGTAGGCATTGCATTTAGGAAACAGCAATGTGAGGCATTGTAAGGGCAGAGGTGATGCTTTTGAAACTCTCTGCAAAGAAGCAAAAATACAAGGAGATAGGAGCAGGGGATCAGTTAATAGGGAAAGATAAATGGCATTTAGTAAATGTACAGTATCACTTTGGCAATGCAGTTACCAGTAAATTCTCCTTGTGGTTTTATTTTCCAGTCTAACCACTCTGCAGATCTCGACACTGGCTCTGCTTTAGTCCTGACTATTGAAAGCACACTCATCACTGCCTGCTCCTCAGAGTCTTTAGTTAGCAAAGGTCATTTTAAAAACTTCTGCATCCGCTTTGCTGATGGCTTTGAGACGAGCTGGGATGACTGGAAACCAGAAATAAGAGGAGATCTAGTCATGAATGCATGTAAGTGGGGGTGATCTCATACTGGACAAGAGTATTTCAGATACAAATCCACTTTTGCCCATCCCATTGACTTGAATAACAGCTGAGCTTTCCCAAAAAACCTGAAAAAAAGGACTTTGGCCTTTTGAAGGCAAAATTATATGGACTTAAGAGGTTATATTCCTTTGTTGTTGTTTTCCTTTATAAATAAATTTTGCTGCTTTATATATCATTGTAATAATTTAAGCTCTCTCTGAGAAATGTTGGAAGAGTTGGATGCATTGCTTTTATAAAATTTCATAAGATCCCAGTAACTTTTAATAGTCTAATATAGAATGTTTATATATAGAATGGTGAAAATTCTAAAATTTGTATGGGATTTTAAGTTGATCCAATATATATATATTTATACAGAATACATATTTAGAATTTTGTATGTTACCAAATTAGGTTCACCTTACTAAATAAGACTTCCCTTGACTGGGAAGTAAAACTAGATCTCCTATCATTCTTTAATTATGGCAGGCAGGAGACTGAGGGTGGGATTGGGAAGGGCTGGTCTAAAGCAACTTTTACTGGCTGCATAATCAGTGCATTTGCTTTGTATGCTTCACGTAGGTGTTGTGCCAGATGGTACCTATGAAGTGTGTTCTAGGACAACAGGACAAGCTGCAGCAGGTAGTGTGCTTGTTTCAATAAATCAAGTCCAACAAAAGAAAAGCATTCATAAAACATGAAATTTAAGTCCTTTAACTGTGTTTTAATTTAATTGGGTGGAGGAGAGTCAGCAATATTGCCATAACACTAATGTCATCCCATTGCTTCCTCTCCTACTAAATCTTCCTAATGCTGAGGCTTTGCACCCTGAGCTGTCATCCCTCTCTCTCCTCTCCCAGAAAAGGCTTCTCTTTTTCCCAAATTCCCTCTCTGCCTGGTCAAAGTAGTCTGGACCTACTCCAGAGCATTCAGAAGTAGCTGTCAGTCTCTGTACTGGTCATACTTCCATCTAGAAAGAAAACCATTATCTTGTGTAGTCATGCTTAGAGCAAGGTCGGTATCTTGATGCTGAAAAGTGGCACGCAGAAAAGTCCTGGGCAGACAGGATATTTACTAGGCACACAGCACATATAATATAACATCTTCCAGCATCATTGTTCAAGCCTTGAATAAATAGGTCAGCATTTGTACATGCAGAAAGACATGTTTTCTGTTTCTTGCTGTTAGAAATTCTGTTTTGGAATAGTGTACTTGCCTGCATTTGTATGAGCTGAAGCTTAAGATGCTCTTTACTCGCTCTGAGGGGAATGTGTTTTCATTAGGCCTGCCTGTGTTGCATCACTTGTTAAAGAAATACTGTGAAGTATTTTCATCAAGCATTTCAGTTGTGGAATGTGTTTTTCTCAGAATGGGCAGAAAAGACAGTTCTGTGTAAGACAAACACTGTCTTGGCTAATGAGTACGTAATTCACTATGAGGGGGATTTTTTAAAAGAGGAAAACCTGTTTAAACTGATTTTTTATCTTTTTTAACACAGAAAGTAGTAGTGCTGGAACATGGACACTGAATGTGTTGTGGAAGATGTGTGGTATTGATGTCCACATGGATCCAAACATTGGGAAAAGACTGAATGCTTTGGGCAACACTCTCACTACGTTGACAGGAGAGGAAGATATTGATGACATTGCTGACCTCAACTCTGTGAACATAGCTGACCTTTCAGATGAGGATGAAGTTGACACCATGTCTCCTACTATACATGCAGTAAGTGAATCCACCAAAATAAGTGCTACTAATTGGAAAAAGTCTTCTGTCAAATGGAAGGGTCTTAGTCTTGAGTCCAGCATGCGAGTCCTTATAGCTCATACAAGTCTCGTTGCAAAATCAGAAACATTTATGTGTGTGTGTTTTCTAGCTCCATATTTCAAAGGCATCAAGTTGCAGATCATATTTCTACTGGTATTATGTGGAAATACTGATCTGGATTTGAAAACATGGAGGGGACATAGCACCTAACCTCAGGTACCTGAACTGTAAAAGCTGTGGCTTTCTTCTAGGTTTTTTTCCACAGGAGAGTAAGTTACTAACACGAAAAAATTTAAAAAAAACCTACTTCTACTCAATATGCTGCTGACCTTGCTTTCTAGTTTTCTACAAAACCATTTTAACAGCTGTTCCTTAATGTCTCTTGCCTGCTGACAGTGAAAACATTATCCCAGCCCACTAATGCTCCTGTTTGTTGTTCAGAAATCAGGTGGAGGTTCCTTGGGTGGAGATGCACGCAAGCTCACATTTGGGCAGCGGATTGTAAATCACCTGCTGGGTTTGAGCCCCCCAACCCACCGATACTCTGTTCCTGTAGAATATCTCTTGGGCTCAGCGAAGCGGGATTTGCTCCAGCCTAGCAGAGCACATATGAAAGCAGGCAGATCCTGCTCATGGGGACATGTATGTAGTAGTTACAGTGTGTCTAACTGAATGATGGGCTTTGGATCACTGCAAGAAACCCAATCAGCTGCCTATTCACATGAATTGATTCTTTTGCATGCGCTAGTCCAAATTTGAAGGTGTGAAATTCACTTTGCCTGTTCACAATGTACTGATGACCAATTTTTGATGAGGGCTTTAATGAAGTGTTTATTTTAAACAGGAGATTGTTGATCATCGGCGGCAGGGAGCTTCCAGTATCCAAACTGGAGAACAGCGAGGAAGGAAATTCTTGAAGCGTTTGGTTGATATTAGGGAGCTCAATGAGCAAGCGAAAGTCATTGATGACTTAAAGTAAGTAGGTTTGCTTTATGTTCTTATCATTCATCTTGTGGCACGGTTATGGTTAAGTGCAAATCATTTGCCTTTATTTAAAAATAAAAGATTGTCCCTTTGGATTCCAAAAGCAAAGACTATATGTGCAAGTATTCTCTCAAATCTCTCTGGTTGTTCCTTAAGTGTCAGATTAGTCTTTATTTTTCTGACTCTGCATTTTAATGACTGATTTATAGTGTTTTCCTATTAATTCATGTTCCATCTTGATTTATTTTCAGGCTGATTACTTTAGCAAAATATATTACTTTGAAACTGTAATAAGCTGAGGAGAAAAATATTTAAATTGACTTTTTTTTTGCATCTTGTACATTATGTTTTCAAGATAAAACTTGAAAACTTTCTTACACTTTACTTGAGAAAATCGTTAAGAAAAAATTATTTCATATTTCCTGAATTTCATCTGACCTTCTGTGTATTTTATTAAGAGTATTTGCAAGCAAGGTTTTTTTTGGCTTGTTTGGGCTTTTTTCCCCCCTTTTCCTCAAGAAAGAGTTACTATAAATGGATCTGTCTGGGATGGGAATACAGAGGTTGGTAGTTACATGTTAAATTATGAGAAGGGATGCATGTTTCACTGTTTGTACTTAAAATGAAATTGCTGTCACCATTCAGAGAGAAATTTTATCTGAAATTAAGATTTTAAGTTAAATGCTTTCATACTTCTGTGGCTATATTTGGCACTGGTCATAAGTATTGGGACAAAAGAGAAAATGGGATAATTCCCAGGGATAGCATTCTTACAACACAGGTTTCTGAAATTGTGGAAATAATGTCTGTAAGATAACTCAACCATGCTTTATCTCCAGGAAATTAGGTGCAAGTGAAGGGACCATAAACCAAGAAATTCAACGCTATCAGCAGCTGGAGTCGGTGGCTGTGAACGACATCCGCAGGGACGTCCGCAAAAAGCTCCGTAGATCCAGCATGAGGGTGAGCAAGATTAAGCTTCTTTGAGAACATTGTAGCACTTAATGTCCCAAAAATCATTTTACTTTGCTGGCACATCCATGTACAGTAGCGTTTTAGCTTGCCAGAGTTTCTTCTCTGTGTTCTCAGTTGTTGCATTTCAATATTATTTCTGGTTTAGGCTGCCTCCTTGAAAGACAAGTGGGGTCTGAGCTACAAACCCAGCTACAGCCGATCTAAGAGCATTTCAGCATCAGGGAGGCCACCTCTGAAGAGAATGGACCGAACAAGGTGAGCCAGTGGGAATCTGGGATCTGTGATAGCCACAACAGCACATGGAACAACAGGGGAAATTTTGGACTTTGGCCTGAAGAGTCCTTTTACCACAGGCAGCAGCTGTTTGTGGTGGAACTGGATAGGAGGAGGTCATTTTGCAAGGCAGGGATGTTGTAAAAAGCATTTTTTTCTCATTTTTATGAAACCTCTGAGAAGATTTCACTTCTCCAGCGACTTGGGGTTTTCTACAGGATCCTGTTTTCAGAACATATTGAAGAAATATATGTAAGGAAAAATGGCATAGTGTAATCTTGTTTTGTACACCTGACTTAGAATCATCTGCTTTTTCAAAGGGCTGTTGTAATGAGAAGAAGAAAGGGAGATGTTTTTTCATATGTGAATAATTGTCCCATGTGGCAGAATACAAATAGCTTGTTTTTCTGCAATTTCTGCATGTTGCCCCAGGATTGAAAAGCTTGCATAGAGAAATTAGCAGAGATACAATACAAGTCACATGCAGCTTCTCTTTTCTTCTCCCCCTCCTTCCTTTTCATGTACCCAAGTGCTTCAATTGTGATTTTATATATTCTTCTCTAAAAAATGATAAGTATGACCTTATATTTGTGTAGCTAAATGTTTTCATGACCCTAAAATCTTGTAGTACAACTCAAGAAGCTGTTTTGGTTCTGTTTTGCTTGCAGCTCTCGACTGGGAGACAGCGAAGACCTCCCAGATATCCGTGTGGATGCTGCATCCCCTGGGCCAAGAGTAACCTTCAACATACAAGATTCTGTAAGAATTCCTCTATATGTCATATAATTGTATTTCCTGTGCCATTTGGTCACCAGCTCATGAGATAATTATATCCAGGCAAACCTGAATTGGGTCTGCTTCTGCTGGCGTTTCCATCAAATTACAGATGTGCTTTTGGAATATAGACTTATTTCATTAGAAAATAGATGTATTTTGGTTCCTTGGCACAGAAATTAATTGACTCATGAGAGAAAAATATTTTAAAATGGCTTGATTTTTTTTTTAGGTTCACACAGTAGTAATTTTCTTGGTATTTTTGTCAGCGGTGCACAAAAAATCACCTAGGTTTTTTTGGTGTTTGGATATGTTTATAGTTTTGGAAATGGGTATTACTCAGTTTGCTATAGCTCTACAGATGTATCCTCCTCAGTGTTTGAAATGGATTGTTGAACTGGTTTGGGGTTGGTTATTTTTTTGGTGGGTTTTTGGTGGTTTTTTTTTTTGTTTGTTTTGTTTTTTTGTTTTTTCTTTTTTGTTCTTTTGGGATTTTTTTCTTTTTTTTCCTTTTGTTTTTTTTTTTTTTCTTTTTTTTTTTTTTTTGTATGTTTTCTCATTTTTATAATGTTCATTTTGCATGGCTGAGATTATTGTAATTGTTTTAATTTCTATATTTTTTTCATTTCTATTAAGTTGAATCAAATAGCTTTGGGGATTGCACAACAATCCAGCTGTCCAGGGGAAGGGTATTTTCAGGTATTTCTGAGCAGAAACAAGTATTCTTTGCCAGAGAACTAATTTATCTCATAGGGAGCTGCTTTTCAATATTTCATCTCTTTTGCACTCAGCTAAACAGAATGTATATCGAGCTTGAAAATATTTAAGTATGTAAACTAAGCAGAGGAACGTGATTTATTGTTGATCAACAACAATCAAAGTGCTTCTACACCCTTATGTAGATTTAAAACTTCTTGTAAAATGAATTACTGGCTTTTTGCTTAAAGACTGAGCAAGGCTGATGTAAAGTGACCCAAGTCTAGCTTTGAAATGTGCTTTAGAGGATGATTTCAGTGTGTGCCTTCACCTGTTACACTGTGTTCCGATGTAACGGCAATCAACACTGGTGGTACAAAATAATTACCAGGTGGGAGGACATCTTCTCACACTCTTAGTTCTGTTAAAATCCTTATATTTAACGTGGAACAAGACATTTTCAAATAATAGCAAGTAGGCAATGTTCCAAAACTTAACATCCTGAGAACAAGTGGAGTTTTTAAATTGCTTTCAAAACCATGTTTAGGGAAAAAAGTATTTTTCTTAAAAATAAAAGAATACTAATCAAGCAAACCCAAAATTCAAAACAAATCAAGAAAGGCAAAACTAAACAAACAAACAAAGAAACCAAACAAGAGACAGTAATGTATTTTTAATTCCTTCTAACTCTCATCATGCTCCCAGGAAATAAATTCCTATTTCTGAGAGAATGGTGGAAATGATACCTGGGAATGTACTTTGCACATTTAAATATGTTCACATTTAAAAGCTACCCTACCTATTGTTGTTGTTATGTAAAAGCCCAGTTAGCTTAGGTTTTGTTGGCATAGCAAAATACTATCAATCACTTAGAGGTATCAAATGTTGAATATTTAAAAAAAAATACATTTTCCTGACATCATACCTGTTGCTCAGCAGAGCTCTAATTTGAATTTGCAGACAACTGTGTAGCTCAGTGACACTGCATAGGAAGTGCTGGTGTTTAACACTTGGTGGATGCTTTTCATAAGCATTTTAAGAATTTAATGTTGGAAAATTGTTTGTGTCATGATTTCTGTGAGAAGCAGGAGGCTCCTTTAGGATGTTTGGTTCCATGCTCGGGCTGGGATGCCCAGGGAGCAGTGCTGTACATTCTGTGTAGTGCCCTGCATACCCTCACTAATGCTTCCTGCAAGTCGTGGGCACTTGGGCTGCCTTCTGTCCTCCTCTTTCAAAATAGTTCTTAAATTTAAATGAAATGTTTCCTTTCCTTCTAAATTGGTAAGAGCATGATGAGTCTTTTTCTACCAGGCTGAGCTCAATCACTAGGCAATGGCAAAGGTCTCCCCACCAAGCTTTCATTCCCTTCAATTTCATAATCCCTCTTGCAATTCCTTTACCTGCGCTCTCCGTGTTATGAGGAACTCAGAAGTGAGAGTTTCTCATAACACTCTTGCTTCTTTATTTCCAGATCTACCTACTGCATTCTCGGTGGAAATCATATCTGTGGAAATTTACTATCTTTTTGTCTTTTCACAATCAGTTTCCAGAGGAGACAGAAATGGACCTTTTGTCCGTAACTATTGATGGTCCCTCCCATTACTCATCTACTAGTGAAGGCTCATGCTCGGTATTTGGTTCACCCAAAACTCCAGTTGTCTTCTCACCCGGCATTCCCTTCCAGCCTGAAGAGGGACGCCGGGATGACAGCTTATCCTCCAGCAGCGAGGACTCGGAGAAGGAGGATGACCATGAAAGGGAGAGGACCTATTTTTATAGGAAACCACCGTAAGTAAACGGTCCTGAGGAACAAGACAGAAATTGAGAAGACACATGAATATACTTTCAGTACTTTCAGTACTCTCAAACTTGAAATATTGAATTCAAAGCTACAAATTCTGTTGCTGATGAAGTACTGAATACGCTCAAGTGTGTGTGTGGAAGGCAGGTGAGGTTGTGTTCACTAGAGGTGACTGTGTGGGAAGGAGGGATCCTGATTGGAAAAGGAGGTAACTCAGAGATTTCAGGGCTTGGAACAGAATAAAAGAACTTGGAAAGTGAGGTTTTTGGGGCAGAGAACAGGGTGTAATTCCAGAAACTGCATGTAATGCTTAGAAATATGGGAGGTATTGTGTCTATATATTTTTGTTCCTTTTTTGATTGAGAATTTAAGAAAAGCCCAGTTTTTTGTACTACCCTATATTGAGAAATGTAACGTGTTAACGCAAGGTGTGTCACTGTACTGCTGCATATCAGATAAGGCCTTTTCCAAAAAGGTTTCTGTAAGATTATACACTTAAGTGTGGACATAGTTTGGGAATGCCTTGTAGCCCCTGCTGAGGTAAATGTCCTGCTGATACCTGGCCCCCACCTGTGCCTGTGCAGGAGCACTTCTCGCAAGAAAGCCACGGGCTTTGCTGCTGTGCACCAGCTGTTCACCGAGCGCTGGCCAACTACACCCACCAACAGGAGTGTCACTGGCACCACCACGGAGAGAAACATTGACTTTGAGCTTGATATCAGGGTTGAAATTGATTGTGGGAAGTGTGTGCTGCACCCCACGATGCTCCAGCAAGAGCACGACGATATCAGTTTGCGAAGGTAAGAAATGCATGCGTTAGTTCATTACCAGCACCATAAGTTGCAATTGTACTGGCCCAGTGTGATGCAGGAAATTACTTCAATAACCTGAGTGTATTTATTTCAGGAGCTATGATCGGAGTTCCAGGAGTTTGGATCAGGAGTCCCCTTCAAAAAAGAAGAAATTTCAAACTAATTATGCATCTACTACTCACTTACTTGCTGGCAAGAAAGTGCCATCATCTCTGCAGACAAAATCCAGTGATGTGGAAACAACAGTGTTTTATATTCCTGGGGTGGATGTAAAGGTAAAATGAAGGGATAAATCAATGTTTTCTCTCCAATACAGTCAAACTGTTCACTCCCTTGGTTTTTTAATCATTGTTTCTGTATCCTAGCATGAAAAGGTCTCAACACAAATGTCCTTGTATTTTGTGATTTGAAATCCTAATGGTGTAAGAACAGGGAAAAACCTGTCACTACTGAAGGAAAACTTAATGCAATTCAGTTGAGGCAATGCCATAAATCAGATTCTTCTCACTTGATACAGCTTGGCTTTTCTAGTCTTTCACTGTGGAAAGACTATGTGTGTCCATGTCCTGTATTCCAGGCTGTCTTCAGGGATAACAGTTATACCTCAGGTCCTGCCTGTTGCTTTTAATCAAATTCAGGACTAACTAAACATCCTCTACAACCTGTGTTATGTTCTGTGTTCTCAGTAATAGCCTACTGTGCACATAGAGGAGGTGTGAACTCCTGGAATATCTTACTTGGATTTTTTTATGCTAGTTTCTGTATGTCTGTGTTTAGTAGTGGAACAGTGCCACCACACATTAAGACAGAAAAGAGGCTGTGTGCACAGGTGGCACAGGATGCATGTGATGTAACAGAGGGAGAAACAAGCTTTAGATAGTGTTCCTAAATAATCCTCTGATTCTCTGTGTTTTGTTGAATTTTTTAATGATTTATTAATTTATCTATATTTAATTTTTTTACTGAGTTTTCAGTTCTTTTTGTGTATAGGATGTGAATTGGAATGTAGTGTACCTGGCAGTGACAGTTCTGTAAATAATGAGAAGAAATGAGTTTTAGAGGGAAGAAGTGACACCAAATGGCTGTACAGAAATTGAGTTCTTCGTGTGAAGTAACTTGATCTTGCTTTGCTTTCCAGTTGCACTACAACTCCAAGACTCTAAAGACTGAATCACCAAACACTTCTCGAGGATCCTCCTTGCCACGCACCCTTTCCAAAGAGTCCAAGCTGTATGGTATGAAAGATACTGCCACATCTCCTCCTCTCTCTAGCACTATCCACAGCAAGACTAACACCTTACTTCCTCCCCAACCCCCACCCATCCCATCAGGTACTTGTAGACAAACTTTCTGAACCTTTCATGGATATATTTTTCCTTGGTGTAATCTACTGCCTTTAGATCTGACTACACCTTCCCTGGAGCACTGTATTTATCCAGGCTTGACTTTACTGCACAAACCTGACCCCAGAAGCAAGAATACACTTGATAAAGCTGCATATTCAGACATTGTTTGAAACCAATCTCAGCAATATTTTTGTCACAGTCACCATATCCCAGTGTTGGGCTGTCACTGCCTTCTCCCAGTTTTCACTTAACAAAAGAATGTCAGAAAGCAAAGGGTAAATATCTGTAAATATCTCTCCCATTGAAGGCCTTTAAATAGCCATGATTTGGAGTAAGAGGAGCTCTAATACAAGCTTTGTTTTGTCTCCAGTGACTCCTGTTTTCAAGCAGCAGGCTGTTGCTACCTCATGTCAGATCCAGAGGCATGTAGATCGCATCTCCAGTTTCTGAGACTTTGACTCTTCTCTCCTTTGGCATTTTAATATTGCTTTAAACACAAAGCCAAAATTTTGTCACAATTGATGATCAGGCAAAATGAATAACTGGAACTTGTGCTTGTGGGTTTTGCCTTATAAAATCACCAGAGATGCTGGGAGAGAACAGTGAAACGGGGATACCTTCCTCAATTCTCATGCTGTTGAACCATTAGCTCTTACTCCTTTAGGTGGCCATCTTCTTTACACAACACCAGATGTTGTGTAGTGGTTTATGCTACTTCACTTTTGTTCTCTAATCAATCTGCTTTCTAATCTTTGCCTTTAAATTCTTCCCACATTATGTCCAGGTACTGAGTCCTGCTGGTTGAATGTCTGTAAGCTCTGCATTTGGTGTGGAAATTGCACTTTGTATGATAACATAAATGCCTCCCCAGAATTAGAGATTTGGTTGTAATTGCTTCATTTCTTTAAAAGTTGTATTTCTATAAGTATTTATTAGTCCCGAGTGGTTTTGAAACACTCTTATTGTTGTTTATGGTATTTATTTTTTTTTAAAGTACTTTTCCTCTGGAAACCACTCCTCTGGAATGGAGACCAACTTGTATTCTCTTTGGTTTCCTGTAAAAGTAAGATAGGACAATGTAGTCAGAGACGTGAGGCAGAAACCTTTGCACAGAATGAAAAGTCAGTGCTTTTTTTTTTTTTTCTAGCAAATGAAAGGATTTTTAATCTCTGTTATAGTAGTTAATTTTTATATTTTTCTTGGAGAATTTGAAATCTATGTCTGCATTGGTGTATATTCATTCTAATAGCTACATTGCATAGAGACAGTAAGTGAGCTGGTACTAATATCTTCCTTTCATGTTGATATTTTGATGAGCATGGATTCAAGACTTCTCTCACAAATTTACAAGAAAGTAACCTTTTTATTGGTTTATACTCTGGCTAGTTCCAAGCTTTCAAAAATTATGGTTTAGAATCTTTAGTCATTCTCTGCATAAATATAGTAGGACTTGCCATTTGCAAGTTTAATTTTTTGATGTATTTTCTTTATTTAAACTGACATTCTTTCCAGACTTGTGCATTTGTTTTTCCTAATACCATTTTCATTTCCAGTCAGCTGCAGTTACTTTGCACTGGGTATTTGCAGAAGAGCTGTCTGTTTTTGCTTTCAGTGCTATTTTCTAAAAAGTGAGGTGCTGACAATGACAACAGAGTGCTTGGTTGAGAACATGAGCAATGGAATTAATACAATGAAGCCTTACAGACTAATGGTTATTTTGGCAAAGTGAAAACTTAATGACTTAATTTCTTCTAGCAGACCTGATCTAGAGCTCTTCAGATGATAGAGAAAATTAGAGGGCACAGCTTGATAAGTTATGAAGCGTCTTCTAATGTTTATCAGTGGTATTACCTTAGACAAATATATCTTTTCAATGTTGAAGCCAAAGGGAAAGGAAGTGGTGGAGTAAAAACTGCTAAACTCTACGCGTGGGTCGCGCTGCAGTCACTGCCAGAGGAGATGGTGATCAGCCCCTGCCTCCTGGACTTCCTGGAGAAAGCCCTTGAAACCATTCCCATCACACCCATTGAAAGGAATTACACAGGTCAGTTGCATCGTTGTATTCTGGCACTCTGCTTTTTTTTGGAATTGAGCTGCTTTTCCCTTCAAATTCCACGTTCTAATGAGTTCTTGTACTTGTTAAAAGCTGTTAGCTCCCAGGATGAAGACATGGGGCAGTTTGATATACAAGATCCCTTAGAAGAGTCCACAACATCCCTCGTATCATCCTCAACATCAGCATATTCCTCCTTCCCTGTAGATGTGGTGGTTTATGTACGAGTCCAGGTGAGGTTTTAACTCAACACTAGTCTTAACTAAGTCAACTAACTTAACTTTAACTTAACTAGTCAAGTTGTCTTTTAAACAATCCATGCTTCTAAGTTTGATTTTTAAAGAATAAAAACTCAAATGTCCCTTCTGAATGCTTTATTTTCTTTCTGCCTCTCAGCCCTCTCAAATCAAGTTCAGCTGCTTGCCGGTATCCAGAGTTGAATGTATGCTGAAGTTGCCTTCTCTGGATCTTGTTTTCTCTTCCAACCGAGGAGAACTGGAGACTTTAGGCACAACATACCCATCAGAAAGTGTGTCCATTGGTGGCAATACTTCACAGAGCAGCTCAAAGAATTCAGCTAGTAAATCTGGAGCACCAGGTAACATGTGTATGAATGTTGATTCTATACACAGAATATTTAAGCTTTATTGCTGCTAGAGGGCATAATTTGAAGTGCATTTGGTCTGTTTAATACTGCTGTTAACATTCAGTATTATTTCATGTTTGAAAATGCTTTCAAAATCCGATTTTTTTGTCCCCAAAAAAATGACTCCAGGTTCATCGCCTGGCCTTGGCAGCCCTCTGGGCAGGACGAGGCACAGCAGCAGTCAGTCGGATCTGACGACTTCCAGCAGCAGCTCTTCAGGCCTGAGCTTTACTGCCTGCATGTCTGACTTCTCCCTTTATGTGTTCCATCCCTACGGAGCTGGAAAACAAAAATCAGCTGTTACCGTGCTAACCCCTGGATCGGGAGCCTTGGGTACGGAACCAGGTTTTGTTTGCTTTTATCAACATTATTCAGGTGTGGCACGGGTTTCTGAACTGCAGCTTTGAAAGGATCACAGAAGATGAAAATGTTTCCTTCCTGCTTCCAGGGAACGTGGATGAGGAGCCAACTTCGGTCACTGGCCGGAAGGATTCCTTGAGCATCAACCTGGAGTTTGTGAAAGTCAGCCTGTCACGGATCAGGCGTTCGGGAGGCTCCTCCTTTTTTGAGAGTCAGTCTGCGAGCAAAGCTACCAGCAAGATAGACACCACATTGATCAACATATCTGGTAAATGCTTCTTTCATTTTGATCCCAGCTAATTAGAGAGCTGCTGTTCCAGTGATGGACTTCACTCTTGGCAGCTTTTTTTTTTGTGTAAGATCTATGCACTTATTTTCTGCCCCTGCACATGGGACCCTGACTTCCTGGGCAAACAACAGGATAGTTGTGATTGATCTACTATTAAAATCTTCCCGTGAGGAGTCTCAGGCACATCCAACACAAGCAGGACTCAACATAATCTGTGTTCTTGGGTTCTAGCGTGTCTTTATGAAATGCATTTTTATCTAATGTTGGGACTTGGAGAAAGCAACACCTCAGTAGACTATTTTTTCATGATAGCCGAGACAATACTAGTAGGTGAAAGAGAATTTGACTTGGTTACCAAGACCTGTTATTACTGGGAATTTACAGCTGTGTGCATGTGCTTTTTCAGCTGTCTGTGACATAGGATCTGCTTCTTTCAAATACGACATGCGCCGCCTCAGTGAGATCCTGGCTTTTCCCAGGGCTTGGTACAGGAGAAGCATTGCCAGAAGGCTTTTCCTGGGTGATCAGACAATAAATCTGCCAGGTAGGAGGCTGCTGCTTATCACAAAAACACTTGTTACACAAAGGGTTACAGTAGGAATTTTTAAAGTATTTATTAACCTTGTCATATTATTGAATAGATGTAAATATATTATGATTTACTCCATATACAGTCACTCAGAGATGTTTGATAGGAAATGAAATACATTTGGACACTCTCCCAGTTCTTCTTAGTATACACAAGGATGTGGTTAGACACAAATGAAATAGTTTTTCTGTATTTCCTGTGTTGCTTTTTCTCCAGTAGCATCAGGCCCTGGCACCCCAGATTCAATTGAAGGAGTAAGCCAGCACCTTTCTCCTGAATCCTCAAGGAAAGCATACTGTAGGACATGGGAGCAGCCCTGCCAGTCTGCTTCCTTCACTCACATGGCACAGTCACCCAATGTTTTCAGTGAGCACAGTGCCAGCAGCAGTATGTCACCTGGGACAGCATCTCACAGCCTCAAATCCCCAGCTGTCACAAGGTCCAGGAGCGTCTCTGACTCCTCAGTGCCTCAGAGAGGTGAGTAGATAATGACATTTTATTTTTTTTAACAAAGTATTTCCATCAGTTGAATGAAAGAAGTATGTCATTACCACTTGGAAAATATTCTTTTCCATAGTGCCTGGCACTGGGGAGTCAATGGCCCAGAGAAGGGAAAATGCCTAAAAGGGATGAATGAAAGTTGTTAGCATATTATCCATAAAATTTCACTATCTGTGTGTGTACAGTGAGTCAATTTCTATGACAACTAATGCAAATCCTCTAGTTCTCACTTATCTTCTCTCATGGTTTTATGCTCTTTAAATATTGTAATATTGTGCTTGGCAGTCCTTTTGTAATATTCACAATGGATATATTCTGCCAGATTTTCCTAGCATGTGGAATAATTTAAATTGAATTTTTTGTCTACTTTTTTTTTTTTTCCTGTTTAGATACTCTCTCAAAAACATCAACTCCATTTAATAAGTCTAACAAAGCTGGAAGCCAGCAAGGAACACCCTGGGAAACACTGGTTGTGTTTGCTATGAACCTAAAACAATTAAATGTTCAAATGAATATGAGCAATGTAATGGGCAATACTACGTAAGTATAAACTATGATCAAGCATTACTTTAACAACTGAGGGTGTTTTGGGGGCAAAAAGCCAATTTTTCCCCACAGACTGTTAACAGTCTGTTTCCTTTCACTTTAAAATCCTACCCTTTTCAGTTTTGAACTGAGAGTCCCCTCATGAATATTGTAGTTGCTTAATCCTGAAGTCACATATGCCTAAACCATGTTATTTACTGCTTTCCAGTAGATAATACTCAGTTTCTCTTTCGACAACCTGCAAAGTTGTTATCTATTTTCACCTCTGTTCTAGGTGGACCACCAGTGGTTTGAAAAGCCAGGGCCGTCTGTCTGTGGGAAGTAGCAGAGATCGGGAAATCAGCATGTCTGTGGGCTTGGGAAGATCCCAGCTTGACTCCAGAGGGGGAGTTGTTGGAGGTACCATAGATGTTAACACCCTGGAGATGGTGGGTAAGTTGGAAAGCCTCCTGCTGTTAGCATATGATCCAGTTAATAAAGGTGATATCACTGGAAAAACTGAGTTTGATCTCTTTAATTCTGTATTTCTGTATTGCCTTGGTTCTATTTCAGCTCATATTTCTGAACACCCAAACCAACAGCCCAATCATAAAATTGAAATCACTATGGGTTCTACTGAAGCACGTGTTGACTATATGGGATCCAGTATCCTAATGGGAATCTTCAGTAATGCTGATCTTAAACTGCAGGATGAATGGAAGATTAATCTGTATAATAATCTGGATTCGAGCATGACTGATAAAAGGTAATAATATTTTCTGTGTTTAAAATGTATGATGTTTGATAATGTCAAAGGTCTTCTGTCCAGTACTGCTAACCAGCAATGTAAACGTCTGCTAAAATGCAGAGGGTTCATTGTTTGGTTATGTTTTTGGGTTTTTTTTTAGTTGTCAGTAGGAAATATATTAACTTCTGATTTTCTTGCTGTTTTTAATATCTAGTGAGATATTTGTCCATGGGGACTTGAAATGGGATATCTTCCAAGTGATGATTTCAAGGTCAACCACACCAGACCTGATAAAAATAGGAATGAAACTCCAGGAGTTCTTCACTCAGCAGTTTGATACAAGCAAGAGAGCTCTGTCCACCTGGGGACCTGTTCCTTATCTCCCTCCGAAGACGATGGCAAACAACCTAGAGAAAACCTCACACGAGCAGTGTAAGCGCAACCCAAAACCAGTATGTTCCCCAAATTAAAATGTTTTAATTGCAAAAATTACGTAGGAGACAGTGTTAGTGAAATAGAGAAGAAGATATCTCTCATAATTCCATGTTTTACTAAAAATACAAATACAGAAATAATTGCTGGCATATCTTGCCTGAGATTTGTTGTTCATGTTTGCTCTGCAGTGTTGGATGCAGCCCATCATCGCCACTGGCCAGGAGTTCTGAAGGTGGTATCTGGGTGCCACATATCCCTGTTCCAGATGCCACTGCCCGAAGATGGGATGCAATTTGGAGGATCCATGAGCCTGCACGGGAACCATATGACCCTGGCTTGTTTTCATGGACCTAATTTCCGCTCAAAATCATGGGCCTTATTTCACCTGGAAGAACCCAATATTGCATTTTGGACTGAAGCCCAGAAAGTTTTGGAAGATGGTAATTTAAACTGTTTACTCATTTCTTCAATTTTCTTTAAATGAGTTTTTAATGATGTATTATTACATAAGAAGAAATCAAAGAAAAATTAATTTTCTTTGTCTGAATCAAGAATATTTCCCAAAAATATATCACTTATCTAAAAATAATCTGTTCCCTCCACATCTTTGCCACAATTTGCTTTATCTCTGGAATAATGCAAAGTACATTTTCAAATGTACTGGATATGTTCCTGATGATGAGCGTATCAAGTGGATGCCTGGCTTTTTAATTATGTGTGCATATTTATTCTTTCTAGCTCCATAATGAATTTTGATGATCTTATTGCTCATATTTGTCTTAATATTGTGAAATTTTATTGTCTGTGGTTACTGAGGATTTAATTTCTCTGTTGTTTGCAAGCTTTACACCAGCTTTTATTCCACTGGCACACTAATTATTCATATTAAATACATGTAGAAGAATGAGAGAAAATTCTCACTACTCTCACGAAGCTGCTTTTACCTTTTTTTTTTCCTCTCCCACCCCACGGTGCCCACACCTTCAATGCAGGTACCAGTGAACACTCCACGTACATTGTGCAAACCCTGGACTTTCATTTGGGCCATAACACCATGGTCACCAAGCCCTGTGGGGCCCTGGAAAGCCCCATGGCCACCATCACAAAGATAACGCGGCGCCGCCACGAAAATCCCCCCCATGGAGTTGCCAGTGTGAAGGAGTGGTTCAACTACGTGACAGCCACGAGGAATGAAGGTTTGAGTCGGGTTCATTCAGTCTGGGGATTGATCTGCTTGCAGATGGAGCTGTTTGAAAAGCTGCTAAATCTCAAGTGTATAAACAGCAGACTTGATTGACCTTTTCTAGCCATACTTTAGGGAGCAGAATAAAAGACAAAAATCTTCTCAGTAATCATACAGCAGCAGTTTTACAAGTGACTCTTCTTAATTTTTTTGCCTTGTCGTGATGTAACATGTCCCATTGTTCCTGTAGAGTTGAACCTGCTTCGGAATGTTGATGCCAACAACCCAGAGAGCAGCACGACAGTGAAAAGCTCAAGCTTGTTAAGTGGCTTCAGGGGTGGCTCCAGTTACAACCATGAAACTGAAACCATTTTTGCATTGCCAAGGATGCAGCTGGATTTTAAATCTATTCATGTTCAAGAGCCCCAGGAGCCTTCATTACAAGGTGCAGTAAAACATAATCAGTTATTTTTTTTCTTGTCAAAAACTATTTCTCATCAATTAGGAGTTAAAGGCAAAGGTAGTGTGCTGATAAGAGGATTTAATCTGAGATTTGCTTCAGATCAGCAAGAAAAGATAACATTTTGTAGTAAAATGTAGAGGGAGTTATTTTGAGAGAGTGAAGATCTAGTGCAGACACTGGTCACTATAAAAGAAAACTTGCTAAGAGAAATTAATATGAACATTTCAGCTGCATTGGCTGTTTTCATAGGGTTGGTTTCCTTATATTTACTGAAATGTTAACTCTGGTCCTGCCTCTCAAGAGTTGCTGGTTCAATGAAAGAAATATTAGTTTTAAATGATCTGCATTCAAATTTTAGGAACTTTCAGACTTACTGTATGTACTTGTGTATTAATACTATTTTTATCTGACTGTAGATACAAATGTTAAACCCAAGGTGGAATGCAGTGTAGTAACTGAATTTACAGACCACATCTGTGTGACTATGGATGCTGAACTGATCATGTTTCTGCATGACTTGGTGTCTGCTTACCTAAAAGAAAAAGAAAAAGGTGAGTTGTCATTCATGAAGTAACACTTGTCTGACAATCTGGCATTCATTTGACAATAAATACTATAACTTATAATCATGCTTTTATTTTGACACCTTATTTCTCTTCATAAGACAGTACAGGCAGATGAAAACTTCTAGAAAGCTTTATTGTTGATATTGCAATGCTTTCATCAGTGGATCCCTTTCAAGACATGCATTTTTCTGATTTTAGAATTATTTACTTTTCTACCTCAATATGTTCAGTTGCAGCATTTAAATCTGGCATGTCCATTCTTAAGCAATATGTGGTCTTTTGCAGAAATTCTGGGAACATCAGGTAGTTCTCTTTTTGCTGAGACTTGTGCTTTTGTTTTATTTAAACTATGTCCAGACAGAATCCAAGTGAGCTGCTCGTGACTGACTGGTGTTTCTCCTCTCTCCCCTTCGCAGCAATTTTTCCTCCTCGCATTTTGGCTGCTCGTCCAGGGCAGAAGAACTCTGTTGGTGTCCTTGAGGACAGCTCCACTGACAAAGAGGCAGAGGAAAGCATTACCTACACTACAGTTGACTGGAGGGAGTTTATGTGCAATACCTGGCATTTGGAACCCACACTCAGGTAGGAAGCACCTTTAGCTGTAGCTTCTTTGGCAATGCATTAATTTTTGGATTGGAATTTATGCAGATTAAAGGCATTGTCAGAGGCTCTTCAGAATTAGGATGCAGTAAACTTAAACTCATTGATATCAGTCAGGTTTTTCACCTCCTTAAGCATACTCTTCCTTCGAGAGGATGCTCTATTGATCATCTTGAACATATCTGTCTAAATTGAGTTCAAAACAATGCCTGTTAGATTTAAGCTGGTCACAAGCAACACTGGCGAAAATGGATTTTTTTGTATATACAAATACCTGTTTCCTATATTTATATATTTGAGACTGAGATGTCTATTTATTGCTTTTTTAGATTAATATCCTGGACTGGGAGAAAAATTGATCCTGTTGGTGTTGACTACATCCTCCAAAAGCTGGGCTTTCACCACGCAAGGACTACTATCCCTAAGTGGCTGCAGCGTGGTGTCATGGATCCTTTGGACAAAGTTTTGTCAGTCCTTATAAAGAAACTTGGTACTGCACTACAAGATGAAAAGGAAAAGAAAGGAAAAGACAAAGAAGAATATTAAAAGTACAATGTGACAACCCTAACTCCATTTGATTTTATCAAAGTGTTTTATTATATTTTAAGAACTTAAATATGGTTTAAAGAGAAACCTAACAGCTTTTTGCTACTCTATTTAAAACTTACATTGTGAGTAACTGTTTACTGTGGTACTTGATACCATTCTGTATTTGAAGTTATTGCATGATTATGATGATGATGATGACCAATGTATATTCTGGGAAGGAATAGCTGGAACACTGTAAATCTGCTCCTCAGCGTCCATTTTATGATGTGCAATATGATCCTGCATCTTTACAATACTTGCAGATTAACTGTGAATTTTCTTAAAATTTTACTTGCCATAACACAAACCCCTTGTTGATGTGACCAGTAATTGATTTGTCAATGTAGACTGGTGTAAATTATATATATATATATAACTTATGAAACTGTGATTGCCTTAGTGCTAAAAATCATGAAGTTTATTACACTTGTAATAAAATTTAACTACTGTACAGGACCCATTCTTGTATTGATCAAGGAGGCTGAACAACAAGAAGAGAGTGTAACTTTGCAGAGTGTGATTTAAGTGAGGTGAAGCCCAGAGGCCAGGGGCTCGGGAAGCAGCCGCAAGGCGGGAAGCGCCGCCCCGACCAAGAAGCGGGGACGCGGCGCTTTCGCTGGGATGGGGGAAGCGGCTGCTCCCGGTCAGTGCTTCCCCGGCTTCGGCTGCCGCCCCTGCCCGCTGGGAGCGGCCCGAGAAGGCGAGCAGGGGGCTGAGAAGCGCTATGGAAGCCGAGCCGGCCGCATAGGGACAAAAGCGGGCGGCGGCCTCCCTGCTCCAGCTGCTCCCTCGGCTCCTCCCTCAGCCGCAGCTGCGGCTTCGCGCCTCGGCCGCGCCCCTCAGCAAAGGGCGGGAAGGGCTCTGAGGGGCTGGCCCCGGCTCTGAAGGCCCGGCGGGCAGAGGCGTCAGGGCTGCTCGGCTCTCGGAGGCCATCGCCTCAGGGCGGCTCGCAGCTCCCCGGCTCCTCCACCCTCGTGTGGCCTCGGGCGTGCTCCGCCTGCCCGCGGGGTGTGAGCGCTGAGGAGCCTCCACAGCAGGACGAGCGCGGCAGGTGCAGGTAATGAACCCTTCAACTCCAGCGTCAGCTCTTTCTGGAAACTGGAGAGGGATGAGCTTCGCTGCTTGGGGTCCCCTCACTCCCTCAAGAGTGGCTTGAGGAGTTGGTGTGTTCTCCGAGGGGCAGAGCCGCGTTCCGCATGAGGGAATGTGGTTTTAATAAAAGGGAGAGGTGGCTGCCCTGCGGGAAAGGACACCGGGTCTGGCTTCTGCCCCAGCCCTGGGTGAGTTGTTCCTGGTGTTCTTGTGAAATAGCTTGACCTAAGAGAACTGCAGTGGGTTTGGGTTTTTTTATTTTTGCAGGGTGTCTTTACTACTGTCAGCCTTGGTGCTGAGTTTCCTTAGGTCGGTCGGAAATGGCGAGCAGCAATGGCTGCTTTGAGGGTGCAGCGATGTTCACCTTCAACCTTGCACCTGAGAAGATATTACCACCCGAGGTTCTCGGACAGCCAATTTCAAAGGATCTCTCCGAGCCTGTGACTGCAAGGCTGAATCCACCACTTTCTATGAGGTGCAGTGAACCCGGGGTGATGAAAAATGCAGGTATAGTTCGCAGTTTATACACCGGGATTGGCTATTGATGCTGCCAAAAGTAACTTTGCTTTTTCTTATCTAACTTTGCTGTATTTTGTTACATGACTTCTTTAGCATCTCCTTAAGCTTGTCCCTCCTCTTCTAAAGTCTTTTTGTGCTGGAAGTTTGTTACCCATTTGCTGTAGGGTGACCTGTGCAGTCTGCAGCATTACCTAATTATAAAATTTAAGTTAAACATTAAAAGTACTGTAGATTGACAAAATACAGAATATGTTCTGCTGCATGAATTTTCATAAATAACGTCGTGTAGGGTTTTAATTGCAGTTTGAGGTGTCCCAGGATGTATTTTGAATTGTGTCACTTTGAAGTAGTTGTGTTGAGGTTAAGGCACTTAAAAAGTGAGGATTTATTTTAGTTCTTGGCTGGGAAGTGGTATATCACACCCCTGAAGCTGATGATTTTATCCATCCAGTGGTTACTGAAACTCTTAAAGTGTCTTAAAACAGTGAGTCCCACTGCTGCACAGCTTTGTGTGGAAAAAACTCGGGTTCCACTGTGTGATATTTTTTTTAATACCTGTCTGTGTTCAGAGATTACTGGATTTACTACAAGTAAAAGTAAAGTAAAACTGATGCTTTTAAAATAGGATGTACACACCATTTTGGAATTGCTGTTGTTGCTAATGTAGGGTTCAGTACAAAGCAGTAATGCTCTACAGTGAATTTTGGTTTGCTTTTTAAGAAGCATCTAAAAAGCATCTATTACAAGCTCTCTCTTTCATTGTGAGTTCAGTTCTCTCCTTAATTTTGTTTAAGGACCTTTTCTTTTTAAAGGAGCAGACGACACCACATTTTCAGCCCTTCCCTCACAGAAAGACCTGGATTTGATTGAAAGATACAAACAGGGAGTAATAAACCCAGTGTCTGCCTTGCATCTGTTTGCCAAAATACACCACCTGCAGCTCGAATTGAAAGAAACGAGTGTGGCAGGTAAATACTTCTGCTACCAAATTCAGTAGTATTTGCTTATCCTCGAGGTTATCTGAGTTGATTTGATGGTGGTGATGCAGCTGAAACCTTTTACTGCTGCTTGCACTACCCCCACATATGCTGGAGTTTGGCTGCCCTTTTGTTGCCTTCATAGCTGGTTCTTGTGATGAGGTGCTACAGAAGTGGATCAGGTGAATTTTGTTTAATTACTGCTGTTACCAGAACTTTGTGAAGACTGCTTGAAGCAAAAGCCAGCAAAATTTTTTGGGGAGGTGAGGGGTAAGAGCTGTACTTTGCCAGAATTGCCTTTTTATCTTGTGTTTGTTCTAGGAATTAGTATAAGGATAAGCTATGGATGACGTGCCTTAAAATAATTTCACTGATTGCATCTGCTTTTTTTCCTTCTCCTTTAAAGGCGATGTCATAAGGCCTTATTTTGCCTTTTGTGCTGTGATAAATGGTGTTTGCTACAAGACTGGGCTGGGAAAGAACAAGAAGGAATCGAAGTTAAATGCAGCTAAACTGGCTCTTGCTGAGCTACTTAACTTGGAAAGTACAGGGGAAAAGTCTTTTGAAGATTCAGGTAAATATTGTAACAACACCTAATTGAACCTTGAAATGGTTGGCTTAACAGTGTCCTATGCAAAATATCTGTGGTTTTATTAAATCAGTATCAGCCTCTGTCAGGTTTTTTGAATCCTTGGGTTTGGTTCTGAAACTTTTTTATTTTTGTCATTTTTGTTTTAACAAATACATAGATAGCTGATGCCAGGAATACTAAAGGAATTAATTTGTTGCTGTGGCACTTGATTTGCTACTCATTAGGTACAGCAACATGAAGTACATCCCAAGTGGGTTTGAGTTTTGATGACTAAAAGGGTTCCCCACTGAGATGCTGCTTTCAACAGAGATCAGTTGCCATAATATTTTATCTTCTTTTGAGTTTTGCTGTCTTGAATGTTGGAAGCTTACAAGGACTTTAGAATCAGAAAATAAAATTAATAGAGAATTAGAAAGTTCGACTTGATGGAAATAGTGTGAAATTCATGCTTAGAAATAAGGAATGTCCATCCCACTGTAAAATGTTGTTAAATTCTTAGATTTTCCCTGTGTTCCTGCTGAGCTTCGATCTCCAGCAAACTCTGCTTGTGTTTCAAGGACTGGTAAGGAATGGTCTATTTTTTCCTCTGTTGGTTCAAATTGCCCAGCAAATAGTTTATTTTTTAAATTTTTCATCTTTTAATACATTGTGATCTCTATGTTGTTACTGTGGTTTTAAATGTTTTTGAAGGCTTGAAGAACTAGTATTACTAGGCTGGTTCTACAAAAGGACAGTTCAGTAAATTGCTTGGATTCAGTAAATTGATTGAATTTCTATCACCAGTCCAGAATAGAAATAGAAACAGGATTCTCTGTCCTTGGTTGAGCAAGTGTAGAGTAGGTGATCGAACTTGGGCTATATCTGTTGTTAATATGATGGATGATAAAAGCATCAAGGTGTTCTTGAGCTTTATTTAATCCTGAGGATCTTCAGAATCCTGAAAGTACGTGTGGTTGTGCTTACACCATGCATTCAGGGTTATAATTTGGCAAGTCTCTTTTGTTCACCTACCTGTGAATTTGTGTCTTGATGGATTCTGTTGTTTCATTTAGGAGGAGAACATATCTATCAAAAGTTCTCACAAATGCTTGAGGAAGTGTTCAACCGCCTGACTGCCCAACACACTGAGTACCAAAGCTGTGGCAGTTCCCTGGCTGCCTTCATCATTGAAAAGGGCAAGTCTGGTTTGACTGTCAATTTTGGGGAGTGGGAAACCTGTTCCCACAGAGCACTGAGAGCGTGGGAGCAGCTTGGTGGGCACAGCCAGGCCAGGTGACCCTACCGCTGTCTCTGGTTTTAGGTGGGCAGCATGAAGTGGTAGCTCTGGGGACAGGAGAATGCAACTACAGCCGGCGCTTCGAGTCCTGTGGGAGGCTCCTGCACGACAGCCATGCCATTGTCACTGCCAGGCGTTCCCTGCTCAGGTGATAATGTCCCTGCAAATCCTTCCCTTGCAGACAGTTTGTTGCAGTTTTACTTCTGCAATTGAATTTTATGGCTGTATGAACTGATAAATAATACATAATAATGTAAGCGTCTATCTACATTGCATTGTGTAAAATATAATTTATTTTTCTTCTAGGTATTTGTACAGGCATCTTTTGTTGTTCTATAACAAAAATCCAGCCAAGGCAGAGAGATCCATATTTTGCACAGTACCAGACTCGAAGCTGCTTACCTTCAAGCAAAATATAACCCTCTCTCTCTACATGAACCAGCTTCCTAAAGGAACTGCTCAGTTAAAATCAGAGGTGTAAGTATTGTGGCATTTCCCAAGATAGAGAGAAGATGAATTACTATCTCATTTTGGGAATATTAACGTACAAGGTAGTAGTGATAAATATGAGATACAGCTCAATGTGATGATACAAAAACGTCTACAGGGGTTATAGGATGAGCTTTTGTTTATTACAGACAATAACCTGTTAACCCCCTTCCCAGGATACTGTTAAAATATATTAAATCATGAATTTAACCACTGAGCAAGTGGGTGTAGTGACTCAATGCCATCCTGTGCACTACAAGATCGGAGTAGAAAAAGCCTTGAGTTGAAACAAAAGGCTCTGCTTTGATGTCTTACCCCTTTGTAACTAAGGGGAAAAACTGTTCTGCTTCAGAACAACCAGTGGTTTGTCTCCCTTATGTGTTGTGTCTTGTAGTTTAAATATTTTGAATCACAGTGTGAGGTACGCTTTAAAGGAGATTTTAAGAACCTTACAGCTGTTTTTTCACAAGTAACTTCTGTTAGAGTAGACAGAAAGTGACAGCTTGTTTGCAGCTGATCTTTTTAATGTGTGCACAACTGGTGGCTAAGATTAGATCAAGTGGCTGTTTCCTATTTAAATACTGATTTCAGTATTCTAGGCACTCAGTCTGGTATTTCTAAGAATTGCAGACACTGAAGATAATACAAGGCCTAGATCTACTGATGATTATTTTTTGAGAAACAGCGTTGAGATGCCACTTGCTGTGATCTCTGCTCAGAGTGCTTTCTCACTGAAATCCATGCTCTTGTCCTGCCGTAGGCATCTCGGTCCCCAGTCTCTGTCTGCTTATGAAGCCAGTGAAGAGCTGAGCCTGCACGTTGCTCTGGAAGGCAGGATTTACCTGGCTGTTTGCTGTCCCCCCAAGACTGTCAGAGTGAGCAGCATGTCAGCTGGTGACAAGCTGACCAAGTGGGAGGTGGTTGGTCTTCAGGGAGCCTTGCTGAGCCACTTCATCGAGCCCGTGTACATCAGCAACATTCTTGTGGGTACGTTCAGTGCAAGGTCCAGGTGGGGTTGGGGTGGTTGGTGTGTTTTCATATTACAGTTGGATTGCATTTTATAGAGTATGAACTAAGCCACAAACTCCTTAAAGAATTCCAGAGTTGTTCCTTGAGATGCAGTGGACCAGAGTGTATTTATTTGGTAGGCAGTCAGAAATGCTGTTGGATGTGAGGTAATCTGGGAAAACTCCTCGGCGTATTTTTATTTTGAAAGGTTGAAGTTTTGTTTTAGTGGTGTCTTCTGCAGGGAACATAAAGAGTTGGTGAAAAACAGTGGTTCAAGAAAAGCATACAATGAAAATAATAGTGCCTCTGGAGAAGAAAGCGGGAAATAATTTTTGTTCTGTGGATCTTGGAACTGATCTTTGCAAACATGAGTTTTACGTGAAAAAACCGACAATAATAGATTAAGAACGCAGAAATGTCTGAATTTTTAGCTTCTTAATTTGATGTACTTGTATGTGACTGATATTGTCCTGTTTACTAGGAAGTGGAACTTGTAAGGATACAAAAGGACTGGACATAACCATAAAGCAGCGTCTTGATGATGAACTTATTTCAAAGCTTCCTGTGCCTTACCTGGTCAACAGATCTCATATTTACTTGGTGAAAGCTGCACTGCCAGTCCAAACAGATTTGAACCAGTGGTCACTTAGCTTGAATTGGACATTGTCAGATGCATCCCTGGAAGTTGTGGATGGATTAAGCGGGAAAACCACTGAAAGGTCCACATTTATCTTCATTTTGTTGGAAATAATGGGTTTGTGCTGGTTTATTGGGAGTATTCAGCTCTTAACCATGAGAGAAGTTCTCTCCTGTGTTAGCTGAAAGCATCCTGTGATTAGGTGAAGTTTTAGAGATCTCATAAGTTCACAGTGAGATACCAAGACACCAAACAAAGCAGTTCTCTGATTGGAGATATCTGTAGTCCATTGCCTTTAGTATTAAAAATGTTTTCGCTTTCACAATGCATACAACTAATTAGGATTCTAATTGAGGTGGATTCTAATGGAGATGAATTCCAGTGTGATGGCATTCACAGAGTGTTAGGAGGGAGGGAAAAAGCCCCTGTAACGATCAGAGCAGTCTCCCTGTAGCGAGTTTGTTCCCGAGTTCCATCCCTGTTTCCCCGCTCTGCCCGCAGCTCCCCGTTCCGCAGCGGCACCTGCCTGGCCAGCCGCCTGTGCAAGGCCGCCATGTTCAGCCGCTTCAGGATGCTCGCCGGGGAAGCAGGACGGGGTGATCTGCTCCAGTTTGCAACATACCACGAGGCAAAGGTGAGCTGGCACAGGGAGAGGTGTCATTTTTTACAGTGTTCATGCTTATTACCTGTTCGGTGGTAAAGAACGCAGATCTCTGTAACCGTAATTCTTGAGATTTTTCAAGGTTCTTCCTTTTTCTTTTTTTAGATTAAATCTCAGTTGTACCAAGAAGCTAAGAGCTTGCTGCAGAGCTACTTAGAGCAACACAGCTATGGATCATGGATTGTGAAGTCTCCACATATTGAACAGTTCAGTGATTGATGGCGTTGGATTGAATGTTAAGTCGGTTTGAACGATCTGTTTCAGTAAATATAGTTCTGAGTAGTAAAATGTTAAGTTCGTAGTTACAGGAAGAAAACAATTCCAGTACTGCTTCTTGTCAGTTTAAATGCGGTTATTAACCACCTGTAACAGTTCTGTCTTTTCCTAAAATGGATGTTTTCTCATAGGTGGGAGTATCCAAGAGCTTTGTAAATCTTTGTTCTGCTTTGCCCACCAATGGTTCCTCATTGAGAGGTTTTCAGGAAAGAAACAAAGAAACGGGCAGTCTGTGCTTTATCTGTAGGTATCCGTCCTTTGCTTGAGAGTTTTGTTCAGTGTCAGTTTGCCAAGTGGCTTATAGTTTTTCAGTGTCAGTTTGCCAAGTGGCTTATAGTTTATGTTGTTTGTGCTAGAAGAGTTAAAAAATAATTTTTGTACTTACGAATATGAAACCTGGAATGACCAGCTGTTACTCAACTGTTGTGTGACAATCACTGGTTCTGGTAGTGGGTTTAAAGCATTATGCAGGCATCAAAGCTGTAAATAAGAAAATAATGCAGTGTAGTAGAAAAGTCACCAGAAACAAGGGTTTTTCAGCTTTTGTGGTTTGCCTCAAACCCTATCAATGTCAATGCTCTTGCATGAGTTGGACTCCTGCACCCTCAGCTGACTTCATTGCTGCACTGACAAGTCCTTGTGAAATTGTCTGCATACGCAGTAACTGGAAAATGGTGCCTGTCACGAGGGAATTTACTTCCTAGCATTGGAAAGTAAGGACTTGACTTCCAAGGGTTGTTCTGGTAAGAACACAGTAGCATTTAGGAGGGTGTTGTTAAGTGCCATGTTTGGAGTTGGTGTGGTGGTGCGAACACTGGTGCGTTCAAGCTAGACAGTACACTTGGATTATGTTCCATGATTTCTGTAAATCATGCAAGAGTGGGGAGTTATGCAGTGTTCTCGTACATCAGGAATTGTGAGCATAGTGCTGTAGTCATGTTTAACCTTCTTAGTGTTAGAGGAGTCACAAAGAAGTTCCTCCTCCTGGTATTTGTTTTTTTCCTTAATCTGTTCTTCCAGCTGATATGCAGAGTCTTCTGTGGGGATAAACTTAGGCTGATTTACAAGTTGTTGAAACTCACTGACTCGGTCCTTGACCTTGTTTTTTGACTAATGTGCTCTCTTGTTTTCTATTAGTGTCCCTTAACTTTGTGGGGTTGTGTGGTGGTGTTTGTTTTATTGTGGCACATGTTCCACAGACTGCTTGTTCCATGTAATGTTTTCTAAGAATGCTCAGTAATGGCTGTTGTATTCCAGGCTAGAGCACAGTGTTGCCTTTTTGCAGGGGTGTTAAAAGTTCAATAAAGGTCCTTGACAATGTGTTAGCCTTGCCTGCATACACACAGATGCTGGGAAGTGATACACCTGTCAAATCTGACATTCACATTGCATACCACACGTGTGTTTGCACTCCATGCACTTCTGGATTTTTGTGTTTTGTGTGGACTTAGTCTTCTGCTGAGGTATCGGCACCAAGGTGTTTCCTGTAGTTGACCCGGAAGCCTTAAATATTTTCAAGTACTGAGCTTTTTCTGTGTGCTTCAGGCATTTTATTAATTGAACAGCAAACTGAAATTCATGGAACTTAGACTCTGCCTTAAAAAGCAAGAGGTTTGTTAGTGAGAAGGATGTGTCTGGCTGGACGTGATCGCTGTGTCCTTGAGCAATAAGTTGATGGCACCAGTGTAGGTCCGCTTCTTTTATCTGGATTGTTCTTTGATTAAGTATTGGCATATGCAGCATGCATTAAGCTAGTAAATGGGGGAAGGATGGAGATGTTGTGTCCACATTTTTCCTTGGCTACATCAGTAATCCCAAAACCTATGATCCTACAAGCTTGAGAGAGGCAAGAGAGCTGCAGTTCTAGTGCTGAGGCTGAAGCTGTGTTCCCAGCAGGTCCATGCACATGGAGCAGGTGTGCATCCTACAGATGTGGCACGAAGCAGACAGAGGCAGGTGAGCACCAGCAGCAGCCTGTGGGCTGAGCTCAGCCTGTCCCCTCCCTGCTTGAGAAGAACTCAACTCCAGGGGGAAGACTGGACGTACATATGGATATGGGTGGTGTGTGGGGCTGTTCTTTCCACTTGCTGGAGCTCTGCCTGACTCACACAGGTGGAGTGACACACAGTGACTTTTGGGAATGCTATTTCCCAATTCTGTGCCCCCACTGAGACTCTCCAAACCACATGCTGGTCTCTCTACTTCCCTGTTTCTCCCTTCAGCTCCCTTTTACAGTGGGATGGAGAGGAAAATTTGAAGCAGAAAGGCAAAAGCCACGGAGTTTGAGATAAGAACAATTTACTGGAAACAACAGTGGTTCACATGGGGGGAAAAAAACCCCAATAATTAATAGACAGTAGTGGACAGCACCCTCCACCATTTTCTGAACCAGAAGGAACTCCTCCCTGGAAGAGGATCCCTTTCCTCCATCCCTGGTAATGATGTAAGGTGATACAGAATGACCTCTGTATCTTAGCTCTGCCCTCTCCTGGATACTGCAGAAACTTAACCGTATCCTGGGTGGAACCAGAACATTATTCATCCTTCTTACATATGAACACAGGTCCCATTTCCATAGTCAGTGGCTCTCCCTCTAAGATGCCAGTTGAGTTAATTTAGTCCATCATTTGGGTTCTATCCATCCTAGATTTACACACAATACTGACAGTATTGTACAGTTCAGCATTACAGACTGCTCTCACCCAGAAATCAAATCCTATTCAGGTACAAATTGTGTTTCCCCATCTCTGCATTGGCCACCCCATCTGCCTCTGGGTTTTGGGGCAAAAACAATCCCACAGATGTGGTTTTGCCTCTGCTTGAGGCAGGACTAATCCACTGAATAATGTTGTCATGCATTGTATCGTGTCACACCACGTCTCAGACTTCATATGTACAAATGTCAGATGCCTGTCACATAAATGTCACATGCCACATACCATGTCATATTCATGTCATGGCACATGCCATACATCTTCATTTCATACTAGAGCTGTGCAATCAAGCAGGAGAAGGCAGCTCAGGAAATCAAATTTTATAATTATTTTAAGGGGTTCTGTGGGTTTTTTTCCAACTTAAAGGGAGAAGGTATGTCTAGTAAAGTTCACCTTGTTACGCATTTTTTGGATGCTTTTAACAACATCCTTTAAAGATGTCTTTTAAAGCTTGGAAAAATACAGAAGCTGATCCTGCAGATGATGTTTAAGAAATTGGACCTATCTATAATTAGATGTAGATTTGACAGATATAACTGTGTGTAGCACAAGCACCTTCCTCACACCTCAACTAGCTATTTGTGTCAGCAGTCTTTATACAAGTATTGCTGTGAAAAAATGTCTTGAACTTCTTGCTGGAGGTGCTACATGGGGAACAAGGCAGCCTGAATATGTTTTGAAAATCCACAGCAGATCATGGCTACTGTGCAAAAGTGATGTGATCCCCAAAACTAGAGCCAGAACAGGCAAAGTCCTTTCCTTGAGTGTAAACCTGCAGCTGTCTCAGAATAGCCCAACTCCAAAGCAGTTTGTACAGAGCAAATGCCAAAAAAAGTGTGTGTAATTTCACATTGCTTGTGTTTGTGACGTTGTTACTGAGCTCCAACCTTTCCTTATGAATTGGGTGAGTATCTCTTTACCATCTTTTCCTGCTTTCTGAACTATTTTACTGCTCCTGCCTTACCTAATGCTTCTTGTTTAGGGACTTGGGAAATGTCTTGGTTATTCCACGTGGGATGTCCAGCTGCACGGGCTGACTCCAGGGTAGGTTTTATCCAACTGCAAAAGTTGAGGGCTCCTGTGCTTAAGGAAATGATAAAGGAAGCCTCACTCACTGAGAGAATTTTATTTAATGAAAGCTGCTCCTTTGCCCTCTCTCTGGTTGCTGAGAGCTGGGGCAGCACTGCAGACGAATGTCTGAGCTGATACTGGAAGAGGTTTGCAAAGCCACGTGTTGTGTGTGATGCTGTTTCTTTCTGCATGCTGCATTTAAGAGTTTTTGGAGTAAGAAGGAATCTCTGTAAAGAGCAGGATTTTTCTACAAAGATTGACAAGGTAGAAGGAATTCTTACACTGAACTTTCTTGCCTGTTTTCTCGTCTTCTGTGTCCTACTGTGTTCAAGTGTTTTTGTTATTACTGTGATCGGATTTGAGGAGAGGGTGGAGCTTAGCTGTTTGTGGCTGAGGTGACTGACAGTATTTACTTTCCTGAGTCCTTGTGGGTGGGGGCAGAGCACTCCTTCACCGTGGGAAGAGGAGTAGAGAAACAGTCTGCAGTGCTGTAAGTATTTTCCCAGTTTTGGCAGAAAGCTGTCATTAACGCCTGTTTTCTCTTTGCAGCATGTAAGGAAACTGCTGGGTTTTCCATTGTTAGTCTGGTTTTAAGTGTAAGGTGAAGTACTCCATACCACACCCACCAGGAAAGCACATCAAAGTCTAAACGATAGCTGTTGTAGTAGGCTCACTTTCATCAGTTATAGCCTGCCTTAGTATTGTCCTGGGCCTTTTGTGCCATGAAAAATGCTCTTTCACTGTTTCTTTGTCACTACCGAGTTCATCTGCTGTTGGGAGTAAGGACATTTCTGAGGTTTCACAGAAAGGCTTCTGACAATGCAGTCTATTCACATGGATTTATATCTTAATCCTCAATTTCATGTCAGTTTTGTTGTTCTGGGACCTCAGTTACCTGCACTGTTGTTATTTCAGGTGTATTACTGTTTTCATAATGCTTCCCTGTCTCTGAAGAATTTCGAGAACTGCGTATTTTGCTTACACCAATGAGAAAAATGTGTCCTGCAGGAAGCTTGTGTAGCAAAGTAGGTACAGCTCAGGGAAAAAGGAGTTTGTTTTCTGAGGGGAAGCAATTTGGTGCTCTATACCTTGTGATGTGTGCCAGTGTAAACTGGCATTTTATATTGCTTATAAAAGGTTATCTGCAGGTGTCTTCCTTTGAGTCCAGTACCTGCACACTTGCACGGTGCTGAGTACTTCATTGGGGCTTTTTGTGTGTTTTAAAAAAATTGAGTATTAAGTCACCCATAAAAAGGACAGTGTCACAACAAAGAAGACTCTAGATGTGATTTTAAATGTCCATGACATTTATTAAATATAGTCTACAAATAACTTTCAGTAGCTTTTTCAATAAATAGTTTTCTCAGGTTGTTGACAAAGTGACAATGAACGAGTTTTCCAAAGAACGTTGAGCCCCTAGGGCTTACAGAAAGGATCAAGTGTGATCTTAGACTCTCTCACCACCCACATTAAGAACATTCAGTGGTCTCAAAATGGACAACAAGCTAGTAGTATGCCACATGGCAAAAATATATAAATTATTCAGAATTAAATATTTCAATAAATAATGCAGCAGTAAAAATAAAAATGGTTATACAATTTCTGTCAGCATGGATTGCAGGAAGTTGGTCATTTCTTGGTGGAATTCAGGAAACTTTTTCTTCTCATTGGATTCACACTTCTTGCACGTCGGGTTTGAGAAATCAGGATCCTGCAATACAGAGGATTTTAGTGATTGGTGTAAACCTTCTTGCTAGCTGGTTTTAACAATGATACATCAACTTCTGTAAAGATTTTCCTTTAACAAAAACCAGCCCTTAATATTGGTAGCCTGGAGAGTACTCCTAAAATGCTACAAGGATCTCTAGGCTATGGACTTTATTTTAGTAGTATGTCAGGGTGTGCTATATGCATCCCTGGGCCCTCCAGCCATAAGCATATGGCACAGTTTCCAAAGCCATTGCTATGTAAATTAGTGTTATGCTCCTAAAAGCAAGCTTTTTGTCATCATAAGATGCTTTGTATGATTCAGCAAAGAAAATGTCATATTTTGTTAAATGTTGGCTTATATAACCAGTAGGGCTCAAATCTATTTTATTGCACATTACCATGCAAATAGATATTTTCACAGAGTTAATCTTGGCAAATTTTTGTACAAAACCCTGTGTTTTCATGAGTTGATAACAGAGATCTTGGTGCATGAACACGCTGATCCTGGCATGGTTTTTCACTAATGGTGAAACACTTGGTTCTTTTTATTTCCCTTATTTTGGTAACACTTGTAAAAGATTGAGTACCTCAAGATCCTCGAGATTCTTTTCGATACTTTTAACATATTCCTTTTCCTTCTCTTCCACATCTTGTTTCAGGACCTTCAGTTCTTTCAGGAAACATGCTAGAGTTGTGTGGTTGCACTCCTAGAACAGTCAACAAAATTGTTATGTGTGTGACTTGTTTTCCTTGTTCCTGTTTTCAAATTCCCTGTTATTTTTACCCTCATCTCAGGAACGGAGCTGTTTGTTTTCTGCAGTGTATTACAGTTCATTTGTTGCCCTCAAAGTTGTATTGGGGGATGTTACATGTGGCCTTAATTCTTAATTTTGAAAAGTGAGTAACCCGTACAAGATGCTTGAAGTGTTGCAGTATCTCTTGGGGACAGAAAGCTGCAATATTTATTCCTGAGCTGAGCCTTACTCCTGGTTGCCATCTGAAAATTGTGGGTTAGCAAACAGGTGGCCTCTCCTAGAGGCATCTTCAGTTGGTGCACTTGCGTTACTCTATCTAATGTCTGCATCAGAACTGGCTTTTGAACAGGGTAAATAACTATGTACCATTTCTGCAAGCTATTTTAGGCACTCACAAATATGTTACTGATCAGCCCCAAACATTTGCGTTTAAGCCCTGGAGCTCTGAGATAGCCAGGTCTTAATGCTGCCAGCACATGAGAAAAGGGACACAGATAAGGAAGTGGTTGCAGAATCTGACTTAAAATCTGCACTGAAACAAAAGTGTTGTTAAGTGAGAAGTCTTCTGAATTAGAAACTTAGCAGAGGTTCAAAGCAGCTAACAGATAACTCATGTAAAGCTTTTAGCTACTTCCCAGTACTAAATAATTCATGCTCTTGTTTACTGTGCTGTTTGCATGCTGAATGAAACGTAGTACAAATCAGCAGCCTGTCTGCAGTAGAGCTGTGTTTGGAACACTGCACACTGATGTGCTGTGTTTCAGAGAGAGGTGACCACAATGATGGTATTCTTGTGGGAATTCAGGTGTTAACTCAGTGCCACACAATATGATTTACAGCTTATGTATCCAGAAGGGCTTGGTTAAGTTTTATTCATTGAGAGAATTAAGTAGAGCATAACTGAATTTCATCATTGATGAGATACAGAAAACTTACAACATCTTAAACAGAATCAACCAGTGGCTCTGCCTCTAGTTTAGGTTAGATGTGGGTGATTTCATGTGGATGCCGCTTTAATCTATTTCTAAGTCTGGTTTCATTCTCAGAATTGTTCCTGTGATAGAATTAATCGTATTGCCTCCTGCAAATCTTATACCATCTTTAAGTTGTTCATGAACCACTTTTTTCCTGTGAATTCAAGCATCTTTTAACCAGGATGAATATGAAGTATTCATTTTGTATTACTTATTGCACAGAAGCACTGAAATAATATTGCATGTCAGCCTTTTAATGCTTGAGAATAAAAAGCAAAAGCAGAAGTTTCTTTAAGAAATTGCACTCCCTATATTAAATTAAAATTGAACAGAAAAATTCAAACTCACCCGTTTGTCATTCGGTGTGTAAAAGTCAAGGAAATTCTGTAGAGAAGTGGTGGGGGGGAAAGTTAATTTTTCTGAAAAAATTGCATAGAAAAAACTATACAAATGTATCTTCAGGTAGAAGAAAATCACCACTTACATTGTCGATGTCTTTCAGGAATTCTAAATCAATTATTGAAGCTTTAAGACGTTGCTCTTTTTGAGCAGGTGATAGCTCAAGAGGTGCTCCATAAGCTGCAGTCATGAGAATTACTGCTGCAATACAGCCGAAGGTGAGGACTTTGCACATCATGTCCGTGTTATCTGGGTGCCAATATTGGAGTTGGAATGGATGGTGAGAGCTGATAAGTTGTCATTAAGCTGTTTAGTGTATTTATACTCTTCTTTCTGAGGGGGGAAAAATATGGGGGCGTCACAAAGAAGAGGTTTTATTACACATTTTTTCATATGTTCTACCTGTATGGCAAGAATCATTACTTTTGTTTTTCCTCCCCTGATGACACTTTGGAATTTTTATCAAGCAGGAGGGATTTTACCTACATTCACGGCTGTAAGAGAAGCCCACACTCAACTTTTGGCAGCCTCTCTTTGTGCTTCCTGCATGAAACACTTTTTCCTTGCTCTGTCCTACTCCCCCATAGAATAGGCCACAGAATGTACTCCTGCCATACAAAATGTCCTAAAGGTGTATAATTTAATCATTCCTTTAGTGAAGAAGAAAGAAGCCTTAGAATCTTAGTAATTGTTGATTAAACAACAGGAAGAAAGTTGGCTTCCTGTCTGAAGGTGGTTTTCTTACCTGTCATCTTCTGCAAAGGCATTTGTAAGCTTAGGTGCCTAACTCAGTCTTTATAGCATCAAATTTGAAACATTTATGGAAAAAATCCAGCAGAATTCCTTGTCTGGGGAAGATAAACTATTCCTTCTATTGCCGTTTGTCTTAAAGCTACTCTTCTCTCTTTGTGTGCAACTTTCACTTTTCTGCAGCTTAGAATGAAAATGCACCACTGTAAAATGTTTACAGATTTTATTGCTGATACCTAGCCCACTGCATCTTCTGTATCACAGCACTGAAGTTGACAGTAGGCAGTCATTTGACACTGAACTCTGGCATAGCCAGTATTATTAAATTGTTTTTCTTTTTTGCTTCATGTGTCTGTTGGCTGATTTCTTTGGGATGTAAGGTGTTTAAAATTCATGGTTTCCTTCATTTTGAGTGTAGTTCACTCATTTGAGCCATATACTCCCCATCCTGCCCAGCAGGTTCTGACATTATGTGAAACACACTTCTGATCAGTGAATTCAGCTGCTGAAGCTGTGTGGAGTAAATTCTGGTTTGTACACTGCTGTTGTTTGAAATTCTACAGCATTTCAGATGTGCAGAACTGGGTGGGTAACTGTTTTCACCCACCATTGCATTCTGGAAACCTACATTACATGTGCTGATCCTGCAGTCAGAGAGGATGTGGATCTACTGGAAGTTGGTTAGAATACATTTTGGCTTAGATTAAATACAACCATTACTGTAATTCTTTTTATTAGTGTGTGTCTGTCCCTTAATCATTAACTCAGTGCTAATTAGCAGTGCAATCCCAGCTCTAGAGAACATCTTAATTTCCTGGTTTTGAAACAAGCATTTGATGTCTATGGTCATAAGCAAGTCTTAGTAGCTACTGGAGCTTGCAATATTGTAAGATTTGCGCAGTTTCAAACTTTTTCTGGCACTTTCTATTTGTATCTTTTATTTTATTCTTGGTAATTAATTTGTAATGAGGTCAGCTGCTGAGCACTGGGTTGTCAACTTTTTTCCAGTTTCCTCCTGTTTTCTTTTTCAGGTCTTGGAGAACTTAGAAAAAAAAGAAAGCCTGACCATTCTGTCAGAACTTTTCAGTAAGTTTGCAGCCAGGTCTGTACAAAACCATGTACAAAATGGCAACTCTGGTTGTAGTCCAGATGTAATTGGAATTGGAATCAGCTCTTTATCTGTTCATTCTTTTCAAAGACCAAAGAGGCTTGCACATCCAGGCAGCAGGATTGAATCTTAATATGCAGCATTTAATAAATTGTGCACAGGAATTCGAGTGATTCATTTCTGATTAATATTGTGCTGCAGGATTGTGGTCCAACAGGAGAAAACAACGGATCTTGTTTTGGCCATTTTTATTGGATGTACCAGGTGAGGAAGAGATGGCTTGGAATGTATTGATGAGGTGAGAAACAGCAAACCCTCAGTTAATGTTAATACACAACTTGCTGTGCTGGTCAGATTTCAGTTATCATGCTCAGTCTTTGCTCATATTTATTACTGGGCAAGGAATTACTTGGGGTTTCATTCATTGATTTAATCCTCCCATCTTCACTTCACCAGAGTTGATTGCATTTTAGCAGGAAATTAAGTTACTCTTTTAAATTGCCCTGGAATCACAGGGGCTAAAATAGTGCTAGAAATGCTGAACTGGAAAAATCCTGTCTGTACAAAGTATTGGGGCCAGGTACCAGTGACCATGTCATACAAGGGGTTTTTATTTGCTTTTAATGCACTATTATGAAAGGTTAGTTGATTTATATATCATTTTATCTCAAAATTCAATATTGTTATGATAAAATAATATATAAGAAAATGTAAGATATAAGAAATTGCACCCTGCCTGAAATGCTTGAAGAAACACTTTAAAAGCCTTGCCTAAATTTTCAAGGAAGATTAATTAGCTGTAAACCACATATTTCCAAGGGAAACAATATTTGTGGGTCATGGATTTGGAAAGGGAGAAGCTTTTTATTTTAGTGGATTGTTTATACTTTTGGTAGTACTTGTGCCTAATTTAAAGAATAAGGGCTGATTTTCTCTTTTAGAAAGTGGCTAAAAGTAAATGACACACACTGACTAAACCCCTAATCTGTACAACTTCAAAGTCTGGAAAAGTTTTTACATAGGATCTGACTCCTCTCAGTTTAGACTGACTTGTCCTTCTAATCTGAAATCTTGCAATTTTTTTTTTTGTTTTTTCCTTTTTTTTTTTTTTTTTTGTTTCTGCCCTTGCAAACCTGCTGACTGGTGAATTTTGGGGGCAGGTTGTAGTTTCATTGAGGCATTTGGCCTCAATGATCTTGTTGATCAAGGTGCTTGCCTCCTTTCTCCATCCCCAGAACAAAGCAGTATTCAGCAGAAGTGAATGTCTTGGTTGATACTTCAGTTCATGTGCAGGTTTTTTTCATACTCCTGTTACAGTACTGCATTACTGTCAGTAGAGTTACAGGAACCACAGCGGAGTTCAATACTGAAATGATGAAAATGATAGCCCATTTTTGATCATGGTCTGTTGATTTAACACTTTCTAGTTGTGTTTCAGAGAATTTTGGGGGAACAAAGGTTCTGCTTGCAGATCTCATAATTCTAAGCAATAATCTAAAACAAACCTCTAACATTCATATTCTGCTCAGTAGGGAGACTTGTGGAAATATGTTGAAGATTTGAATAAAGGATTGAGTGACAGTTGTTTTTCATTTGATTTTAAGCCATCAAAAGGAGACATTTACCACTTTTTCAGCCTTTTCTCGGTCTTTCTCATCTTTTTGATAGATGTTACAAGCAGAATAGTTTCCAGATAAATGCAATGGATTCTCTAACGTATTAGTATTTAAATGCAGGAGTGAATAATGGATTTAGCTAGTTGCATATTGTCCCTGATCAGGGACACTGTTTCAGGAGAAAGTGCTAAAAAAATCCAGCCTCAAAGTGAGTAATTGTTAAGAGTGAATTTTTCCTGCAAGGATGTCAGTGGGGATTTTTTTTTAAGAAGGAGTTTTGGTTTTGGAGGCTTGACTAAAATGACCTGGAAATAATTAACAATTGGGAATCTCTTCACAAAACCAATGTTTGATGTAATCTTCCATTGAAAGGACCAGTATTAAGAGGGAATACTTTAAAAATAAAAAATGTTCTAGTTATAAATAAGCCTTGGGAAAAGGAATTTGAATCTCTGCATAGGAGCTGTGTGACACACAAGTTCCATCTTTCTAAAAACCTTGCCTGTAATTGTTGAACAGGTGTGGATTTAGTTAAGGTGTGGGGGGCCCTGATGTTTCCTGTCACTATAGTCTACTTTAAAATTACTTTTCAGGAAGTAATTTTACAAAGGTTATGAACTTCGGAGTTATTTTTTGTTTTCTGTTAAAATTTGAGATGATTCTAAGTCTGAATGAGAAGATCAATTACTGCAAGAGTTATGGCTGAATGCAGTTGGGAAGGTTGATCAATAAAGGGTAAGGTTTAGGGCTGGATGGCATGCACATTAAGATGGTGTGCTGTGTTTACAGAAGAAATAGTTCAATTGTTGCAAGACTTCTGAGTGAACTTGAATGACTTCTTTTTGTTTAGGAATAAGCTGTCTTCAGGAGGTTCAGCATATATTTACAAGGATGATTAATCCTGTTTACTCATGTTTTCCTTTTACATCCAAATGTACTTTTTGAGGCTGTCTCCACAGTGAAGTGTTGCCAAAACTTTTGTTGCCAACTTCATCTTAGTAGAATGTGCACCAAACCTGCTAAAAGTATTCTTGGTATACCCACAAAATAATACAAGTGTTAACCTCTGCTAGTTTTGGTTCACACTTCTCCTTAGGTGCAGAACTGTAGAGACCAATACAAATGCACTGCTGGTGAGGCACAAATCCGTGAGGGAAAGCAAAATGGAGGTGTCCTGAAAGGAGGAAGACACATCAGAGCATCCTGGTCAGCTTAATAGGAGAAAGTGCTTTGTTGTGGCTGGAAAGAAACTGAGGTCCGTTAATTACTCTGAGTAGCTCAAATTAGAGCAATGATTGTTTTCATTTTGGAATGAGAAGTGAAGAGAAAGCCCAAAGGCAAAAGATTTCTGCTTTTCAGTATTATTGCTTTGCAGGGGAAAAGAGGCTGGTGCATACACTGACAAGCCAAGTTGTTGCCAAACTGTTCTCAGGGTCTGGATTTAAGAAATGTGTGACAAAATGCAAGTTGAAATTGCCCTTCTGGGTCAAAAGGCCAGTGTCAAGTTACAACCATACAGGATGCGAACAGCCCACAAACAAAGAACTTTATCTTTCCTTGCTGAATGCTGTGATAGTGCACGTGCTAAGCAGATGGCCTAGATTTGTCACTAGCTAGGGACAAAATGTGTTGAGGGACCCCCTCAGTGCTGGCCAGCTCCCAGTTGTGCTCAGGCATTGTTATGACATCGTTCCCGTTCTCTCAAAGTTCCCTTTCCTGATTCCATTCTCCCTTTGCTCACTTTTCCTGCTTGCTTCAGACTGGCTGTGTGGAATTTACTGAGGAACAACAGGGGCTTGCCCACACACTGCTTTGTTTTTACCACCATTGTGCCCAAGGCCACTGTGATATTCCTGTACTTCCTTGAACCACTCTTAGGACCCACAGAACAAATGTTTGGCAGGTTCCACACATCAGCCTACTGTGCCTTGGCATATTTAGATCCTGGATCCTGCTAGCTTTATTTGATGGTTTTACCTTTTGGTCCTGGTACTGGAAGAGATGATGAGTCTTCCTATCTACCTGTGCAGTGACACTAAAAATTAGGTGGAACTCTGTCCACAAGAATTGCCTCTTTTCTAGCTTTTCTTTACTGTCCTACTTGTTTGCTGAACGAAACAATGGAAATTTGATTGTGTTTGTTGGCCTTGCTTTGAGCTCTGGGAAGCTCTGCTCTTCTTTGGAAATGAGGGGACTACAACCCTTTCCCTTCTTCACCAAAAACAATTAGAAGTTGCCATTTTTTTTTTCTTTTTGAGTCCCCACAGATATAATCAATACAAATGCAAATTTATTGTGATGATTACAAGGGCAAATTTCCGTACTGATGAGCTGGCATGACGTGAATTTGAATGTAAAGCTGGAAAAAAATACCTTTTGCTAGGAAAATCCTCTGTGTCAGTGGGATTCAGAGCTAAGTGGTGTTCCTGGTTCTTTCCCTTTTACTCATGTTGAAAATTTTAAGATAGATGGCGGGGAACCATCTTTGGTCCTAATGCAAATGTTGTAGTAGACAGGCTGAATTTCTCAAGTGTCTCTAATGCTTTGTTACTACTAAAATGACAGTTTTAAGGAGCTTTCATCTGTTCCTATTAGGCACAGCCATTCAGTATCTCTAGTTCATTCAAAAACGCTCAACACAAATGTTTTAGGTATAGAAAAATTATGTTCAGTTGATTTGGCACAAGAACATCAGCACCGGGATCAGAGCTAAATTTATACCCTGCTCAGTAATATGCGTGAGACAATGAAATTCATGCAGTATGGTAAGAGAATATTTCATAATTCAAATCCTGCGGTGATTTTAGTAGTGCCTGCCCCTAGAGCTGCATGTCAGCCCCAGCCACGTCATGACCCCATAGCCGAGCGAGCCCCGCGTGTGCGTCACCCTCCCTCCTGCAGCTTGCTTTTCTCAGAAAGGAAATGCACTTGCGTGGGCTGCAGAGGAGATTGGGTGTTCTAACTCGCCTCTGATCTGGACGATTGGGGTAGCACCAGTGTCAGCTCCCACCCAGCTCTCAGCCTCAGCGGAGAAATCAGACATTGCAGTGTGGTTCTTTCCTTTGGTGCCTAAAGAGCGTCATGAAAGGCTCTGGAAAATCCATGAATTTTGGTAAAAGCAAATTTTTCCAAGGTTGTGTTGGAATGGGGATCGTAAGTTTCTGCAGCACTCAGCCACTTAAGAAACAGACTATTAAATTCCAAACCAGTGGAGACTTCTTAGGTGGCAGAATTGCAAAAGGTGCGAAACACTTCAGGCCTAGAACATATTTTCTGTCTAAAAGCATGCATCGTTACTGTTATTCACATTATAATCATGCCCAGCCATGACCAGTCAAATCCAAATCCTGTCCACTGTACAAATGCAGGACAGAAGCTGCTGTCATGTTACACGGAACACACCACTGAGCAATTATGGGTAATAATCATTCTTAGAAGACTTGTGGTCAGCAGGATTAAGGTGTAAAGTCTTGCACATCAAGGTTTCCTGGCGTTTGGGAAAGATGCTTTTGCATTTCTGCAGCTCTGGAGGCAGCTTACAGCAAGGCAAGACTGAAGAGCACAGTAGTAGAAAGAATGTGACTGATTTTCACACTTGCTCTTCTGAAGCAATGGAAAGTACTCTGAGAAAAGTGGGCTGAAGTATCCAAATACTATAAAACCTTTTGGTCTGTGACCTCAT